GTCGAGATTAGAACTGAGGAACACTACAGGTTCTAATCTACAGGTATTTATAAGGGGGAATGGGAAGGACTTAGTCAAAGTCCGAATGATAATAGAAGAACACCGAAAGGTGCCGAATGATACCGAGAGGTACCGAAAGGTCCCGAACGATATCTTTAACGGGGAACTGAGGTGTCGGGTCGAGGAGGGCAGAGTAAGAGGCCGGAGAATGAATGGGAACAAGAAATGGGTAAGAGGGGGTTAGCCGACTGAATGGTAAGAAGAAGATAGTCGTGCTAAAAATGGAAGGTGACTAATAAGAGATGACGTGAGAGGGGTCAACGAAGGATGCAGGTAGCTCCGAAAGCGGAGTTGCATATCCGAAGGATGTTGGGTGACTCCAATAAATGAAATGGGTGGAGAAATGGTTTAGGGGTATGTCACGGGATGTCGGAGGTCTATCGGGATATCGGAGCAAATCCGGAGTCTCCAAATGTTCCGACTCGGGACCGAGCTTCCGGGGTGGGAGTGGCCAAGGTTCAGTGTGCTGCAACCAGACCAGAGCTGAGACAGTTAGGAAGGGAGGTGACTTGGGGAGTGGGGAGGCATGGTGTAGGGGATGGTGAAGTTGTTAGGAAGGTGTAGTGTGGTGGGAGTGCGCGGGGTCGGGATTCCGGGATATGACACATGTGACTTTCCTTTTATATTTGTATCGGACTCTTCCATGACAACTGTACAGACAGTTAGTTAGAGGTTAGAGAGACTATCAGCACCATACTCCCAAGGACCATACCTACCTGAGAGATAGAGAGACCTACCCCCCCCAGACCTGAGTTGCGAGTCTAGATTGATAGACCCATTACAGTGTGAATCAATGAATATGAGTTTAAAAGCACCAGGAGCATGTGAATCAATAGAAGCTCCAGGAGTGCAGGAATCATGAGTATGGGTTGAGCAGAACCAGGAGAACTGGGAAAACTGCCCAGGGCTCCAAAGTGATACAGTCAGAAGCTTGATTACAAAGTGGGTGGACTGAGAGACCTTTATTAAAATGGATCATTTGGTTTGCCTGCTTCAGACGACTCAGATGACTAGAACCCACAGGACTGCCTGATTCCAATCAAGGGAATTTGTGGAGACTAAAAAGCTCCCTTCTTATACGTGAGCTATACAAGTGGCGTGCCTGTCACATAAAGAGAATAACGGGGGTGTAAGAAACAATCCCCCAAACCTCACTTTCGCCACCAACAATCAATCCCTTCCTCGCCACTCTGTCATCGGAACCGATTGTTGATATTCCAACACTTCTGATCATTTCTTGGAGTTTGATATCAGATAGTGCTGCAAAAAAAGTAAACCATGCACCATGCCACATCCATATGCCTTCAAGTCTGCATGAGCGCCCTGTTCAAGTTGATAGTATCCATGTGATGAGCACCCAAGAATGCGCATCACAGCTGTGGCCTCAGTTGATTCAATATACGAAAAGGGAGCAGGTGTCAGGGCACACCCACCCAACCCGGCTCCACCCGCCTTCACCCGGTACCCTGCTCACCTCCACCCCTCACCCTTCACCATCATTTCTCACTTCTTGTTCTTCCTTTTGTCCTTCTGTTCTTTTACTCTCTTGCTCTTTCTTCTATCTTTATCTACATGGACGACATTTCCCCTTATCTATGTATTATCAACCCACCCGCGATGCGTGCACGACCCACCCACGATGCGTGCACAACCCACCCGTGATGCGTGCACAACCCACCCACGATGCGTGCACAACCCACCCGCGATGCATGCACAACCCACCCAGCCCTGGACAACCCGGACGGCCTCACGGTGCAACCCAGCACACACCCTTGGGATCCCCCACGGGGACACCTGGATGACTGCGGCTGTATGCGGGATGACGTGGCAAACCTCATGTGACCCAAGCTGCATGTACATAAAAGTACCTGGGGTGGGAACCGAAGAAGTAACCTTCTTCTCACAGTTCCCACTTCAGTCTGAGTGGCCAGGGATCGTCGTCCCAGATCGGGCCTGTCACTACGCATGCCCGCTCCACACCTCGCAACGGCCTCAGTGCCAGGCGTTACACCCGGGCCCCCTCAACCCCAGACGCGTCCCTGACAGCAGGGCATGGTATGTACATCAGGAAACCCCTGAGGCTGATTGAAGTGGTTGAGATCATTTCAACCTCACATGATTTACAATCACTTCAACTGGGTCCCCTGATTGTAATCACACCAATTATGGGGGTGATTGAGCTGATTCAGTGATTGTACAGTTGGTCATATCAGCACGATATCACATTCTCTCCCACATTGAAGTTTATCAATAAAGTTATTATATTTGAACATTATGTTGCATACATACTTGGGAAAAGAACCCAGATACAAGTTATTACAGTAGTACCCAAATGCAAAATGAAACACAAAATAAAGAGAAGCAGAAAGTGGGTGAAAATACAATGTAATCAAAGAAAGCAGATGCGCACCTCAACCGCTGAACCGTTTGGCACCAAACCCGGCACAAAGGTAGAGCTAGTTATCTTCTATCAAACAAGCCTAAGATTGTCGGAAACGGATGAGTGGTTGTCAAGTACATGTGGTAAGACGTTGGGGATAGTGTCACGCATGAGAAGTTTGGTTGGAGGTTGGAAATGACATGGAAAAAACATACAAAAATCATGGGAAGGGAGGGGGATGTATCAGAGGGTATTGGGGAAGGGTCAGGCAATCACGGAATGGTGGTGCTCTGTCAGGAACGTGCCAGAAGCGTATCCGGGTGACCCGCGAGGCGCGCGAAGTCGTCCGGGCTCGTAAGGTTGGAGGGGCGGGACTTTTAGCTTCAGCGACTCGGGTGGAGCGCTGCGCTTCGTTCTTACATTGGTGTCCCAATTTCAGACAGAAGCCTTACGATGAGGATAAGAGTTAGAGGGGGAATCCAAGTCGATATACGAACTGAGGTACATCCGGTGTAACCTACACGCGTTATAAACACAAGTAACTAAATGAGAGCGGCCCGGAAGGAGTGGCGGATCAAGCGCGATATTAATGAATGAAGAAAGGAACAAATAATCAATATCGGCAAACTTGGTCAACAAAAGGCAAGCAAGGAACAATAGGAGGAACAATAGTCCACAAGCGGACAAAAGAGAAAAGGCCATCCGGCCATCTAGCAAGCCGTCCGGCTGGGGGCGGACAACAATGAAGTGGGCAACCTAGGTTGGAAGGTACGCGTGCGAGGGAGGAAGTGCGGATGAGGGTGATGGGTGGACGGATGGGTGGACGGATGATGATGATAGCGGGAGGGACAGGCCAAGTGACACTAGGACGCGTAGAGGGAAGTGTCGGATATGTCGGGTCGTGACATGCTCATGTAAACAAGCACAAGAGGGTGGTTAGGTGGTCAGTTTAGCAACAAACACAGTGAACTGCCATACTTATGACTCAACATACAACACAGGGTAGTTTTGGGTGGCAAACCCACTCTCATTCTTTCTTTTTCAAGTAAGGAACATCTGGGGTGGAGTAAAAAACATTGCATGCATTGTGAATGCAACTGGAAAAGAAAAAAGAAAAAAGAGACATGCATCATCATGTTTGTTCATGCAGTTCCCACAGCTCAGTTTGTTTGGGTATTGTGAGTTGTTAATTTGGTGTTGCATGTGAAGAGAGAGTGTAGTGGAGTGCATGAGTTGGAGCAAAGAAAAACTTCTAAGTTGCAAACCCATTCATTTGAAACTGTACAGCACCTGGATGCAAATGATGGACTCACACACATGGACGTATCCATGTGTGGTTGTGGTGATTGAGATGATTGAGAGTAGTCGATTGGGCAGATTGGGCAGATTGAGTGATTGAATTGCTCTCAACCACTTCAATCGGCCTTGGGGGTTTCCTGATGTATAGGATGACCGAATGGCCGTACCATGCACCCAATTCCTGTTCTTTTGCTTGTCCGCCCCTTTATTCATTCTGGCCCCGAACCGTCTAAACCACGCCTGTACTCAGTCTATATATTGTTACGAAGTCATAAAAAGCTAGAATCCTGCCTAGGCGGAACTCTGCACCTCCAAAACACCCCTTTGCCAGAAAAACAGTCCGGAAGCCTTGGTATATGCCGACTTGCTCAACTGGTTTCATCCCAATGCGTCCAATGATACTGGGAGCGCGACCTGCGCTTATTCGAAGTGGTCTTCAGAGTTTCACGCCAGTACTATGAGACTCGAGCGTTGAGGAGACGCAGAACAGTTTTCAAGTTAGGGGAATTCACCTTACTCCTTGAGGGGTGTGGCGAGAGGGGCAGCCGGTTGAAAGATAGGTATGTTTTGATAGAGAGCATGTCGGGTTGAGGCCATGGCAGCTCAATGAATGTTCAGCTCAAAAAAATACGCCCGCCTTTCGATGTCCCGCTTTACAGATTACGACGTGAGAAGCCAATAGTCAGGAGCCAAGAGCCTGAAAACGGCCCAACAACCAGACATTGGGATTCCTTTCTCCCCCGAATTGGGAACGTCGATAGAAATAAATAATGTATTATTACTTGCTCCTACATCCGAAAGTAATATCTGCCCTACTCGTCTTAAACATAGCCCTCGCCTGCAGATTTGAATCGTATCTGCTCGAGTTGCTCGTCAAGTATAATGACCAGTTAAGTGGTTACAGCTGGACGAAAGAGCTGCACTGATGAGGGGGTGGATGTTGTGGCAATGCGGCTATCCCACACAGCGGAGACCGTCAATACATAAAACGGTTGCTGGTGTGGCACTTCTGTGATGAAGTTCTCATGTTGGTATCTTCGGGATGTGTTGTCTGGGTAACGTGAATGGTGGTAGTGACATACCCACCACCCGACAGTTATTCTCCTCGCCTACTACCTGATCCCTCCTTCATCATCTCCACTTTCTTATCTGGCCCATGCGATCGCCTCAGCTGGGTCATCAGAGCTTTTCAGGATTGGTTTTAAACATGTAAGAACCTACGGACCTTGTTGAATTTAGGAAATACTACAAGGGTGGTTTGATCGAGTTTAGGAGGAAACGAAGAGTTGGTCCTTGATCGTGTGGCCGATGTGAGCATGGTGGTTAGCGTTTATTGGGGGCGAGCTGGATCACAAATGCCCATGGTGGAGATCGAGAGATGATCTGAAATCAGGGTCGAGAATTATACTTTTTCAGTGGGATGACAAGTTGAATTTCTCTTGGAATCGGGTGCAAAAATGGCAAAACCAAGTCTTGATAGGGGAGCTGGGGTGTAACCGAATTGCATGTGTCCATTCACCGAAGAAAACCACGATGAAGTGGATCAACAGGGGGAAATTATAGGTGACGGCATGATGTATGGTCAAGATGAGGGGCTTCACGATGGTAACGAGTCGTCAGAACTGAGACTGGCATCGCTGCATTCAGCAGTATGGTTCGGCTCTGCGGGAATCACTAATGCGCCCCGAAATGCTTCAGCCAATTCTTTAGCCCGTGGTCGATTCGAAGGCTCCTTGCTCCAACATTTGTTTAAAATGTGAAGTGGGAGAAGTGATTTACACTTTTCAAGCCGCCGAGGAGAGATAGGTGGCGTACCACCTGCAATCGCGGTCATGACAGACATTTCGCCACGGATGCCCTCGTACGGCCTTGTTGCCAGTAAAATCTAGAGGCAAAAGAATTCGCAAACATTAAAAACCAAGAGTTTTCAAACGCCTCACCTCGATGCAAGTGCACCCATAAGCGTAAACATCAGCATCGACCGTCTTTTCGTTATTTTCCAATAGTTCGGGGGCTGAAAAGCGAAGAGTCATTCCGACCACCGTGGACGTGAAGCCAGTGGGGTCATCATCCAGGACCCTCGACAGGCCGAAATCACAGATAGAAGCACGCCCGTCGGAAGCGATCAGGATATTTACCTAAAAATCTTCATTGTTAGAATCAGAATCATTCCGAAGCAAACAAATCACCTACTCCTTTGATATCACCGTGTACAATGGGTGGGCATTGTGAATGAAGATATGTCAATCCTGAGGCTACGTCGGCACACTTGAGACACACATCAATTCTCCTGACCCTAAAAATAATAAACAGAAAGGGGATGCGCACGATCATGTCTTTATTGGCGCTAGGATGATTCTTGATGAAGTTGATTGCATTTCCTTCCGGATACCACGGAGAGACAAGACCGTGGCCATCCTCACCATTTACATAGCCGAGCAGTGGAATGATGTTGGCGTGGCTCAGGCGTGACCACACTCGCATCTCTCTTTTCAGGCGCTGGATACCACATTACTTTGGCTGTATTGCCTTTTCACAAGCTTGCGCACCTTCCAGCGTTTCCGTTCCGCGTTTAAATCCTCTGTGCAGGATGGGAGGAGCACCTTCACAGCAACTTCCTGGAAGCGTTCAGAATCCGCTGCAAGCTGGGAGGAACAGATACTGACCTGGGAAATCTCTGGCGAGTTACGCGTCCATATACCTTTGTACACAACTGAGTACCCTCCTTTGGCGATCTGGCGCATTGAGGAAATATGTTGAGTGAGATTATGGCGTTTCACCACAGTCAGCCCCTTGGGCCCCTCAACTGCCTCAGCTGCAGGAGTAACGTGTCTTTTTCCTAGATGGTTGGTTTGAAGGATAGGGCGAGTCGTAACTAGACGTCTTTCGCGGCCGTTCGGAACCGGATTCGTGCTACTTTGTCTATAGGGCATCTTCCTCCGCGGAGTGGCATCAGAAGCTTGGGAATTGCCACCCTGATTTGGAATGGAAGCCACTGCGGAGCGGCGGCGCACTGGTTGGGCGTTGGGGTTGGCGGGTGGAGTTTCGGGCAGCTCAGATGCGCCAAGTTGCTGGAAAATATCCGTTAACTTGAACATTGTGAAATCGGTCCCAGTCCGCTTGGTCCTGATATGCGACTTGATTTCTTCATGAGCACCTTTCCGAATCCTCTCATTCTACAGACATAAGTATGGGTGTGTCAAATGTAAGTGTCCAACTCGTCTGCAGAGATTTGGGGAGGAGCAGCGCTTACTGTGGGAAGAGGCTTTCCTACCCCCTCACAAACAATACCATGTATGAGGCATCGTTGGCAAGGTTGTTCAAAATCGGGATCATCAGTTGCCTTGTCCTCACAAGGTTGCTTTCGCAATCGACAGGCAAAGCATGAGTGGCTATGACGTCTCGGGACATTTGGTACTGAGCTGGAAGCTTCCATCACGCGCTGTTTCTGATGGTGTAGTGGAAGATCGAAGCCACTGGCAGGTCCTTGGTTTTATAACTCCTTAGCGCGGCTAACAAGAGTGGCGAAAGACACTGCATCTCGGAAATCGGAAATTCGGGGGTTCGAGTCACCAAGTTGTACAGCGCCTCAGCATGCACGTGAATGACAGCGCTTTTGAGGGAATCTGTACAGTAAAAAGTGAAAGGGGGCATGGATATGTTCCGCGGGAAATCTCGGAAATTAGCCATTTAGTGAAAATTTTATTATCAATACAGTTACAATACAGCATGTTAGCGCCGCCCATTCCGTGTTCCTCACTCTGAACTTCCGCACACCATCACCGTCTCATGACCAAGCACAACTGTAGGCAGGTAACCAGCCTAGCACAACTGCGGCAGAGACCAGGCGTCTCATCGTCCTGATGTCTGAAAGCCCCTCTGCCCAGGAGATCGCACAGGCTACCCGTCTCAGCGATCGCACGGTTCATAATATTCTCTCAGCTCACAGGCAAAGGATCCCCTTTGAGGAAGTTGGCAACCGTGGGAGTACTTACTCTATACTCCCTACAGCGCTGAGGGCATACTCCATGTCAATATTCAGGAGGGAGCATATAAAACAGCTACCTTCAACGATTTCATTCACTCTATCCTTCCTCAGATGAATCCGTTCTCCTCAGTCTCTTCTCATTATGTATAACGCGTCCATCCATAAATCCGACGAGCTTGAGCAAACGTGTGCTGACCAGTGCATATGTTTTGTAGTCATTAAAGCTTGACCCTAATATCGTAGAGGTGTTCAACTTGTATTCCCCCGACTTAAACTCAACGGGGAACGCTGGGGCGGCGCTAACATACTGTATTGCAATATAATTTAATTATAATAAAAATTTCACTGAGTGGAGTGATTTTCCGCGATACATTTCCCTCAAAGCACCCGCAAGCCTTAACATGTTCACAACCGCAGCAAAACTCGCCGGACATTGTTGAAGGGTGGGTTGTAGTGCCATCCGACGCACACAGCTTGCATGACACGCTGCGTAGACGCTTGACACCACACTCGTACCCGCACCGCGCCATCATCCGAGTCGCAATCCCATCCTTTTACCACACGACAGCCGAATGGTAAGCTTGTTGTAATATAGAACTGCGTACCTTCTAATAATAAGTATCGTAGTGCTGTGCTTTGAAGGTTGTGGAGCACTCCAGAGGGGGTCCTTGCTGTACAGCCTGTCTGGTGTTTGTGATGTAATACTCGGCCACTGAAGTGCCGACGCTATGTCAGGCAACTCATCACAAGAGTAACATTGCCGAAGTGGCGGAACGAGCCTCAGCGGAAGGGGCCCCTTTCATTAAGCCAATTGGCCACCTGACCGACCGTTTGGGCCCAAGGCGCGCTGCCCAAGCGCTGGTGTGGCCACGGCAGGCATCCCTTCAATCAGTGTATTAGACAGCGAATCAGAGCCCCTAATCACTTCCGCAGAGGAAGTGTCCCTCATTCATTCTGCGGGCTTCTGTTAGTCATCTGGGAAGTAGCTTCCAGCGTGATAGCGCCGTAACTTACGTGCACAGCTTCAGACTCGTCCTTGTCGGGATGAAATTCGCGTCATGCAAAGCGCCGCGAGGTGAGCTTCCGAGCGCCTAATACGCGGGGGACCCGAACCCCTCTGCAGTGCATTTGTACATTTTCCATTTCCCCCTCCGCCTCCCTATTCACCGGCTTCAATCAATTAGCTCCCCAATGAAGGCAGTGTCGATATGTGAAGTACTGTGAACCTGCAGCCTTCGAGCCAGAAATCCAGGAGACAACAATAAATTCACTATAATACAGCTATTGCGTCACGATTCCATAATAAACTTGCTGCTAGCATGCTTCAAACCAGCTGGTCGAGTGCAGAGCTACGAAATTGGCGTTATGTAACTATTATTATATTTTAGTCTCTGGTGCAAAATATGAAGCTGACGCATTATTGGTAGCAGATAAATAATTGAAAAAGTTCCCAAGATCTACGCATAAGGTCCAAAGGTGCGAGAAAGATGCCAGCGGGTCGCAACCGAAAATAATATTTATCATAACTTTGAGGCCGCTCATTGATAGTTTATCTCGGACTTCAGCACCAGAACATGCAAGTGCTTCAGACAATTATTACCACAGTGTCGCTCCTCAATGATCGGAATCGGGAATCGAATCCCAAATAGGACATAATTGATCCCAAGCCTTGTTGTGTTTCTGAGATTGAGGTCCTTTCACTTGTCCCGCAGGATCCTCTGCGAAGACGACGGCCAGACCCCTACATAGCAATTTTTTTTTTTAAATATTACGCCTCGCAATAGAACCTGACTCACTTTCCAAGATGCCAGTCAATATGACAATGGAAGATCCAAGGACCAGGATTATCCGTTCTGAATCTAGATCAGAAAAAAAGATAACATTCCCAGTTCAGCTGCTCCACAATCTTGGCATCGTGAAAAAAAATAATATAGCGCACCTAATCGTGGTGAAATCCGATGTTGATTTGCCTGTCGAAACGACATCTCGCTGGACTGGATTGTCTGTATATATTCCAAAGATTGAGGATCGTAAAGCCTGAAATAGATCCCAAACGCACCATAATTATACAAGGTCTGCCCTGCGCTGCGGACAACGCTAAACTTATGCTATATAGACACAACGAGTCATCAGCCGACATGGCCCGCATTCCATAGTAAAAGGGAGGGCCCTTACTCCGTGCAGATGGAAGGGGTGCGGAGCCCCAGGCGATCCACCAGGAACAGAAATCTCGATCACGCTATTCCTCGGTAGGACATATACAGATCCCTTGGGGAGTAGATCCTTGGGATCCGCTCCATTTAGGATTTGTAGAAGAATTGGAACAGAAGGGGATTCGTAGGAGGCACCATTTATGAGGAACGAACCGTTACTGAATACTATGTTGAAAACGAAGGGGGGTACGTCAGGAGGATTATGACCACCAGGCTAACAGCGAGAGGCCAGTAGTTGGTGTAAGTATGTCGTAAAATGGATGGGAGATTAGTAGTTGCACGTACGGGTGTGGGGTCAGAGTAAGGTATCAAATTTTGTTCGAGAAGTGTTGTTCCTAAAGTTTGTGCAGTACCATTAGGCTCCAGCACGGGGGCACCTTGGTAACGAAGAATGGCCTAACAGGGCATAGAACAAATTTAAATTTCAGGGTCCAAACATGGAGGGAGAGGTTGTGGAGCAAAACACGTACGGAATTGATTCCACCGACGAAGCCTTGCGGACCATTCGAAGGGCTAGCTCGAATCCAGTAATTGCCGATGGGTTGATCTGCGGTGACCTGATCCAAGAGGGATTAGCACTGTGCGATGAGTAGGGAGAGAGTGCCTACAATGACAGAATAACGCTGACCCACGAAAATTTGCAATGAATTCACAACCTGAGGCTGAAAAAAAAGGAATTTCTTGTCAACATCGAGAAACGAGGGGAAAAGAGTCGTCCCCCGCACGATAGGAACCTACTCACCTTAGTCGTGATGCCATCCGCTTCGATTACAGTCATCGTATGTCCTTCGAAGGTTATAAGATAGTTGGGACTGCATGCGATGTTAACGAGTCGCATGCGGTATCTTTTTCCCTTCTGTACTGAAATGACCGATAGAGGTTGTGTCGTGTTACCCGGAATGCGACCGAGACCATTGATCTATACAGAAATACACGTCTTGGTCATCAGCATCCCAAAAGGAGGCCCGATCACCCAATCACTACGCACCAGGTGCGAGTCAGGTCTTGGAGGTGGTCCTCCCGAGAGTACTGGAGCAAACCTGACAAGAACGTAAGCTCACAAATGACCCAGACAGGAGGAAATAAAAAAAACTTACGTATGATACCAATCTGCGAATGTTATAACAGTACTCGCGTCGTCTACGTCGTACATTCGCTGATAAGGGTCCTGAGGATCATCTGACAGGAAAAAAGGCAGCCTGTCACTGCCAATGTCTGAGAAGGTTTACGATGGCACCCACAGACAACAATGGGACCTCGCAAGCCTAACAGTGAGAGTAGGATTAATGAGAGAAACGGATAGGAAGAATGATCGATGCGCACCATCGCAGTATTGAGTCGCGTAGTGTGAGTGGTACCTTTCGGGTCATCCTATTAGTACCAGCAACATTGGCTACATAAGCAGGTGCTTACCAGTACGTCCCAGTTTGCCCTCCAGTGGGAAACTTGTACTTGAAACTGTACCCCGAAGCGATTGGGCACTGAGTGACAAACGCGGGGCCTGAATACACGTGATCATAGGTCAGTGTCAGACCGAATTAATCATAGAAGGGAGGAAGCTTCACCATCCATTGCGGCGGTACGGTGTTGGAAGATGCCATGCCAGTGCTTCGGAGGAACATAAGATGACAGCACATGCGATTCACTGTCACCACCCACAATAGAAGTTCCTTTGAGCATCCTAGGATCGTTCAACTGATTGTTGACCTCGACTTGAAAGTCGTCGTGGCGTTCCGCGGTGAGCAGACGGCCGAAGGTCCCATCAACAGTGACTGCAGGCCTTGTATACCCATCCGGATTCACGTTGGCGTCCAAGATGTTGAGAGTATAATGTCGTTGTTTAGCGTTCGCAGATCCCAGCGTCAGCGCTAGAATGCATGCAAGAAAGTTGAGCATAATGATAGTATCAACCAATGTTGGGGGGGTGAGTGCTGCCCATGAGGCAAGTCTCCCCTATAAGAGAAATTGATGCCCTGTATAAATCCCTGGGGCAAACGTAACGTGTTACTATCTCGGCTCTCGTCTTCAATTGCTTCTGCTAGTTGCCCGTGGACCAACCTGTCAACATGAAATGCTCCGCGAGGGAACCGAGCGCTGACCATGTGTCATAATTCAGCATATTCGGGCACTTGCGCCAGAGCGCCGTAAATGGCTAGAAGGGCTGATTGACCATTCAATTATTTGATCATGAGTGGTAAGGAAGATGTCGATGGTTGTCGTAAGGAGCAACGAGATCTTGGTGGAGATTGTTATACATAAGAGTTGCCGTCACGCCTTCAAATACGAACAATAAAGGAACAGCCATGAATACTATTTGAATTGTGCCAAGCAGGCACGCCCGAATCAACTTAGACGCGGTATCCAACTCAGTACATAATGTGGATGCAACAACCGAGATCCGAGATTACATACATGTAAATGATAGGACAAAGAAAGTCCCCCGAAGAACAGCTGCAGCCCGGAGGACCCTAGTGCCATGTGTGTCAGCCTCACAACGAGAGATATGATTCGTTTCAGATTCCGACAACGGATCTCCGCGAACCAACCCTGTCACTTCCGTATTTAAGACGTCCTGATGGATCTTCGGTGCGGTACGCCAGATCCTGACGGGCCCGAATAACCGACACTTTTACTTACGTCTATGATTTACTTAGTATCTTGGAGAGTCAGAGGGTCCAACTTGAATTCTCAGCCCTCTTGGGACCACCGAAATGCTCATTTTACCATCGGCCTGTGAACACTGAAAAGTGGAACGTTGATGTTCCACGGATGGCTGATTACCCACGGGCGATGGAGCACTGACTATTGAGAGGGCAGGGACCAAAAACGTAACCGCAGTTCCGCCTTCACGGACTTGTTGCCGAAGATCATCGAACAACACCAACCGCGAGGATCATAACAATACATTGACGGAAGCACTGCTACGTGGTCACGAGGTCACGTCACCGGGCGCAGGACATTAATCTAACGATCAACGGGGCTCGACTCTGTAGTCCTGCCTCAGCTGTTTGACTGAACGAGTTACAGCAATGAGCCATGCCTTGCCGAATTGATTGTTCTCCATTCTCTGTATCAAGTGTATGTCCGCGGAGCGCGCTGGCCAAACTCCATTATCGCGGAGTAGCTCTTAAATAGGCCGATTGACATCTAGGACACAGCAGACAAACCGAATATTCCATGGGGAAGCGGAAACGGACCCTCAGACCCGCCTAATTCTTACTTAAAGACATTGTGCGAGACAGACAAACCCACTGGCCCAGACGATGCGACGGAATCAGCGGAGGGAACAACATCCAGGAGGAGGGGGAGGGGAGAGACTTGGATGAGGACAGGATGGGAAACACATTCTCCACCGCAACATCAGCGAAACCATACCTACATATCAGACTTAGTGAGTGTTTTCGTGTTGGTTCATTTGTTTGCGTCGTTCACCGACTTGACCATGTCAGAAGTAGACCTGCGACCGGTTCTGTGAGGTGTGCGGGCATACGAATTTCGTAGTCGTGTCAATTTTCCCATGTAAGCCTTCGTACGTAACGATATTCTATTTTGAGTCATTTCGCTTTTTGTTGCTCCTATTTCCCTATTTAAGGATGACAGAGGTGTCTTGAATTTATTTGCAATTGACTGACTTCTCACGTCATGTTCTTTTTGTGTCAATCATCGTGGATGGTAATTTAGTTGGTAGATGGACTTGGGACGGCGGCTCAAAAGGAGTGTTGAGTGTGATTCGTGCGGCCAAAGCAAACCTTGTTGGATTTGGGCGGGTGGGCACTCTGCTGGTATTGTGGCGGGTATGTACTGCTTTAGCTTCTGCTAGCGGTGGTTACTACAATAGCGCTGTCGCCTCCTAGGATCGTTGTGCTTTGAGACTGAGATCCTTTCACTTGTCCTGCTAGATCCTCCGCAAAGACGACGGTCATGCCCCTATATAGCATAAAAGACAAGCAAATTGGTCAATTTTCTCTCTCCAGGATTTAGCAGAATAAATTTGACTTACAATCCAAGATGCCAGTTGATATGACAATGGAAGATCCAGGGACCAGGATTATCCGTCCTGAATCTGGTTCAGAAGAGGGAAGGAAAGAAATGCACCACTAGTTGCTCCACATTCTTGGCACTGCGGAAAAATAAAAATGACGCACCTAATCGTGGTAAGATCCGTTTTTGATTCTCCCGTAGAAATGACATCCCGCGCACTGAATTTTCTAAAATTCACCAGGACTGAAGATTAAACATTAAAGAAATTAGAGATCCCAAAAGCCTAACGTCGGAGGGAGGAGGATTAATGAGACACGGACAGAAGGAATGGCCGACGCGCACCATCACAGTATTAGGTCGAGTAATGGGAGTGGTGCCTTTTCGGGTCATCGTGGATTTCAGTCGGCATTGCTTACACAAGCATCTGCCCACCAGTTTGGTTCCCAGTGGGAAACTCATACGTGAAGTTGTGCCCTGAAACGATTGGGCACTGAGTGAGGAATGCGGCACCTGAGTATGACCACCGGTCGCGTCGCAACGCGGGAAAGCTTCATCCATTGCGGCGGTACGTACGATGTTGGAAGATTCCATGCCAGTGCTTCGGAGGAAAGGATTGTGAGATGGCGGCACTAGCGATTCACAAACACCGCGACTACCCACAATGGAAGTTCCTTTAGGCATCCTAGGATCACTCAGCCCATTTTAAAGTCGTCATAACGTCTCGCGGCGAGCAAAGGGCCGAAGAACCCATTGATAGTGACTGCAGGTCTCAGAAATCCATCCGGATTCACGTTAGCATCCACATGAGAGTGTAACGCTGTTGGTTTGCGTTCGCAAATTTGAGCGCCAGCATTAGAGCGCATGCAAGAAAGTGGAGTATGGTGTCAATGGTTGGGGAAATCATGCAGACGCAGCATGAGCCAGGCCACTCACAAGTCATATAAGAGGATTCTTGCGCCTTGTGAATCCCTGTGTTACGGTTAAGCCGTATATGACACCGAACGGGTTTAACGAACACCCCACCCTCAAGTCCCCAACATGCATGTTTTAGTCAGCATTCATGTATATGAGCCACGACCAGTGAAGATGGACTCTTCAGCTGGTCAACACAGGCACTCTGTTCCCCCTCTGATATATAAGTCCGCACCAACGAATCAGAACGGCGGCGCCGATGATTGAGAAAGCAGGGACTAAAAACATAGCAGCCACAATCCGCCATCGGGAACTCATCGCTGAAGATGTGCCTAAACAACGTCACACGGGATAGCATTGATGTTGAGTGCATAGTCATGACCTCGCGGGGCCACAGGACTAAAACAAAATGGATCCAACGACGAACCAAATTCGACTCTCCAGTCTTGCCTTATGATCAGCTGCATGGAGAAGTTTCCATCTAACCCCCCTAGGCTGATGAGTCGTGCCCAGGCCACGTCGCATCAGAGTATGCTGCAGCAGAGTTGTAGCAGAATTGGTTGTCAGGTATTCTAGCCGCGCGTCGGCGGTGCTGCCCCGAATTTCATTGCAGCAGAGTTGGGCCAATCCGACGAGCACACATCTCTCTAGCGCGTAATGGTTCCCTGACAAACTTGTACTGGAAGGAGCCGGCATAACATAAATTAACCAAACAACCAGTGGTGATTGACACACTAGGAGTCATAGATAAACAATTGGAAAGGCTGCCACGATCCGCTATGGCGACGTTTAAAAAATCGGGGTCCGAAGGAGCAATTGATCTCCATCTCGATTAGGCTTAACTAACTGGACGTGCATATGTCTCGGGCAATTGTACCACCCCACAGGATCGCAGGACCAGGTCGCTCGTCTTCAATGTTCCGAGTCGGGAAGCGAATCCCAAATAGGGCACAGCTGATCCCAGGCCTTGTTGTGTTTTTGAGACTGAGGTCCTCTCACTTGTCCCGCTGGATCCTCCGCAAAGACGACGGCCAGACCACTACATGGCACAGGAGGCAAGGAAATTACGCACCATGGTCAATTTTCTCTCTCTGGGATATAAAAGAATAAATTTTGACATACAAGGCAAGATGCCAGTCGATATGACAATGGAAGATCCAAGGACCAGGATTATCTGTTCTGAATCTAATTCAGAGGAAGGAGGGAAAGAAATACTAGCTGCTCGACATTCTTGGTGCCGCGGAAAAATAAAAATGACCCACCTAATCGTGGTGAAATCCGTTTTTGATCCACCTGTCGAAACGACGTCCCGCTGGACTGGATTGTCTAATTTTTTTTTTCCAGAACCGAAGATTGAGGATTCAAAAAATCCCGAGGGGGATAGAGATCCCAAAAAAAAAAAACTCACCATAATTATACACGGTCTGTCCCACGCTACGGATAACGCTAAACGCGTGCTATATAGGCGCAACCATCAGCCCCCCACGTTGGACAGCATTAATAGGGGAAGGAAGATCCCTCCTTACTTACACCGTGCAGATGGAAAGGGTGAGGAGCCCCAAGCGATCCCCCTGGAACGGAAATCTGAATCACACTATTCCTGGGCAGGATATATACAGCTCCCTTGGGGAGTAGTTCCCTGGGATCCGCTCCATTTAGGATTTGCAGAAGAACTGGGACGGAAGGAGGTTGGTAGCTGACTCCGTTCATGAGGAACGAACCGTTATTGAATGTAATGTTGAAAACGAAATCCACGTCAGGAGGATGATGTCCCCCAGGCTACGAAGCAGCGGACAATTTAGCCAGTAGTCGGGCGCAAGAAATAGCGTAGAATGAATAAGGGAGCTGTTGCGGGGGCGATGTAAGGCTCAATGGCACGTACGGGTTTAGGGTTATAGTAGGGAACCAAACTCTGTTCGAGAAGTGTTGTTCCTAGAGTTTGTGCAGTGCCATTAGGTTCCAACGCAGGAGCACCTTCGTAACGGAGGATGGCCTAGTTAGAACACGAAACAAAAAAAAAAAAGTTAAATTCTAGGGGGTACATGGGGAGATGTGTGTCGGCAAAATACGTACAGAATTGATTCCACCTGCGAAGCCTTGCGAGCCACTCGAAGGGTTAGCTCGGATCCAGTAATTTCCGATGGGTTGATTTGCGCTGAGCTGAACCAGGGGAGGAATAAGCACTGTGTGCGTGAGAAGGGAGAGAGAGAATGCATACAATGACGGAGTAGCGTTGACCCACGAATATTTGCAATGAATTCACAACCCGAGGCTAAAACGAAATTGATTGTCAGTGTAGAAGACACGCGGGACAGGAACCCACTCACCTTGGTTGTGACACCATCTGCCTCGATCACAGTCATCGTGTGTCCTTCGAAGGTTACAAGATAGTTGGGATCGCACGCCATGTTAATGAGTCGCATGCGATATCGCTTTCCCTTCTCTACTGATACGACAGACAAAGGACCTCCCGTGCTACCCGGATAGCGACCGAGACCGTTAATCTAAATACGGAAAGAGACGTATCCCAGTCATCAGCCACGCCAAGAGGAAGGGGCGCCCAATCACCCAACCACACTACGCACCAGGTGCGAGTCAGGTCTTGGAGGCACATGTCTTGCAGCAACTACAGGAGCAAACCTAGCATGGGAAAACGCCCGCTCAACAAAGGAGTTCAGACAGACGGGAAATAAAGGAGAATATTTACGCATGATACCAATCCGCGAACGTTATAACGGTACTCGCGTCGTCCACATCATACATCCACCGGTAAGGGTCCCGAGGATCATCTGATAAAAAAAGGGAAATGTATCACTGCGAACGGCTGAGAAGCAGTTTACGAGGACACCTACAAATGACAATAGGACCTCGCAAGCCTAACAGAGGGAGGAGAATTGAGGATTAATGAGAGAGACGGACAGAAAGAATGATCGACGCGCACCATCGCAGTATTGGGTCGAGTAATGGGAGTGGTACCTTTTCAAGTCATTCCATCAGCATCAGTGTCATCGCCCACACACCCAGTTTTGAGGGCTTACCAGTATGTTCCACTTTGTCCCCCAGCGGGGAACTCATACGTGAAGCTGTGCCCTGAAGCGATTGGGCACTGAGTCACAAATGCGGCACCTGATTATTGGGCGTGTCAGATTGACGCGAAGTCACGACACGGAGAAGAAGCTTCACCATCCATGGCAGCAGTACGATGTTGGAAGATGCCATGCCAGTGCTTCGGATATCAGGCTTATGAGATGGAAGCTGGCACTAGTGATCAAAACACCGTGACTACCCACAATGGAAGTTCCTTTAAGCATTCTAGGATCACTCAATCGATTGTTCACCTCGATTTTAAAGTCGTCATTGCGTTTTGCGGTGAGCAAAGGGCCGAAAGCCCCATCAACAGTTATCGCAGGTCTTGGAAACCCATCCGGATCCACGTTAGCATCCACGACGTTAATAGTGTAACGTTGTTGTTTCGCATTCGCCAACCCCAGCGCCAGTGTTAGAGCGCACGCAAGAAGGTTGAGCATGGTGTCAGTGGTTGGGGGGTTTAGATGCCGTGTTTGAGGCAGGTTATATGAGGATTTTTTGGCCCTTGTGACAGCCTGAAGGAGACGTAACGTAATACCGCTGTTTTTCAATCCCTTCCACCAGACGGCCATGGCCATGCGTCAATGCGCCAGCCATTTGTGTCATCAGAGTGTAATCCCAAATGGCAGTGCTAGATCACCGCAATGGGGTCGGGGTGCTGATTGGCAACGGTTTTAGTGGTAAGGGGGGGGTTGTCTTGGCCAGAAAACCAACGCCTTCTAACAAGAACAAATGTCACCATGCCTTCCGAAGAATCCGAAGAAAGTCACAACCACGAATATAATTATTGAATTGTGCGAAGAAGCGCCCCGGTACCGACATAACCAAATCAGGCAATGGGGCACACCAGTTGTCACTTTTTCAGTTTCTAAGATTGCACCCGAGATCGTGACAACTGAATTCGGCCACCTGACAACCCGGGGAGGCATATCCTAACGGCGGGCCCGAATAACCGAGACTTCCCCGTCTAGTTGTTCAAGTGCTTTACATACATGGTAGGACTTTTGGAATGCACATTTTGTATCGATAAATGTGCAATGTTGATATTCTGTGGTTCAACGAAATAAGTGGTGGCGCTGATGATCGAGAAAGCAAGAACACAGCAATAATGCCCAAACAACACCAACCCCGAAGATCACACGGGATAGCGCTGTAGTCATGGCCTCGTGGGGCTACGGGACCAAAGGATCAAACGAGGTTCAACTCTCTGCTCTCAGCTGATGCCTAGGTCAATGAGTCATGCCCTTGACCGTGTTGTTATTGGACTCTATTTTGTTACCCGGCGCCCGCCTTGATACGTGGCAGTGCGGCTATCCCGAAACACTACAACTTACTTAGTCGAGCAATACATGATTGCCCTGGCCGTGTCGCAGCGGGGGTGATAGTCTGTCAGCCACGATGTTGATCGCGTCAGATTTGCAATTTGACTCAGTTTGCACGCATAAGCAAATGAATGGATGCATTTAAAAGATTATGTCACTTTCAGCGCGTAATTTCATGCTCACGTCATTTCTTTTTATGCTAGACAGCGGATGGGAATTTAGATGACCGAGGTAGGACACCGGGCTTAGGTCGGGAGGCTTAAATGAGGCAAGTGTATAGGCGCTCTACTGATATTGCATCTGCTACTACAACTTCTGCCGGCGGGTGGTTGTGGTACGCCGACTGCGATGATGGATTTTCCTCCTCCGATGCAGCGCCATGAATTCGTCGCTGTTACTGCGCTCTCCTACCTGTGTCTTTCCGCCTATTATTACTCCCATTCTGACTGACACCATCTCATAACCATCATCTTTTCATCTGAGTCGCTCAGCTCTTCTTCGTATTCTAACGACGTTAACGATCCGAGTGTCAATTACTCGTCTCGGTCTCCGACTACCGCAGTGACACAAGGTCAGACTCAGTCGTGAAACGCTGAAGCTTTCTTTTGCTCAGTTGCCCCCTCCCGTTTCCTCGCTTTCGTCGCTTAGATCGGCTGGTTCGTTTGTGGGGGTGGGGGTGGGGGTGATGCGGATTATTTTAGTGTTGAACATTCAATGATGTGGCGGACAAAACAGCATTAGCGGGAATGAACGGGGGATCGATAGCGGCGAATGAAGAATCAACCGGCAGCAGCAGCAGCAGCAGCAGCAGGACATTCATACTTTCGACGTCGTTTTCGGGCTGGTTGAAGGGCCCACCAGGAGAGTTTCCCCTCGTCCTATTTGACTTGAGCCCTTCTGGTTCGCGTGGTATGGTTCCGAGGCTGGATAACGAAAAAAAGAGGGTAACGATGATGAAGCGTTGGTTGTGCTGAGAATAGTCCTTTCAGTTCGTCCCCGCCGCGGCAGCTGCGAATATCGGGAGGGCCATGGTGATGAAGAAAGTTTTGTTTGTAAGGAGCATTGAGACCATCATGTTAAAATTCGGGGATGGCAACAACCAGGTGTCGTTTGGAGGTGCCCTTTTTCTTTAGAAAACCTTTCTCCTCTTTTTTTCTCCACTTCAAACGTACCTACGCTTCGTCAGCGAATCGGTTTAGTTCGTGACTAGCTCACATGCCGCTCGAGTCGTAAGTCATCCTCATCCTCGCATGCTAGCGCCGCTTCTTCAATTCGTTTCCTAATCTCATCACTGTGGTGTGTCACGGCTCCGTCATACTTCAAACTAAGTCGAGGTGCCGCAAGCTGAGCCTGTGAAATTCAACATTAAGTTATTACATTTCAACAATTGGTGCAAATGTGGGGTTGACACATTAGTGGTAGTAGATAGATAATTGAAAAAGCTGCCACGATCCGCGTACAGCGAAGCTTAAACAAGACGAAGCCCAAAAAAGCAAGAAAGATGCACTAGTACCGCCAAGTCGCGGTCGAAATGATATTTAGACGCCCTAACCACTCCACTCTGATCAGGTTTGCGTACTTGCGCTTCAAACAATTGTTACCGCACCAGGATCACTAGACTAATTCGCTCGTTTTTCAATGTTCTGAGTCAGGAAGCGAATCCCAAATAGGGCATAGTTGATCCCAAGCTTTGGTGTGTTTTTGAGACTGAGGTCCTTTCACTTGTCCCGCTGGATCCTCCGCAAAGACGACGGCCAGACCCCTACACGGCACAACAGAGAAGCAAATTGCGCCCCATGGTCAATTTTTTTCTGGAGGGCCACGATGATTTGGAAGGATAAAATTTGACTTACGCTCCAAGATGCCAGTCAATATGACAGTGGAATATCCAAGGTCCAGGATTATCCGTTCTGAATCTGGGGCGGGGAAAGTATATTACTAGCTGCTCCACGTTCTTGGCATCACGGAAAATTAAAGATGACGTACCTAATCGTGGTAAAATCCGTTTTTGATCCTCCTGTCGAAACAACATCCCGCTGGACTGGATCGTCTAAATTTGTTTCCAGGACCAAAGATTGGTGATCCAAAAAAACTCCTGAGGGGATAAAAAAACGCACCATAATTATACACGGTCTGTCCCGCGCTACGGATGACGCTGAACGAATGCTATAGAGGCGCAACCATCATCCCATAGTGAAAAGGAAAAGGCCTTCTTTACTTACACCGTGCAGATGGAAAGGGTGAGGGGCCCCGAGCGATCCACCAGGAACGGAAATCTGAATCACGCTATTCTTCGGCAGGATATACACAGACCCTTTGGGGAGTAGGTTCCTAGGATCCGCCCCATTCAAGATTTGTAGGATAATGGGGACTGATGGTGATTGATAGGTGACCCCGTTCATGAAGAACGAATGGTTACCGGACGTAATGTTGAAAACGAAGTCCACGTCGGGAGGATTATGGCCCCCGGGCTTTTAGAAGCAGGGTAGTAGATAAGTAGTTGGGCGCCAGTGTGGTCCACAAAAGGAATACGAGATTAGTTGTTTTGGAAGAGTGGGGGAAGGGGGGTGTAAGATTCGATGGTACGTACGGGATGAGGGTTAGACTGAGGAACCAGACTCTGTTCGAGAAGGGTTTTTCCTAAGAATTGTGTAACACCAATAGGTTGCGACGCAGGGGCACCTTCGTAACGGAGGATAGCCTAAAAAAAAGCATAAAAGATTTTCAGATTGTGCACTTGAAAGGGAGAAATGTGTGCTGGTTATGGTTCTGTGGAGGCAGAAACACACATACGGAATTAATTCCACCCAAAAAGCCTGGCGGGCCGCTCGAAGGGTTCGCTCGGATCCAGTAATTAGCGACGGGTCGATTTGCGGTAAGCTGATTCAGGAGAGGGATCAACACTGTTTGTGAGCGAGGAGAACGGGAGGGAGTGCCTACAATGACGGAGTAGCGTTGACCCACGAAAAGCTGCACTGAATTCACAACTTGAGGCTACAAAAAAAAACGAAATTGATTGTCGGTATACTGTTGCTTTATCGGGAAACGAGGAAAGAAACCAAAAAGGAGTCACCCTCGGCAGGAACCTGCTCACCTTGGTCGTGATGCCATCTGCTTCGATGACAGTCAAGGTGTGTCCTTCGAAGGTTATAAAATAGTTGGGATCGCATGCGATGTTAATGAGTCGCATGCGGTATCGCTTTCCATGCTTCACCGATACAACAGATAAAGATCCTGTCGGGTTACCCACCCAGCGACCGAGGCCGTTGATCTACATACAGATAAAACACATTCTCAATCATCAGCAGAACACGTACCAGGGTCGAGTCAGGTGTTGGAGGTCCAGGTCTTGCAGCAACTACGGGAGCAAACCTGGCATGGGAAGGCGCAAGTTTACAAACGGGCCCAGACAGAGTGGAAATTGAAGAGAAATATTTACGCATGATACCAATCTGCGAACGTTATGACAGTACTTGCGTCGTCTATGTCGTAAAATCCCAGGTAAGGGTCTTGAGGATCATCTAGCAGAAAAAAAGTGTCACTGCAAACGTCTGAGAAGCCGTTTCGAGGACACCCACAGATGACGATAGGGCCTCGCAAGCCTAACGGAGGGAGGAACATTAATTATGAGAGACACGGACGGAAGGAATGATCAACACGCACCATCGCAGTATTGGGTCGAGTAATGTGAGTGGTACCTTTTCGGGTCATCCTGTCAGCACTGGCGACATTGCTTACATAATTGACTGTGAGAGCGCTTGCCAGTATGTTCCAGTTTGTCCCCCAGTGGGAAACTCGTACGTGAAGTTGTGCCCCGATGCGATTGGGCACTGAGTCACAAATGCAGGACCTGGATATCATTAGCTGTGTCAGAAGTCACAATACGAAGGAAGAAGCTTCACCATCCATGGCGGCAGTACGATGTTGGAAGATGCCATGCCAGTGCTGGAGAGGAAAGGATTATGAGATGACGGCACTAGCGATTCACAAACACTGTGACTACCCACAATGGAAGTTCCTTTGAGCATCCTAGGATCACTGAGACGATTGTTCACCTCGATTTGAAAGTCATCATAGCGTCCTGCGGCGAGCAAAGGGCCGAAGGTCCCATCAACAGTGACTGCAGGTCTCGGAAACCCATCGGGATTTACGTTAGCATCCACAACCTTGAGGGTGTAACGTTGTTGTTTTGCGTTCGCAAATCCCAGCGTCAGTGTTAGAGCGCATGCAAGAAAGTGGAGCATGGTGGCGTCGATGGTGAAAGCGTGGTGCCGTGCGTTAGGTAGGTCTCATATAAGAAAATTTCTGCATCCTATGAATCCCTGAAGAGTCAGGACGCGCAGGGTAGTAACGCGTGGGTCTCCGATTGCCTGTACTGGACGTCCAAGGATCAACATGTAAAGTCCTCAGCCAATAACGCTAGAGGCCGCAAAGTGGGGATGCCAACCGGCGGTTTCCGTATAGCTGGCATAAGGAAGCTAGGAACACAATGCCTATGAACAAGAAGGCGAATACAATATTTGTCCATTGTACGTTCGTGCCAAAGGACCACCCTCGGTGCAGACATAACCAATTCGGGTAATAGGGCAGATTGTCGAGACAACAACCGAGATCCGTGATTACATAATAGGATAGAAAAGCGCCGCCGCTGTCGCAATAACTCGCTTCAGATTCTGACTGGCACTCTACCTTAGTGGAGGCTGGGATCTTGCCTAGACTTCTTCCTGCTGTTGTGTGATCTCCGGCGCCATTGTAACTCCGCAAATCAATGCCATTCTCCAAGAAGTCCACAGGGAACGCGCCACATCCTGAAGGGCCCGAATTTCAGAGGCTCTTTACGTCTTGTTTTGGAGGGTCGGAGGGTCCAATTCCACCCCCCCAGGTGCTCATTTTGTGTCATCTGGGCCGGTTGTCCACGAAACGAACTTCCCCGCGGCCATCACCGAAGATACTGCTTACCCTATAGGGGCTACCCAACCCGCGGCCATACACCTGAACCTTCCAGCCGCTCTGTTTGTTTTGGTCCTGTTTCCCGCGAGCTCGTGACTATTACGCGGCAGTACCATCCCGTCTGTCAGCATGGCACTCTAGCAGACAGAGCTAAGTTACGAGTTGCCTGCCCGTGCCAACCTCATGTGAGGCGGTGCTTATATGAGCACTTCAACGCGGGGTCTCTCTTTCAACTCTCATAATTAATCGTGGTGCTTGTGCGATACTTAGTGAGTTTCAGGTTGATTACCATTACTTCTTATCTTTTGCATACAGTGGGGGATGCTTTCACAGTCTTTCTCAGAGAACTTGACACAATTATGTCTCCACCGATCCCGGAAAGCGCCTCTCGTGGTTTTTGGTAGTGGTAGTCATCTGGTCAGCAGCAGCCTGCACCACCATCGGATCCAGCGCTTGACACTTAGGGATGGGGAGATCCCTAACTTCTCAGCTTTAACCTCCTTACAAGAGCTGTCACTTAATTGTCGTGCCTCTACGGTTGACCCAGCCCGTCTGGAGGCTTTTTTTCGTCTTCTCTCCCATGCTCCAATCCGCCACATACGACTTCAAATGCAGCAAATCCCCTTCTTCCCTGCTGTAAATGCAATTAATCTCACTCATGTTGAATTGCACACTTATCATCCATCAATTCCAAATGCCATCAATGCCGCGACCAATCTTGTGTACTTCTCCGTGGTTGTTAACCGCCTTTCCACACATGTGACAAGTCCCGTAACTGGAATCACAGCACTGCCGTTCTTGCGGTCCCTCACCCTCGGAGGGGCTTCCATGCATCATGGACTCTTCCCCCAAAGCGCAGACAGGTTAGAAACCATTCAATTGATAAATTCAAAACACCCTCCACCAGTGCTTCATTCCTCACAATTCCCTTGCTTGCGGCTCGCCGCCATCGACGCATGCAACATCGATGTCAACGACCTGAAGGATTTCTTTGCTCATCACCCTAAACTTGAACATTTTTCCCTCCTTAATTTGCGTGATACCCATGACCCGCATTTTCTGGAATGCCTGTGCCGTGATGACTTAGTTTTGTGTCCCTCGCTACGCTGGTTGCAGCTGGACGTTATCTCGAGGGCAAACGAGTGGGACCGCGTGTTTGCCGGCGTCCTTTCCCACTTGCACTATATCAGGTTTTTCCAGACTTCCACCCCTCTCTACATCGGACTTTACGGGATATCAGAAAGTAATACACCTTGCACGTTCCAGCTTGCAACATCCAAGCATATTCCTCTATTCCTTATCTCTTTTTCGGATCCCTTCCAACCAGATTGGCTCTGATCTCTGGGTGAGCATACATTACGGACGCCATCTTCTCGACGCTGGCTGATGACCTTTTGTCCCAGCTTCGCCTATCAGTTGCTGTCAGCATGAGACGGTCAATCACATGGCGTGGGATTGCTACTGATCTTTCACTCCAATATCCGTCTCAACAAGCTGTTCCGGCTAATTCTCACGTTCTTGTGTAATGAAGTTCATGTGGAACAAGGTTATGTTGCCCTCCTACAATGAGATACTTGACCCTTTCACCTGGACAACATTCCTACCGGAGCTACTCCTTGCAATGCACTTGTGTGTCCGACTGTGATCTAGTAACGCAGATTCCCCAGTGGCTCGCTGATTTGGCCGAAATTTAGCCACACCGTGCGTTGCTTCCAGTCGAGACAATGAGTCTGTCCAGCTTTCTGGATTTTTAACTTATTTTGTTCATTGTCCTGCTTTGAGAAATTTTGTCTTGCTCTCCTATTTTCCTATTTACAGAGGGTGTCTTTCAATTGAATGGCGTGCTTGTGTCAAACTACAGTGGCTCAAATGGAGTGTAGGCAAGTGGCGGCCAAGTCCCAGGCCTTGTTGGATCTGGTGGGCAGGCGATTCGCTGCTACTGCAACCTCGGCTTGCGATGGTTTTAGTAGGCTGACTGCGATGGCGCCTTTGCCTCCTGGGGCGATGCAGTAATTTAACTATTGGACCATACGCCTTAGGATATAGCGCCCCCGTACTATCAGGTCGCGAGGGTGCAAGTGTGGCCCGATGGTGTCGGTGCTCCTACTACTACAGGGTACTTATTAGAGGCTGGGATCCTGCCTAACAGCGTATGTCCCCATCTCACCTAATACTCCCACCTATGTTGGAGTAAGGTCTTATCATGGATATAACAACGGCTTCCACCCTGGATCGGTGCATGACGTTACAATAAATTCGTCGCTGCTAGTGCCTCTCTGCTTCATCCCCTAGCTCTTAATTCCTCTACCAGTATTCATTCTGGATCCGGTGGGGAAACAGCAGTGTTACTGCCGTTCCGACCAGTTCCACCTCATCGCCTACTCTTCATAGTCCCTTGCATCGTCTTTAAATTCTCATCGCTTGGTATTTCCTCGAGTAAAAGTAAAGTGAAACGTTGATGTTCCATAGTCCACGAAACGAAGTGACGCGGGGCCTAAAGCATAGCCACAGTTCGCCTTCGCGGACCCATACCCGAAACGACACCAACCCCGAGGATTATACAACCCGCGGCCATACACCTGAACGTTGCGCTGATCCAGTGGATTGACATGTACGAGCTCGCGGGGCAACAAGACCAAAAAAAATTCAGAATCTAACAACCAGCGACCGAGTCTCTATTCTTGCCTCAGTCATATGTTGGCCTCATTCCATCGTTCTCATTATATAGTAATATGGCCTTTTTAAGTCAATGAGTCGTGCCGTGTTGCAGCAGAGTTGGCCGAGTTGATTGTTCTCTCTTCAGTCGCACGTCAGCGCGGAGCTGCCCGAATTCCATGGTTGTAGCAGAGTTAGGCCGATCATAGTTCGTCTGATGAGAGGACACATCCTGAGGGCCTCACAGGGAAGCCACAGGGGACCCCCAAACTGGCCCGAATATCCCTAAAGATATTACCCATGATAGACAAGTAGAAAGGCCAGATGACGGAACGGGTAGGGAGGGAAACAGCCCGAGAGGAAGAGAAGAGAAGCGGAAGAGGGGAAAGATGATCAGATACACTCCCCATCACAACATTACCCACCACAGAGCGAAACCTGAAAGCACCCCCAGAACAACACAATCCCGAGGATCGTCAACCAGCTACACGACACCAGGATAGCTTCAAGTGGTATCGAATATTACCGACTACACAAAGATGAGTATCAACAGCTCTTCTGGCGAGACCAGCGGAATTGCCACCGCAGAACAAAAGGAAAGGGGGAATGGGAGAAAATGGTTTCATTCTTTCTTTAGTGGAACGCCAGTAGCTTTCGCGATACATCACTGTATTTTGGGGTTTCATTTGCAGTCTCAACGAGAACGACCTTCAGAGCCGCATTATACATAATGGAATTAGCCGAATTTATTGTCTGAATAACATTGAGGGCTTGGCGGGCCTCGTGGCATGCATTATACCCTTCATCTGAGCACATCTTCGAATGTTCGGCCAGTGACTGCAATGATCCTCCCCCCCATCGTGTGACTATGCGTGCAGCCGACTTGTGAAACACTCACACTGGACCTGGCCTATATGCGTGGTCGTAAAGGAGAAGTTGAATGTTTGTGTTTGTTCCCTTGGACTCGTGCGAAGTCGAACTCCCGAAGCTTGAGGGAATGGACCAGGTAAGCGATTGAATAACGTTCATGAAAACCTCTCCAGGGAACTTATTTCTTCCTTAGAGATGCTTATGTAACCCCGAAAACGTACTCATTTTATTGTCCCTGTTTAAGCGCTGACAGCATCCATCATCCCCTAATTGCTATCCCCCACACTTCTGTGATCATGAAGTGCATTTTAGAACAGGACATCCGGTCGCGCCGGCTAGCGGGGATAAAATAGAGATGGGCATGAACATGCCGGTTCATGAACCGGTTCATGAACGTTCATAAACTTTGGTTCATGAACCTGCAGGTCATGAACTTTCCCACGAACGGCCGTTCACGTGAACTGGTTCATAAACTTCAATACATCAATAGATTTTCTATTAGCCCAGCCACCGCAGACCGCCGTTTAGCCACTACTTCAATTATAATTCCTTCTGCTTCGCCTCTTCAGAGTTCAGACACATGTTAGACACCCCTCTGATAATAGACTGGTCAACAGATGTGGATGTGACACAGACAGGGAAGGTTATGGATGTCCAGGCTATGCAGTTGGGCTGGAGCGATGCAAATGTTGCAGGTGTGTGTCGATGTCGTCCTTATCACATTTGCTCGGTTAAACTATCTTCAGAGCATACAACAGACACCGGTGGAGTGAATACTATGCTCACTTCAAACACTCTCGCGGGTTCCAGCCAAAGGCACGGAACCAGCTCATTTGTCGTCTCATGTTTCATGTTTGCAAGTCAAGTCATCCTGGTTGCTGCCATGTGCAGAACATGCCCACAGATAAGCTCAAACAGAAGACTATGAAATGTAATGTGGCTCATCTTGGTGTCATCTCATCCCTGAAAACTCTACTGCGGCAAAATTTGACCGACACTACCCATCGCATGCTTGTTGCCCCGAATGCATGCATGTCCAGTTTATCTTTCGAGCCAGTGCTGATTTGGTCTACTCATATCAGCCCTATAACTGTTATGGCAACCTCGACAGTGAAGATGACGATGATACGGATGATGAGCTAGACTGGTACCCCAACTCGGGGTTAAGGCTAAAACCTTAAAGAGCGAGGCTTGAGCCAATCAGAGAGCGAGAAACGGTGGACCCGCGCTATTAGGTAACCTATTATAATGTTCATGAACGGATTGTGAACGGCTCACAAACGGTTTGTGTGACCCTCCTTGGACCCTGAAAGTTCATGAACTTTGGTTCACGCGGTTCACGTGAAGTTCATGCCCAACTCTAGGATAAAATAAATCTCTAGGGAGATCACGTACATCCAAGAGCGTGTGTCTTAATTGTTCTTCCAGCGGGCACATAGCGTCAATTGAGGTACAAGAGCTGACCGAACGATTCATTGTGCGGTTGCCTGTAGTGCAACGGGACAAAGAGGGTAGATTTGTAATACATGCAGTCTATTACCTCCAACCCACCTGCAGGCTGGTCGGAATGTTGTGACAAGCATTGCATATTGATTGAAGGCTGAAACCAATGCACGTATTGCTGTGAGCGCTAAGAGTATAGGTACGTAGCGAGTCGACACGTAGTGACATTCCGTAGTCGATCACACACATTATAAGACGAAAAGATGGACTAGCGATGTTGTCGCTCAGTCCGCTATGCGTGAACTGGAAATATATTGGAAGTAATCACCTAGCGATGTTGTCGCTGGTGTACGAATATTAGATACACGTTGTTAAACACATAAGTGGAGGAGAAAACTTAGACTCACCTCAGTCCGCTATGCGTGAACTGAGGAGAAGTCGTAAGTGTTGGAGTTACAACGACGCGTGACTCACTAACCAAACTCACATGATCTTGTTTTTCGTTTCCGTTGTATTGATACCGTGACTGCATTGTATATAGGTAATTGTTTGGGTCTACTTTCCTTTTCTCCTCAGTTCTTCATTAACGGAGACTGAGGTTAGTATCATTGTTTTTAGTTAGTTGTTACATTACTTACTCTGTACTCTTCTGTACTATAGCTCCCGCTTTACGTTAGTATTAACCGTAGTAATTCAGTTCTTCATTAACGGAGACTGAGCTCCCGCTTTAGCCCTCCTATTAGTAAGGTCCAAAAATTGGTGTTTTATAGTCAGGCGCTATCCTGACTTTAGTAACAACTGATCCAAAAAAGGGAAACAAAGTAAATCTTAGCGCCGCAAGACTCAACATCAACAACGTGAGTTGGCCTCAGCGTACGCTTGTATCCCAAGAAATTTAACACACAATTCATTGACCGGGTTGTAATTCGATATCTACTTCAACTTGTACATTTCACAAAAAAAAAAAACTGGCTTACTGCTACCAGATGGGATACAGATTGTGCCTTTAAACTACAAATGGCAAAGGGATGGAGAGGAAGTTGAGTATATAAGAAAAAGATAAGTCATGTGTTGGTGTTGGGAGTAAGTGATGCAATGAGAGGTTGGCAGAATTGGCTGCCAGAGCGATTATGCCGCGGCTAAGAATGAATAGATTGAAATGTAAGTGCTGCTTGTGTTGATGAGTGACTTCATTTCTCGCGATGACCGGACTTGACAGGACGTGGTTGTGATGCATCTTCATCTCCCGAATGATCCTGGGGATCGACCTGAGGTTGAATGGAAACGTTCCGGGACGTTGTCAAGAATGGGGATGTAACAATAAGAGAAAAGCACGACGCACAAGTAAGCTCAGTTCAATGTCGTAACGTTCTTTATCTGCTGCCGCTTGCTTAAGATAGTACTAATCGCGTGGAGGACCATCATTGCGACAAGAAGCTTTATTGGGTGAGATATCCCTACCTCTCGATCCAAGTCACCTAATGCCTTCCATCTTGCACCGATCAACTTGCCATGCTCAACTATCCCGACGTGAGTAACAAACAAGTCCGAATTTGCGGATGCGCTCGGACTGACGAGATGACGCGTCGGGATTCTCTTCCTTAATAAGTTTTTCCCACTCCTAAATGTGATTAAATCCAGCGGCGGCGTCGCCCCGATCGAGTTGCCACGCACCTCACAAAAAAACATGAAAGCAGACAAGGGTCTCTTGGGCGCATGAGGGTTGGTATTCATCGGCTTTTTCTTTGACCCTTTCAACACCATCGGATTGCCAGCGTTTCTCTAATATAATAGCGCATAAACGACCCCAACGGGTGGAATGTGTAGTAGGTGAAATCACAGCAGACTTACACCCTTCTTATGCTTGTAATGACTTGTCGATTTCGGCATCTGATCGAGTGGGTCATATAAGAATGAGTCAAATGAGCGTCGGCCGCAGAAGGTTAATGTGATTTGCCACCGCGAAAAGGGACAACGACAAAAATGCGCCATAAACCGCCTTGGTGCCTTCAAGGGGGCATGTCCTAGGTTCTAACTAGCCTCCATTAGACATATGGAGAGTACGATGAAATCCATCTGGGTTTGAACGCCTCTCCATCGGCTATATGGAACACCACAAGATCCATTCGGCGCCCCCCAGATCAAGAATCTGGCACTCTTGCAAGGTAGATATGACTCCAGGCGTACCTTGAGCGGTTCCCAAACGTCTATAACACGATCGGATTACACTACAGGAGGAAACAGAACACAGAACTTGCAACAGAGAGTGATCGATCCTAATTCGGAGCCGCAACCGAGAACCCAGTTATTTGCATCCGTAGTCAACCAGGTTCAGCTAGCGCGCGCGTTTGAAACTCGCGAGTTTGACATGCCACGAAGTCGAAGTTGGTCACGAAATTATCACATGAAGAAGGGAGAGAAAAGGGGCCGAGGAAAACGCGTCAACTGGCGGAAATCTGAGCCTCCCAAACCAGAGTTGCAAACTGAACCAACATCGTCAACATCACCGACTACCCCGACCACCCTACCGGATGATAGCATAATATCAACGGAACAACTACCACCAACAGAGGAACAAACACAGGAACAAGAATATGAGGTACCGCAAGGTGATCGAGAGTATCACTGCACATACTTGAGACCGTCCGCAAGTGGACCACGTCTATCCAGTGTCCAAGAGTTTGTGTCGTCACCCTTCGCAGACCCTCCCACCTTGTCCGACCCCCAGTGCGCTTACTTTGCGTCCGAAAATATCCTTAACGCCCTCACGTACTACCTTCCATTCGAATTAGCACTGGTAAGCAGCATCTGTTCTGGTGGGTTGCACGTGTTTTCGTTGACATGGGCCTTCCGACTTTGGGGTATTTGACACAAGATCGTATGGTATAACAAGACACGCGCCGAGAGTCGAATATGTGCTGCTTGCCAGCGATTCTATCGGCTTGGAGACAAACTACCGTCGCTCATCCGTACCGATCCTCAGTTGGAAGCGGTTTATGATGGTCCTCAACGGGAACGAGAGAAATGGATTAGTGGCTTATGTGCGTCAACCCCATACGACTCTGCGCTGGGACAAGTATCAATGAACATTCTAACCATGCAAGGCTCCTTCATGTGTTTTGGAATCACGCTCGTGAATGCTCCAGGGATAGGACTCAACGCATGGGGTCGATTTGAGCATGAAATCGACCAACAAACTCTTTGGCTAATTAACAATTCCCAAGTGCGTCTTTTATTATTGAATCTCTTTGGTTGTTACTTCTGTCTCACGAAAACTGGGAACTGCACAGCCAACCGTTGATGACCAGGGTCTTGTGAGTTCTTCAGGAATGTCCTCTCATTATCTATCACAGTTCTTTGATAATCGCCTGCAGGGCAGATTGTTCAAGCTGACGCGGAAACCTGATGCGGGTACACTCTCCTTTCAGGTTCCGTCACAGACACCGACCGCGCCGCCCAGTGCCTAATGGTGCTTTACATGTCTGACCTCTCTTGCGCCACTTATCCACACCTTCACCGATGGTGCAGTCGCACATTCCCTAGTGGAACTGCGCAAACATAACCGACCAAAATCCCGGGCCGTGCGACGTCGCCGCATACTTGTGGACTGATGACGTTATTATGTGCAACAATACGTGGGATTGATTTGTTGTGGATGACGCTTGCGGCCTTCGGTGCTCAGAACAACGACAAATTGCGATGCTCTGTATTTATGTAAAACTAACCGACGCAAACTAATGTAGCATTCCCGATTTAGTCTTGTCTGTCACTCCGAGATTACCGATGGCAGCGTTGGGTGAGCGTGTCCAAGCTTCGGAGTCGGAGGTGTACTCCCTCCAAGACATCAATAGATCGCAATTTCCAGCCGCGTCAATTAATGCGCAAAGACCTTGGCATGCTGTCAACTTCAATACAGACGAAACAGCCAAGGCTGAACATGCATTTGGTGGGTGGGGGGACAAGTTCACGTCATTTCCGCACTACTATATATTGTACGGCGGAAAGAGCATCGTCCAATAGGCGAAACTGAACTTACGCAAATCGAGATAACATCTCCGCCACAGCGACAGGACGGTTGCAGTTTGTCGCTGGCGTTAAGGATCAACGTAACAAATGACCTGGCCATGTGATAAGGAAGCATAGAACATCTTACGCCGTGACCTGCGTATCTGGGTTTGGCGGCGAAGAAGAGCCGAACGTGCCATTATCACAAATCAATCATACCAAGTGCATCCATGTAGCGTCCGAGGCACGGTAATGAGGCCGAGAGGAAGAAACGAGGGACCGAAATTGCGAAGTGATCGTGACAAGCCGGAAGCAGCAAAAATCGGACAAACAGCAACTACTGGGGCATGAGTTCGAGCCTTTTTTCATTGACGAGGAGCACCACAGAATACCATCCAAGATTCCCGAGAACCAACAACCAAATCGGTATGGGAAAAAGGGGGCGACCTTTTGCTTGAGCGAGAAGACAATCGACCCGGATATCGAGTAATAAAGATCAAGGAAGATCTCCCTTCCCCATGCCATGTGGTTGGCCATCTTGGCACACTGGCACTAACAGGAACTTGTGCGCTGGGACAAGAGGTCATCAGCCAGCGTCAAGAAAATGGCGTCCGCAATGTATACCCAAAGATCAGAGTCAATCTGGTTCGAAGGGATCCGGAAAAGGAGGTTCTTCCATAGAATAATATATGACTCGGACTTATACTCTGATTTTCCCTTCTTCCCCGAAGCCCGAGCGGAGGGGAGTGGAAGTCTGAAGGGTCCTGATATAGGGCAAGTAGGAAAGGAAGCACGAAAATGTGCGACCCCACTGGCTGTTCGCCTCTGAAAGATGAGCTTCCAGCTGCAGTAAGCGTAGCAAAACTGAGTAGTCGCGGCACAGGTATTCCAGCGAAAGCGGGTCATGGATACCACTCAATCCTGAGATGGAAGAATACTTAGGTTCCATGCGTTGATCTCGGCGACACGCAAGCAAGGAAATTGAGAGAAATGTTGTTTACACATTGGTGTATTGTGATTCTAGTTGTGGGACTTGTCACATCTCTGGAGCTGGAACGGCACTTGAAATTGATGGATGATAGGCATGCAATTCAACTCGAGCAAGAGGGGATCTGAAGTTGTAAGCAGCGGATTGGGGCATGAGGGAGAAGACGAAAATTTTCAAACCTAGGGATCTTTACGTTTCTAAGCGACAAGCGCTGGGCCCGATGGCGGTGCAGGCTGCTGCCGACGAGACAACTGTGCTTACCGCAAGAGGCGCTCGCTGAGATCGGTCTAGGCATAATCCATGAGAACGTCCCCCACTATATGCAAGGGATAAGTAGACACCTCGGAATGCCGTCCGAGAATACTTAAGACTCCCGAGCACTCGAGCTAAATCTGGAATGTAGGACTATGAGTGGTACGAGGCAACGGCAGGATATGCCAACTTGGGACCTGTGAAAGAATGTCGGGTTTCCCCTCACATCATCAAGCACTTTGACCAGCTTGTGAATGACTTCCTTTGGACACCGGTCAACACTCAGCTGAACACTTAATAAGAATGGGCTTACAGATCTCGGACCAACGCGGGGGTGCTGACGATACACTATTAATGTACCGAAGAATGGGTGACAGCTCAGCCTTTTCAGAAAACGCTCAATCAGCTCTAAACCCTTTGCAAGGGAAAGGCCCCGTATTCAAGATTTCAACGCAGCGCAGGCTCTGGCATTCTCTCTCCTCATATCCGTCACGAAACGATGATGATGTGGATCGGTTCAGCCCAGAAAGCCGTGGAAATGTTGACACAGAACACGAATCGGCATGTCAGGGTCTCCAATTCCAGAGACGAAAGCCACAAGTCCAACCAATGAATATCGGACTGCGTTAATGGAATAGCATCCCAAGATCAAGAAGAGGAAAATGCTCCAAAAGATGATATGCAAAATGTCAAGATACGGAAGAGAAGCGGAGGCGATCATATCCAGAGCTAGGAATTGTGGGAGTGCAGGGAAGCGGGAATGGAGAACAATCTAGAGGTGGAAGTTGACACCAACATTGATTGACATTGGCTTCCTCGCGAGATCGCCACTAGGGACATCATGTAGCGGAAAACCGAATACTGAAATAACGAGCTGCCTACCTGCTCCAATCTGATTTCAACCAACTTTCCTCTTCAAACCAGAATTCAAGACGTATCCTTCAGTTCGCGTGATGTCGAAGGGCATGTTGAAGTGGCTTCCGACGCCCTTTGTTGTCGCGGTTATTGTTCCCTTTTATGGGAAGTTTTGTTGTTCTAACGCTTTAGCCTTTGTCCCTCTGTGCCACTCAGAGATGTATATAAGCACAATATCTAATGACACTCTGATGTCGTGCTCAGATCGTGCTTAGGGCTGCGATGCCGTGATTATGACAGGACAGTCGTGCACGTCTGCATTGTCTCAAAGATTTCCGCTGATAGGGGAATCTCAACGACGCCGAAGTGACGAAGAATTTGGAGCCCTTGCTCGCCGTTGGGGAGACTCAATTGAGCCTAGCGGCATTCGCCGATCCTAAAAGATCACACGACTTCAACCAGATGGGACATATAGAGGTGCTTCAGCCTATTGCCAGAGATCGTCGAACATATGATCTTCTCACCACTGCTCGCCCGCCTTGAAGGAGAATAGGATTTAATCTCTTCGGGGAGGGGAACTGTGTACGGGATCACAGTAGTAGATGTTGTTCGGAGAGCTGGCGAGTGGAAGATCGAAATCAAGGGCTTGTTGTGATTGGTACAAAGTAACCCGTTGTACACGCCTGTTATATACACAGAGGATGGATCATAACATCCATCCTCTGCGATCGAGTGTGCGATGATGTGCCTTGCCACGGCAGTCAGTAGCGGAACAGGCTTACTGTCCCGTGCCAAGTCACCAAACCCTAATTCGCCCAATCAGATCGATCTTAATGCTATTCAGGCACTCCTGATTTGAATCGTTGTAGGCGACAATGGCGGTACTTATGTAAGATTGGAGGAGAACGGATGATTTCTCGAGATCTTGATGGCGCCGATCCATAGTTTTGTCCCTGGTTGCGATAATGAAACGGGGGCGGAAACATGATGACAGATCAATTCTGGAACATTAATGAGATCCCAAGCCATCGATCCTGCGCTGGGGTTCTTCATATGAGAGAAGGAATCGTGGACGTGGGGAACCGTCCTCCATCCTTCCACACGGTCGATCGGTCTTGGTTCGAATGCCTTGCAGAGCGTCTACGTCGTGCGGCGCTCAAGGCTCACAGAGAAATGCTGCTTAGTAGCTCAGCTTTGTAACCTTTTCCACCCTCGGCTTTGCCTGGTCGCTGGACGAATCATCCGAATCGATGGTCGCAACTGCAACGACCATGACGTTAAGGATGCATCTTCCTAAGCTTCCCCGGCCCATCAGTCCTTATTCTTCCTGAGCTTAACACAAACTACCGGGTTCGGCACCAGCCTTGGGATTGGGAGTGTGACACCGATGGCGCAAGTTCGACATTTTCATGAAGCTCGAAGTGATGGTTGCCGTGGACTGTTGTACAGGTAGAAAACGCTACTGATAACTTAGGACTTGGAATTGGACCACCATACTTGTCTCGCAGACGTCCGCAGCTGTTTCAGAGCTATCATGATGTAAAAATTACGACTTAATGACCGGCTTGGCCAGCCGGGCTTGGAGTGGGTACTAGAGTACAATCTGATCGGCCCATCGAGAGATCGGCGTGATGTGGTGATTTCCTTATCTTGGTCGAGAAGCCCAAGTGATTTGTGGCATCTGGAAAGGACGTCGACGCGCGGGTTGCATTTGTTGGCCGAGAGCGAAAGGGAGACGTCTTTGTTTTTACATGTTTATTTCGAATCAATTCTCAACCCTAGTGGGCTTCGCTGCTTCGGGTTGTCAATCTCACTGCAATTCAAGTTCTGATTTCCCAGATTTGTTCATCAGCAGAGCAATTGGGTTCTGGCCTAGTAGCATATTCAACGCAAGAAGGTTTCCAACCATGCACATGACTGACGAAGGGTACGAACGCCACAGTTGGATGCATACACGCTGTGCTACGAGCTGTGGCTCCAAATACGTATACACACGAGTCCCGATATGATATAAGCTGGGCCGGCGCGTCCTTCTCCTCAACTCGATTCGCTTCTAACGTCCAACTCAGCATCATGTTCAAACTTCCACTCGTTAATCTTGTCTTTCTAGCCTTGACAGGCATCACCCTCGCTCATCCTACCGCGCAGCAAAACACGTCCACATTCGTTCCCGCTTCCACTCGTTCCACTCTTCGCCGCGATCCCTCATCCACTACGAGCGGCAAGTCTTTCTAGTCCTAACAGGCTCCATGAATGCCTCTATCAATTCCTTTCATGATAATGACCTCTGATGACTTGTCATGTTAGGACTTGCTACCGTGTATACTTCTTGCATCAATAAGGGACAAGTAGCAGTTACGTTCGACGACGGCCCGTATATCTACATGAAGGAGATCTCCGACCAACTCACCCAGCATGGCGCCAAAGGTATATCCTCATCTCACGCGTCAAGACGCGCAACTGACGCAAGATCACGTTAAATTTCACGTCCAGGCACTTTCTTTGTCAACGTAAGGGAAACAAACCAGACCCAAAACACGTCCCAAATAACTTACCGTGAAAATGATTCCAGGGAAATAACTATGGCTGCATCTACTCCGATGACAACGTTGCACGTATCCGTTACGCCCTCTCTCAAGGCCACGAAATCGCGTCTCACACGTCAGTGCTTCCCTTCTTAATGACAAAATAGCGTGACTTTGGATGCCGTCCGCCAGCTGGTCTCATCCTCATCTCACCGAGGTTTGTCATCTTCGAACACCAAATTCACACCGTTGACAGCTGACCCCGATCCTCCCAGTTGACAAGCAACCAAGGCCTGTCCCTTTGCCGCCTCGTTGGACTGACGCTTTCTGACCTCCTTCCACAGTCAAATCCGAGTTGACCCGCATCAACGGTACGTCCCCATCCGGTGCACACCAGATTCGCCGCTGAGGTCACCCTCACCCTCACATGCAGACGCGCTCCGTAAGACGCTTGGTATAATCCCACGATTCATGCGTCCCCCATATGGCGAATATAACGATGAGGTCCGCAAAGTCGCCAACTCCCTTGGCCAATCTGTCGTCATTTGGGATCAAGATTCAGGTGATTCGGATGGGTATGATATGAAATACCAAAAGAGCATTTATAAGGATTTCGTTTCGAGAAACCCGAAGGCCTCTGGGACTGCCATCTTTTTGAATCATGAGGTGCGTCGAAGTCGAGGGCTATGTTTGACAGGAGATTTTTCTGACGCATCAGCCGGTTTTTTTGACGGGCTTCAACGGGTCTTTGCAGACTCATGATACAACTGCGCACGAACTTTTGCCGTATGCCATTCAGCAACTCCAATCAGCAGGATACCAACTTGTTGCGCTTTCGGTATGCCTCGGCATTGACCCTTATCTCAGCCAGGGTGCTCCTTCGAAGAAAGATGTAAGTTGGGTCGTTTCATCTGTTGTGATAAGGGCTGAACGACTCATTTGCCCCAAATCACGCAGAGTACTTGGAAATGTTGAAACACCGCTCTTCACCGGTAGTTTCATGACGGCATTCGGGCCATTTTTCCTCGTTGGGGTTGGGCGATGTACAGGCTCGTGATTCGTGTTTTCGTGCCCATACCATCATGACACCTCAGACTTCATGTAATTGCGGCATTTCATCATAATCGTTGCACAGCGAACTGGGATACGCATATAGGCGTGGTATATGATCTTCAGTCGGAATCGGAAGCTCAATTCCTTCCAAGAGATGAATAGCCGGTTTCCACACAAGCCAGATCGCCCTCATGCCAATTGTAACTATAATTAAACTTTGGGAGCCCATAAATTGTACAACTCTTTATCAGCCGGGTCAAATGCAGTGAGAATGGCGTGGTCGGAACGGATATGCGAAAGTGACGAGGGTGTTGCGAAGATAGATGAAGAACCGCTACCTGGAGCTGCTGCCCTTCGTCGGGGTGTAGAGATGTTGGGTTGGATGCTGGAATTTATGCTTGGTGAGGAGCGAACGGTGTTTGTGGGTGACTTTGGGTTGAACGGGGGACAGATAAACCAATTTCAGCTAAAAACCATCTTGCTTGAGCATCGTGAGTTCGGGACGTACGGAAAGAGGTGATTGGACATTAATTTGACTTGAATGATGCGGGATCTGTGCAGCTGCAGAGGGCCCGTGTCTGGAACTCTCCATGAATCTCTCTCTGACTTGCAAAGAGGAGCGATACTTACTTGATAATAAAGGTGCGTCCCCCAAAAAACTCCCTCGAACAGCAGGTGAAGATCTTGGGTCATTATCGAAGAGATTGAAGGATGGGGTGGAAGGGGATTGGAAGGGATCACCGCCCGGCATGGATTGCCTTCCTGAGGTATTGACTCGTTGTCGTTGCTGTTGTGATGGTGGTGGTGGCGATGGCGATGGCGATGGCGAGGAGGACATAATTGGCAGCGCGAGCGTCTTAGCCCTGGTGCCAGGGAATGCGGAGGAGGGGTGTACTAAATTCGGCTTGGGCCACAAGACAGCCTATGTAAGGCACGACACAAACAAAAGCCAACACTCCGAAATGCTGAACACACGCATGAAGACTTCCTAGACACCGCTGTACGGCGAAACCCATCCCATTTTTCGACATCGTCACCCAAAATCGGCCAGCACAACGCGACGACTCAAAAGCGGAGCAGCATTCGGAGTTAACCTCGTCAGAACGCATGAGAACACCCGAATCGGACTTAGATTATTATTTTCTCACTTTATTTTCGTGTATTTATTCCAACCCCTGCCCTCGGCGCTCTCACGCGCGAGCAGCCTAAAGTTTGCAGGATAAATATCCAGAATAAACAACAACAACAAGACTTCCTATATTCACTTTATGTTGCCTACATCGATAAGACATGTGCTGATCCCCCTGTTATTTCCAGTTGATGACTCACCGGACGCTAATACGTGCAATCTGCTTATTTCGACTGGAGGCGCCACGATACAAAGATGGTGAGATAGGGAAACATGAGCAATCCGGCGTCCTTCACTATCCCCACTTCCATCATTTCACTCCACTACTCCGGAGCCATCTCTGAATGCATAAGATTTCTCATCGTTCCGGGGTGCAATGGTTGATCCAGTTGTTGTGTGGATCGCTAAGGTCTGAACCCTTAGTCCAAGAGGATGGAACGAACATTCCAAGGTCCGGATTCAGGCCCGGATATTTTTTGATGACTTGCGGTTGATATTTCAAAGTTGAAGCACGTTCATAGTCTTTCGGCAGTAGTCACCTCTTTAGGATTACCAAAAGAGGCGGGAGGAATGATATCAAGGGTGGCTGCATGATTGATAGCTGCACCACGTCCCAGGAAACAATTCGTAAAGCATGACCCTGCCCATCTCCGATCTGAACAAAACCTATAGGGGCATTTTCGTATGCGATCTGAAGAGAGAATCGTCCTGAGTGCGCATAGGCAAAGCACCAAGCGTATTTCTGGGGAAACAGGCACTTCGAGCCATTGAGAGACACAATAAAGTCTGGTTTATACCAATATGATGGTTTGTGGTGTGTGCTCATCAGGTACAATCATTCGCAGATGACCTGCGACTTTCCTACGTTCCCCATAAGCAACCAGCTCATTAGCATGCAGCCAGCGGAATCTCCGGTCCTCGAAAAGCAATCGGCAGAACACAGTGACCACCAAATCAAAACGAGCAACCGCATCCATCATCAACGATGCGAATAATTTCCAGCCACTGTTCTCCTCATTAGCTATTCGTATCCCAGCCAACGTGAAGGAATCATGCTACGATCAGCTGGCATAGTTATCAACAACCTTCACTCACTGATTCTGAGCAGTCAAAACCCCTATCGCCGTTCACCTTTCAATGTTTGTCATCTCTGCCAGGTTCAAAGATGTCTTATAGAGATAAGCTGTGCCACACCGCTAGAATTATGGAGGTGACCAATACAGAGCAGCAGAATACGGACTCCACCAGTTTTAACTACCATGCAGTGCCCAAGAGAACTGGTCTTTATCGCAGTCCCATTCATCTCAAGTGTCCGCGTATTATCCAAGCAAGAGGGGCTTAGAGTCAAAATGAGGCTTAGTTGCTGGCGTGAGCAGAATTAAGCAGTCATTTTTATAATTTATCATCCGGCCTGAGGATTGATCGGAAATCCGGTGCCGTGATGTGTCCCAATATCTGGACGAAGAAAGTCCATCATGTGGCTGTGCATCATTCACGCGGGCTCAGGGGCTCCAGACGCTGTCAGAACCTTGCAACCTTAGGGACATACGGGCATGATGGATGGACTTGATGCCCTATTAAATGCGTTCGAAACGAACGCGGATGCGATTGGAACGACCTTCATGGCACTCGTCAGCTCGTCAGGTGTTCCATCTCCGGCCGAACCCCAAAGATGCCGAGCTTGGAGGATGTCGCATTCACAAGTCACCAGCCTTGAGCCTCAGCTTCGAAGGCTTGAGCGGCTAGAATGCGCTATCGCAGGTGCCAAAGCAATAGCTACTCGAATATCCAATCGACTCAACGGTTACTCCGCTCCTATATGTGGTCTACCACTTGACGTGCTGCGTATTATATTCGAAGCCATCATTGACAGTGTGCCTGGTCAACAGCACGAAGCAGAGTTGCTCCGGATAACCCAAGTGTCCTCGTTCTGGCGTAGAGTCGCGATTGGAACCAGCTCTTTGTGGCGATACGTTGATGCTTCATGGCCATTCGATCAGATCGACACATGGCATCAGCGTCGAGCGGGCCGCCCCTACCATCTATCTTGCACACGAGGACGAGGTGAGAACTTAGTCGACCCTCTCGCTCCTTCTGACTGCTCATCGCAGGACACTCTTCACATCGTGACACGATCAAGGATCCAAGTGAATTGTGGGACCAGTGGGACCATCTCAGAATCTCAGAAGTTCACAAGTTGTTTATCTGGATAAATTCGTCTTCCGTTCAACTTGGGACATCACTTCTGCATAGGTCCGACATTATTGGGGGGATGCAGAATTTGAAGACTTTGCGTGTGATGGGCCCCGGATCACGACGGAGCGCATATTTTCTCGCACCCCATGTCGAACACCTCCGTATCGAACACTTTCACACGGTGTCGTATTCACAGTTCACTAAGCTCCGCACCTTATTTTTGGAGTCTGTTGAATTGTCCATTAACGAATTAGCGAGTGCCCTGAGGTCGAATCAGAACCTAGAAAGACTTCAATTACAGTATCTCATTATACCTTCTGACGACCGCGCGATTGCTTCCATTAACGTCGAGCCTATCGTTCTCCCACACTTACAACATCTCGTCCTCCAAGCTACAAAGGCCCCTCATCTATCGGATCATATCGTCAGCGCCTTAGTGACTTGTGATTTGCGCACTGCCTACGCTCGCATTCCTTTCCAAGACCGTGATCCGCCCGGTATTGTGGCGTCCGCATCGATGTATGCTCGCTGGGTCAGTGCTCTGCTTTGTGTAGAATGCGAGTTTTTTGATTTTTTGATTTTTTCACCATAGCTGCGAACATGCGAACACCTCGAGAATCTTACTTTGTCCATTGGAAGAGGTGGAAGGTTCTTTTCCTCCTTTCTTAGCTCTTTCATGGAGAGCTCGTACTCGTTGTCATCACTGAGTCGGTTATCTGTTGCCGCATCCGCCGCGCACGACAGATATCCTTTCGATAGCATTCGAGCATTCTTGGAGTATCGACAGCAGGCTGCTGAGACATTGCCCCCACTCCATCTCGCATTGTCGGGTCTATCTGGATATGGTACATTGGATAACGAAAGAGTAAAAGGCTTCCAAGAAGACAGGCTTGTCGATGAAATTCAAGTACTGTTGAAAGAGGAATCTCCCTCTTTAGGTTTCGATCCGTTTCAATTATGAAGGCTTGGAGTATCGCCGCCACTCTGGCTACATGACACTTCGGGCTTGTCTTCAAGTCACATCCTTTTCACCCATTTACGGATCACAGCTCCTTATGTATTCCGAGCTTTCCTTGAACTTTAACCATATGTTGTAGTAAGCAATCATCTCTGGATTATATATTCCGATGCATAGTCCATGTACGCTAGTATCCCCACATGTGGGATCTAAAATGCTACGTAGTACGGGGTGAATACGCAGCCAAGGCATTCACAATACGAATGTGGAGATCCAATGACTACGAGTGTTCACGACGTGAGACCCAGGGTTTAGTTTTTCTCTTCATCAGGCTCGGTAGAAGGTAAGATCTGGCTCTCAGGGCGGATGCACACCCAAGCGTCCTCAGTTGGTGGATTCGCTTTGAATAATTTCCCTAGGCGAGCGTCTGTTGGTAGGGTGTTTGAGATTACGCCCGAAGCAGTATCAAGAAATTAGTCTCACATTCTGGATCGCTCTCTATGCGGACGAAGTGCTGAAGTTTCCAGGGAGTACCGGCCACGGCTTCATCCCTCCGTTTCTGACGCTCAGCATTCTGCCGTTAAAAACTAGCATTAACACTGCTCACTCATCTAGTGAAGAACACATACCTCAATCTTGGTCTTCTCCCTGCTGGCCAGATCGAAGTCACCCGTCCGAATACCCTTGGAGACCTCACTCCAGAGCCTCCTGGTCTCCATCGGGTCCTGCTCACTGATGTCACTGACGATGATCTCTGTTCTGGGCCCAGTGACGTCCGTGAAAATGCGCCCATCCTTGAGCTTGCTGGTCGCCGTCCATGTACCCTCAGCCACGTACTTGGGGGTTGTTGACGGAGTGGGCAATTCCCCAGATGCGGCGACAGATGCAGGGCTGGGCAAAGGAGGATACACGAAGGCTTTGAAAGAATGCGACTTTCCAGTGAAGTAACCTTTGCCTTTGTACTCGATCATTGAGTAGTATCCAGACGAGGAGGCGATGTACGAGTTTTCTGTCAGCTCGACATATGGGGAGCCATACCATATGCCTGAATGGGCATTAGCATATTGGTTCGCAAAATGGGCATCCGTAATTGTCACCTTCAATACGTAGTTTAGGGAGGGTAATCAGGTGCGTCTCCGTCGCTCCACTAGGGAGTGTTACGGTTAAAAGTGCGTGTCCAACTTGTTTAACTAGAAGTTAACCCAAAAACGAGTTGATCACTGCACGTGAAACCCCCAAAAAATAAGCTCAGGCGCGAGACAACTCACCATTAAGCGTGCTTGAAGAGAAGCTGGTCTTCTGTGCATTATGCCCCTGAAGAACAAGTCCTTTCGATTTGTTCTCTATGATGTAGGCCGTGATTGGCGGGTGATGGGAGACTTGTTCAACGACCAAGGTCTGCTCCCCTGATCCAGCAACGCTGGGCCAATGGCCATAGAAAAGTCTATCGAGAAGGCGACAACACGAAAAGGGAGCCGGTCAGCTGGGCGCTAAAATATGGACGCTTTATACACATACTCGCCGAGAGCAGGATTCAGGGGCCTTGACGGGACCGTCATATCAAAGCGAAGAAATGGGGGTTGGGGTGCTTACTTCTTCTCCGATCCCATCTGGTCATTTCGGGTCGTGTATTGACCCTTGAGAGTGGACTGTTTGGGCGGTGATGAGAAACCAGCGTTGATGTGCACAAGAATGATGATCAACTTACGATGAACCATTTCAGTACTCGGACGTGACGTTCCTCTTCATTAGGTGCATCTGCAATAGCTGCGAATAGAGAAGGCCTTTCGCCCCAATATGCTGTTGAATCGGAAATGAATCGCGGTCAGGCTAAATGGCCACTTGCTCAGTCGCGTCTCCAATGACGACAGCTCACAAGGATATTCAGTAAGAGAAACGGGAGAAAGGATAAACGGAGGCGCTGTCATGTTATAAAGGTCTCCAGAGAACGAGGCAATCCTGGATCGTACAAGGCAACATTGCAACGAGGAGAGTTGAACCAAAGGGCGACATTTCAAGTAATGATCGATGTGCTTACGCCTTGACGAATTGAGTCCATGAGGTGCGCTGTGATTGCGGGACGCCTGCACCGGCATCGCTGGGTTCTGAAGACATGGCAAATTGTGGAGTGACGAACTGGAGTGATGGCGAGAAACCGAGTTATGGAGTTGCTGCGCCAAATAAGGCTGTGCCCGTGATCTCTAAGGAATGTATGGGTGCACCGTTTCAAATATTCAATGTCGATTCAGGTCATGCCGGTGCGATAGTGTTACATTCTACACTTGAGATACTCAAAGGTGCAGTAAGTCACCAAACGCGAGAGCAAACCTTTCATTTTCTCTGCCGAAACACACCGACGGCCATAAGCGCAAGAGGAGTATCCATGACACTCTCGCCAACCTGAGCAAGGTGCGTGTGGCGGTTGAGGCTCCCGAACCAGGAGTCAGAAGGCATTGAGGAAACAGAGGGTGAGTCAGGGCGAATGCAGACACACTTGCAAAGTAGCTGCCTTCCGCCTGCCGATGGGGAAGACGCCATATTCCAGCGCCTTGATGAAGAGTGCCCGAAATCCAGACCCCGATAACTCTCTCATTGCTTTTGTTGGAATTATTTCTCCATGATGAGGCGTGAACCCCCAAATCACGATCTGCTCACACAAGCCATCCGAAGTCGTTCCTTGACTGGAGCGTTGTATGGTGCTTGTGATGTTCATGTGGCCGAATACTCAACCTTTCTTGCGGATGGTCCACTTCATGCACCGCCCAACGAGTGTAGACGCACTTGTATGGAAGCACGGCGGATACTTGCCCATCACTTTGAACTGTCTCCGGGTCCTTCGGGTCTTTCTGTAAATTTCCAGCAGCGGGTGAGATTCTCATGCGATTTGTGATAACCATAATGACATATTGGTGTTCTGCAGCAACCGAGCATTCTTGGACGAAGGCGTTCTTGTGCACAGCGCCACAAGCACTCAAAGCCCACATAGACAAGCACACTGTGCCCCTAAGGGATGGGGAAGTCACGATTAGTTGATGAATTCAGTCGGACGAATGTCGCGATTCCAATGAATCTGCGTTCCTATGGGACGACTGGCAAGAGCCCATTTGACTCCCGACTTGAACTGTAGGCTTTCCCCCCAAGCATTTTCAAGCCGCTACACGACTCCACCCGAATCGAATCCCCTCTGATTATTTTCTGAGATAGCCAAGATTTCAACGGCAGACTTGCGGAGAAGGTAGTTCGCAAGGCAGAAGAGGTGTGGCCATTTCGTATTCTATGTGGAACTCCTTGTTTGTGGTTGACATGGGATTCGCGTGTCATCAGCTCATGAAGGTCGTTGAGGATGTACTGAAAAAAGCTGGATTCCGCAAGGGAGCTAGGACAACGAGGTGCGACAGTGGCAATGCCAATGGTAGCCCCGTAAGCCCCGAGCAAGCTGGCCGGCAGATTTGCGGGCCCAAGCCCCACCGTCCCCCTTCTTTCCTCTTTCTCCACCATCTCTTTTACCCATGGCTTCTCCACCACGTGCCGACTCGATCCACATGCTCACCCTTTCGCTGAGCAAAATGCAGGGACTGGGAGCCGCCAAGACTCAACGCCCTTCGCTGCCTTTTGTTCATTGAACTGCCGGCCGAGACACAATAAGGCCTTTCCACTCCACACGAGGGCTGACCACGACGGTACCCTTCACCCCAGCCGCTGACACATACACTTCGGGCCTACAGCAGCAACCCGCGCGATCCCTGCAGGGGCCGCACGCCTCATTTTGTGGTAGTTCTTCAACTCACTGCCTTCACCCCAACCCGTCAGGAATGGATGGCGCTCCCTTGGTCCATCCGATGCTCGCAGACTAGCGAATATCCTTCTTGCCCGAGAAATCAACAAGCACAAGTGCACAAGGGTGGTGAGGTCAGGGCACACCCGGGAGGTGTTGACACTGGCATGTCGACAGGAGTGGTGTGTTGTGATGTGCTTGTAGTGGGGCCTCTGGATCCGCAGATATGGTAGGATCCGCAGCTTGTTCCGCAGGCGCTGCATTACTCCCGCGAGTGGCGCACCGGCTCCCCCCGATGCAGCTACGAGATCGAAAGGAATTTAATCGTCAAGGATCCTGCATGGGTAATTGATCCTGCACTTCACAAGGCAGAAATACTTTTCTTGGTACCGGTATCTCATGCGACAATCGAAATACAGTTTGGATTCTAAACTCGCAGAGGATCGCAAGCCTGCTTGGTCCATATGCCTGTCATACGCTGAAAATGGATTTCGCAAATTGTCTGAGGTTCTCATCGCAGATATATTCCCCAATGTTTTCAACGAAGCACCAAGTGCCCCATGAAAATCCCCAGGTTCCTCTCGAAGATTTCTTCTGATATCAGACTTGAGGACCACGCCAAATCACCTTGAGATAACACGTCAGAGTCCCGATTTCTTCTCCACGATTGTATCCGGGATCTCACATAAATGCACGCCGAAGCTGCCATCATGACTGTCAAAGCCTCTGCTCGACGCGACAGCATGCAGGCTGACCACAATCCCACGCTTTGAAATGGTAACCCTGCCTCAGAAGTATTATCCCAATATTCTCTCGCTATAAGGAGTCGACGTTAATTGTGTAATTGATCAGCGGGATTGTAGCCTGAGAGTACTGTTGTCATGAACGCAGCACAATTTTCCATGGGCAGGAGTGATGCTCATATTGGGTCTATATCCCGCGGCGCATGTAATATGATGGCACGAGAATCTAGAACTTTCCCCTGTCCTTGTTCTCCCGAATGCATTCCTGATGCATTCTCCTGTGACAAAAGCTACTTACATAAGTGAGCACGTTTCCAACCTCCCTCGGGATCGCACACCCGAGGCGGAAGCAAAGAAAACAAACAGGCAAGGAATGAAGGCGCAATTCCGTAGAATTGTCTAGACTGCAGGGTCCCGCATCCCTTAAATTTTCCTGCTAGAACTTGTCCGCGTTGTTTATCATGACGCTACCTTTCAGCACAGACCAAATTCCGTCTTTGACGGGGAAGATAGCATTGATCACGGGGGGTAACAATGGAATTGGGTTCGAGACTGTGCGGCAGTTAGCACTACATGGTGCTAAAGTGTGGATAGCGTGCGTTTTCTCTTATCTCTACGTCACTCCCGGCCTACTGACTTTGGTTTTCTCTTCGTCGTGAATGTAGGTGCCGAACACCTTCGAAGGAGAAGATGCTATACAAAGGTTGAAAGAAGCCCACCCGGAGGCTACACTTGATCTCCATTGCATTCAGCTTGTTTTGGATGACCTGCAATCTGTGCTCAAGTGCTCCGACGCATTTCTTAGCAGGGAGAAAAGGCTGGATATATTGATATGTAAGCTATGGTCCTACCCTACGGCATTGCCATCTCATTCATCTACTCGGCACCATAGGTAACGCCGGTAAATACGAATCCGATTGGCTCTACTTCGCGCTTAAGGTTCATTCACTTCAGGCATAATGGTGCCTCCCTACCAGCTAACCAAGGTGCAGTTCTCTACTTCATAGCTCGCCTCAATATGATTGACAACAACAATATCAGGATGGCTACGAACAACAATTCCAAGTGAACCATTTGTCGCATTTCTTGTTTGTTCGGCGCTTGCTTCCGCTTCTTAGAGAGAGTGGCAAGGTGAACATCGATCCTCTACAATGATGTCGCATCTTTTGTGACGCTGCACCTCATCAAGGCATCTGGACGTCCAAGTCGGATCGTCATGCTCTCATCCACAGCTCACCGCATAATTTCTTTGGTTCGTTGTTTCTGGGCTCGTAAAGGAATTGATTGATTAGTCCTTGAAACACTGTCCTTTAGACCTCTTCCATTCCCCCGATTTCACCTCAAAACAGGCTGTCAATCGTCGTTTCGGCCATCAGTATCTTGAATGGACAACGCACCCTCCGAGCCTCCGATACTCGCAGAGCAAACTAGCCAATATCCTTTTTGCCCGAGAAATCAACAAGCGGGAGGTGGTGATGATGTTAAGGCTATCGCGGTACATCCAGGAACCGTCGACACTGGTACGTCAGCGAAAACGTGTTGCCATTTACCGGTAGTGAGACTGCGGAATATGCAGATTTGTTCCAGCACTTGCCTTGGGGTTTTGGAAATTTGATTCGCAAGGTCCTGATTAGTCCGGCGAATGGCGCGTTGTCTTCTCTTTATGCAGCCACGAGCTCAGAGATCGAAGAAAAAGATTTATGGTGAGGTGACTAAATATTTGAGTTTTCACTGGTTTTTCATCGTAATTTGTTCCTGCGCTTCGTGCACCAGGGATACTCTCCCTGGGGCGTATGGATATCCCATATGGCGAACGAAATACAGCACAGATCCCAAACTAGCGGAAGATCGTAAGTTCGCTTTGATAGTCTAATTTGTTTTGTCGTGTGCTGATAAAGGTTTTTCACAAAGTGTGGAACTTGTCGGAGGCGCTTCTTGTAGAAAAATTCCCAAATCTTGTCCTCGAAACCCTCTCAAGTTCTTAAGGTGCCGATAGATGCAACATTGATTTTGAAGATTTGTATGTTGGATGGTGATGAGAATTGAATAATATCTCCATTGCCACAGAAGCATCTGTTCCAAGTTTTCACAGCAGGTTCGGATGATTGATCAGAGAATTATTGTGCCCAACTCTATTGTAGTGAGCATCGCAAGCTTCGGGTCTTCGATTCATAGTGAGTAGTGCTCACAAGAATGAGGACCCATAATTGTAGTGTTCATCCTTCTTCGCGGCTCGGATAATGCGACATCCAGGCTAGGCAGGTGACCAGCCTCTCTTTAACGGGAAGAAGAATATTCAGGCGGGAGCTCTAAGGCATAGCGTTGAGATCATCTGATTTATTGACAGCACGTGACCATGTGAACCAATTCATTGGTTCTGATTCAATTCGTTGTTTTTGTCCTCACAATGTAGAAGAATCGCTCCAAACAGTTTTTATTATCCGCGTTGGATGACTCATTGGTTAGGGTGGTTAACAACATCTCATTGTCAATGAGGTATTGTTAACCACCCCTAACAATTGCTGTAAATCGGTGTTCCTTTGTTCTGTAACTGACCTATATATGCCGCTACTTCTTCTCTTGGTCTCTTCATTCCGGACCTCCCAACTACCTCACCTTCTCTTCGTCCGAGTCGACTGGGATATCTCGCCTATATCTATACCCTTCCAAAGTTTCCCTAGGATATCTTTACTTCGTCTATTCCTATCATTATGCGGCTGGCTGCTCCAATTTTCACTCGCACTGCCAATGGCCCCGATTCGGGCTTGTTCAGAGTCAACTCGGCAGTCTTCGAGAACGTCCCCATTCCAAGACATTCCCCCAGCCCCAACCTTAGAGCTCCGCCGTTAAGACCCTTCTTGATAAGACTTCCTTCTGAAAAGACGAATGACGAATATGACTGTTCTGCGGCATCCACACCTTCTTTTGTGCGTAATGTTACTCTCCCTCTCTTTCTTCTCCTCAGTTGAAGTCGCTCATTCATCGTCTCTCTAGGGACCACAACCTTCTATCGAGCTTGTTAAGCCTACTGATGGACCCTGGATTAACGCTTCGACGTTCGCCACCCCAGCCTCACCGCAGGAAACCGAAGGACGATGTTATCCGCGGATATTTTTTATTCTCGGGTTCTGTGCGTTCTGGTTTATCCTCACCCGTCGTCCCCACCTCTGATTGAGCGCTCCTAATGTTGGTAGTCTTCCCATTGCTCTGGGCTGTAGGAGGTGCCTTTCTCTGGCGGAAGATTGACACATCACACCAACCTGAAGCTGGAATGAATACACCCCAACAATCCACAGAAATAATCTCTCGTTTGCGCGACCGTGATGATACGTGGGCATGGAGATGCATGTATGTCAACTCGCTTCCTTATCATGTTCCTCAAAGTTTCAACTGAACGGTGCCACCGATTCATTCATTAATACATTAGAGCCATCCTCGCCACCGAAATACTCCTCGTCTGCTTCACACTTCTCGTTCTTTATCGCAAAAATATCTTATAGGATTTCTTCGTCAGGACGGATACCAAAGGGGATTTATCTAACGCTGGGTTTTTGTTGTTGTATTCACCATATACCAGAACTTTTTTGAGGTTCTTGCAGCCAGTTTTGTTTCTTGTATCACGGACATTGCATGTTAATTGTGATACATGTAGCCTTGAGTCTAACTTTGCTTTTGATTTGTAGTTAACATCACGAACGTCCGTTTGTGATGATCCAGGAGTAGCAATAATATTTGACCCATCGATTGTTAGCCATCACTGTTTCCAGCTGGCAGATACGGCTGCAAGCACAAGCACAAGACAAGACGCAACAGTGGTGTTTCTTGACGAGGAACTCCGATGCCCAGGTGGGTTGCCCGTAACGTGAATGCTACGCTTATGGTTGCACACCTGCATCAAGACGTAGTGATCGGCGCTGTGATGACCAACTTCCCCTCCCCAACGATCCACTGAGCTTTGGCTTCATCTACATTAAGACCAACTTTTGTGTTCGTCGCTGCAGCTTTGAAGGAAGTCAGAATAGGTACGTCTAGGTGAGCATAGAGGCTCTGGCACGTAAAGATAAGCCGATTGGGTTCAAGATCAACCGTGCACTCCGAGTGGTGTTCCCTACTCTGCAAAGGACAAATTAGTAGGAAAGTACATTTTGGGTGCTATATTTAGACTAAATGAGCTTACCAGGTGAGGGACCGCAATGGTAATAATTGCTCTACGTAAGTCTGGAGTGGCATTTTCGATTGATATTTCCCAGACAGGAAGAGGCTTGGCACTGGTATCGTCTGCAACCGTGGACTGTGCGGTCCTTTCGATGACTTGAGGATGGAGGTTGGTGCGGGCTTTGAGGAGGAAGGGGACTTGGAGTCTGACGGTGCGAGTTCTTCGATGAGAAGTTTTGAGGACGAGGCGGCGACTGGCTTAGCAGTGTCTGGAGACCAATATGACGGCACAAGTACTGTTCTTGGTGTAAAGGGCCTTTTGACTTTATGTTTGGTGTTCCGACCTCTACAATGCTCGAATTACACCTTCATGACTCACTTGACAGAGGTTGGGTGGCACTCACCTCTTCCAAGCGTCAAACCACTCTTATCTTCAACCCGTTCTAGTGCAATTTCTTAGGGACAAGGCAGAGCCATATAGATCAGAAAGTGCATGGTTAGAAAAAGTCAATCGCTAACTTAACGACTTACCTGTTATGAACGTCCTGTAGTCGAGATCCTTCGATACACGTTCACGAATGGACGTATTAAAGATTGTGTCAAAAACTAACGAAGCGTTCCCCCCTATGAAGTGCGAGGAATCATAGGTCATTCATTAACCGAACCAATCGTGACTAGTTAGGTCGATGACGGAAAGTGCGACGAAAACAGACCCTTGTCCAGGACTTCCCGGCCATCACTGACTATGACCGGAACATAGTATGCACCGTCATCCCCGGCCATCGCTTTCCGGATGTCGCTCTCGGATGCCTTGGGCGGTGGAGGCACTGCATCGTCATACGCGATGTTAACGAAGATCTTCAAACCAGCGGGAACGGGGATGGATTTGAGCACGGGCTCAGGTATATCTAGAATCCCCTTGTTTGAGGCATCCTGAGCCTGTTTTTTGGTATCGGAATCAGGTGGAAGTCCTCGAGGGGTGTAGACGCCTGGCGTCTGGCATATAGTTTTTACAACAAATCCGGCCACCGGGTTTAGTTCAACTCTCTTCGTGCGCGCACTTTCGGAACATTGGTGAGGGGGACGTGTTTGGCACACAATGATGATCTCTTACTTCATTTCACACAACAGTTTCTGCTCTACTTTAGTAGAGGTTGGCCAAATCGATGAACGGCAATGGCCGCCTACGCTTGCAATTCCCGACGTTTCAAGCCCGCCCACGCTGGTTGAGCAATCTGACTACAATATCGTGGAGATAATCCCGTACTTATCGACTTCGACCCCGTCTGTCCCGTTAGCTCATATTTGCGCGACTCGATCCTCTGCGTCGAAGTAGTTATAATGTACCCGGGTTTTCGTGAGACTCCATTAAGCATTTGATTTCCCTAACTAGTTTTATAAAGGCATTGTTCATTGCGATGTTCTGGACCTAATGTTTATCTAATTTATCCAACGCGCTTTCATCAAAGCTTGTGTACTTCCAACCGCTTCGGGTCCTGAGTGGCGTCATGAAGGATATTTTCTCATAATATTGCGACACCGTACTCGTCGCACGCCCCGCCCCGACACAATGATCATTGAGCGTGAGGAGAGTTCATTTCTACCAGGACCACACTCGCGCCTTGCGCTTCGGGCCCGACGTCGGACGGAAAATGCCGCAACCTACATACATAAAGTATCTGATTCACGACAGATTTGCAAGAAGTTGTGTGTTCTTGCCTTTTGCTTTTTCTCCACCAACTACTTTACTTTCTCTGTTTCTTAATGGCTTCTACACTTGCTCAAGATGGTCGTGTCATCGACGACACCCGTATCCTAGGCGTGAGTTTCGGCGACCGATCGGACTTTGGGACCATCACAGCGTTTTCCTTCAGTACGATCCTCTCATTCAACCGGCCTTGATTCGTCAAGAAATTCCTCTTACTCCCCGATCCGTTAAAACGGTGGCTGATGGGCGGCGGATTGCCGCCAGTATCCTCGCTGGACGCGATCCCCGTGTACTTGTCATCGTCGGGCCTTGCTCAATCCATTCTCCTCAGTTAGCCTTGGATTATTCATTCAGGCTTAAAGAGCTCGCGACATCGTTAGGTGGGCTCTTCATCGTCATGCGTGCATATTTGTGAGTAGCCTAATTTTCTGGACGAGTCATTCACGCACATGGCTGACATCTGCCATTTTCAAATAGCGAAGTCGGTCTTGTTCAATTGTCTTGAGACTCGACGCTGACATAGGACTTCCTGTTTAAGAAACCACGCACGACCGTTGGCTGTGGGTCTGTGCTCACCAATTTCAACTCCAGAAGTGCTCATCTTCGTTTACAGGGAAAGGGTTGATTAATGATCCCGACATTGACAACACATTCAAAATCAACAAAGGGCTTCGTATCGGCAGACAACTTCTTTGTGACATCACTGATATGGGACTGCCTGTTGGCTCGGAGCTTTTGGATACGGTTTCGCCACAATTCCTTGCTGTAACGTATTATGCTTGTGGGTGCGAATAAGCGCTGATATTGCTATGAAGGATTGCTTGAGTTGGGGTGCCATCGGCGCACGCACCACTGAATCTCAACTTCACCGCGAACTCGCCTCCGGTGTATCTTTCCCCATTGGTACGCTGCCTTCAGGGCGTAATTATCACCCAATGCTAATTGGCGTCATTTTAGGTTTCAAGAATGGCACTGATGGCTCCGTCCGTGTTGCAGTTGATGCTATGCGCAGTGCATCAAATCCCCATGCGTTCATGGGTGTTACAAACCAAGGTCTTGCAGCGATTGTCAAGACTACCGGGAACCCCGATCTGCACGTTATCCTTCGTGGTGGCACAAAGGGAACGAATTATGACGCACAGTCCGTTCAGGCTGTCGAAAATGACCTCAAAAAAGCGAGACCTGAGGCTTTCCCGAGCATCATGGTTGATGCTAGCCGTGCGTGTTGTCTCTCCTACACCTAGCGCCAGTTGCACTGACATGTAGTATTAAGATGGGAACTCGCTCAAAAACCATAACAACCAGCCCAAGGTTGTTGATGTGATCTGCGAACAGTTGAAGGCTGGTGCCACGGCTATCACTGGGGTAATGATTGAGTCGAACATCAATGCTGGTCGTCAGGATGTTCCACCTGAGGGTCCTGAGGGTCTCCAGTATGGTATTAGTATCACCGATGCCTGCATCGGCTGGGAAACCACCGTCAGGGTTTTGGAACGTTTGAATTCTGTGCGTACCTTCCCATAAGATTCGTGGAGGTTGGTCGCTCAGTGTCTTTTCTTAGGCTGCTCTTGCTCGACGCACTTCTTCCGTTTGAGTCTGAACGAACCCAGGCCTTTCAGGCCCCGGATAATGGGGGATTGCTCTGGAAGCCTTCGTTTCTTGATCATCTAAAACGCGTTCTTTGCCACTGAACAGACGACGCCATTTGTAATACAATGTGCTCAGAGTACATAGATTTATTCCCGCTACTCTGTAGCGGGTCTTGTAAAATTTTCGACCCTGATTGAATGCGTTTGATGACGAGGTCCTCTATTATTGCCAATTCTACATAACCAGGGTCCTCCAGCTCATTAATTTAAAGTTGATGAGGAACGAGATTACCTTCAAATCAAGAGGCTTCGACGTCCTGTCGGGGCCGTCGCCACGCTATTCTTGTCGCATTCGCTCACACACAAGTCAATTTCACTTATACCACCCACTCTTACAACATATGCTGTTGTGTCCGGAGGTGTGGTGTCAATGTCTCCCTCCAGCGTTACGCTTCAGGTCTGTTATAAATGTCATCGCAGTCTCAAACGTGGTCGCATTCCAAAAACTGCACTGGCTAACGATTTATACTTTGGCCGACACCACCACAGCTCGCGGATTTCATTGAGGAGGCGCTGATCGCGAGAAGACGTGCCAAAAGTTGGATTGTCCATTTACACGATGATTCCTTGTCCGCGAGCATTCCATCGGTCCTCCTAATACTTCTATCAATCCCACTGCTCAGCGGGCTTTGAAAGGTCATGTGATTGTGTTCCCTGAGGCTCTGTCTCCATTTTTACCACCTGCACTCGAAGAGGTCATTACTCCCTTTGTGTCGTATTTGTTGGTCATGTCACCCCACCAAAGAGTGGCTATTAAAGAATGCGTGGCCATTAATAGTGAGACAGGAAAAAGTACGGCTGGCACTGGAATGGCTAATACACAACAACCCTCTGTACGCGATGTAACACTCCATGAAGAACACCTCAACAGTCTGCCTGCTAAGTGGAATGAGTAGCGGGTACTTGCCGCGCCAGGCGGCGTCCACCAGTTATTTAATATAATGATACGATCACTGCGCTGCTCAACGTGTTTATATTATCACGATGCCCAAAAGTCGAGCACTTCGTATACGGATTCCAAGGACCATACGGCGTTTCTGTTTCCCCCGACGGACAGCGCTGTTTTCTGTACCACGAGGGCAAGGGAATTTCTGCTCGTGTAACGATCAGTGCGAGATGGCTCGTCCGAGCCTGCAGGGTTTCCAGAATGCCCTCGGTACTCTGACAATGCGCTCATTGCCAGTCGTCGGAGTGCATATAATGTTTGAGCGGACGGAACTCGCTCGTTGATCAGGAAAAGGGACAGCTGGCGTTTTCTCGTTCTGAGATCTACGGCACTGGTCCACTCCTCAGTTTCTTCATCGATACCAAGGGATGCTCGTGTTGAGGCCAGCGCAGTTTTAATGTCCTCTCCCCTGACATATGCCCTGTAGCAGGCCATAAAACCCGCATCACGACGTAATGCATCCACCTCAGTCCCCAGTTGCGCCATGGTTGCTTGCAAAGCTGCGATGCGGAGCAAAGGCTGCCTTTGAGTTGAATCAGCAAGACCCCCGTGTAACCTGAACAGTAATACATAGAAATCGTGAGCGAGGATAACGTCTTTTACTTGCAAAGGACGCTGAGGGGTATTCTCCGATGTTTTGATACGGGCGAGGTATAAGGTGAGAAGGGATTCCAAGACTTGAGGCTTGTCTGCGGAAAGAACCTCAAGAAGAGATTGTTGACAATAGGCTGTGGTCATGGATTCTGCTGGGTTTAAGCCTGGATGCCTGCAAAATCGATCCGCGAATGCCAGTAATGCAGGATCGTTTGAACTCTGAGTTGTGAAGTGACGCATGTCATCAAAGGATCGGGGAAGCCATATTGTGCTGGGACTCGACTGCGCACTCGCAGTAGCTGAAGCTAGGACTTGTTTTGGGAAATCAAGAATAGATGGATCCCCAACGGGTGATCCATTCCATATTGACAGACTTTGGAAGCCCATCGGATCGCTCGCGTAAGCGAGAAAACCGGTTCTGCGTTTTACGTAGATCGTCTGGGTGCGTAACAGGTTATCTCTGTTTCGTTCGTTACCCGCTATGTCGAGGACAAATGGCCAGTACCGGGGGCTATCAATCTTAAGGGAGACAAATCGGCCGAAGTCAGGAAGCAGAGTGGGACATGTGAAGTGGTGAGTCCTGATCGGTTCATCGGGTTCTGCAACTTTGAACTTGATGGGAATACGAGCAATTTCATTGGTGTCGGCATCTCGCGCGATCAAGCAGCGCGGTTCAACAGCAATCACCCACAGATACCTGAAAGCTTGTAGCAAACCTCTTGTTTCATTAGAGTGTAGTGGAAATCTGGGATAGAGCGCAGCCACGAGGCAGGCTATGGCAGCGTTGGATGTCCCTAATGTGTAGCGTCCTCCCCCGAGGAATAGGAATCCCATAGCCATGTGCGTGGCAATGTGGGCGCCGTATTTAAACTGAGGACCAAACAAGCCATGACGAACGCGGAAACGTTGCATACATGCCACATCTCCTGTTCCTGCCATCACAATCCCGAGCGCCAAGTCTACAACGTTGATTGCTTCCCTGATTGCTGAGCGGCGTAATTGCAATTCGAATGTTTGTCCTTGACAGGCAGGGTTGAAGATAAAGAGCGATAAGGCCACCTGTTCCACTCACCGTTGGGTTGCCTTCTCAAATTTTCAAGCAACTTATCGTGAAAGTGAATTAGCACTTGATTGGCCGTTGTTTTCGCTGTTCCGGCATACTTCAATCCTATTGCTAAACAAGCCCCCGAGAGGATATTGAAAAAGGCGTATTCGTAAAGGTCCTTGACACCCTCTTGTATTTGTTTCTTTGTCAGGTCCTTAGGAGCTCCCTGGGCTTGAGATAGCACCCATGTAACCGACGGCTCAATGTCATCCCACATTACCAGCGACTTGCCGAGAGCACGGAGCAGTAAAAGACTAGGCTGAATCTCGCGAAGTCCTGCAGGATCCGGCGGCAGGGCGAATGATGCAGCAATATCAGCTCGATTAGTTTTGAGATACATGAGAGCCAGAGCAATGGTAGCCGCTGGTGACACGAAGTTCATATTCACTTCCGCGGTCGGAAGGGCTTCCTGGGGTGTTTTGAGTCTCGTTTGGTCTCCTGGTTGCTTTCCGTCCACGAAGGCCCGTAGCGTCTGGACATTCTTCGTATCTGATGGCCCGCTTGCTTCGGACCCGTGACCGCACATAATCATCCCGAACGCTAAAGCGGCCGTAATTGTATAGGCCTCCTTATGTTCGTTACTGATCTCGGGACCTCCCAACCGCCGAGATGCACTCATTTCTTCCAATGCCACATCAGCCATTGCGCGGTCCATGGTCCCAAGGTACAGAAGACCGAGGCCCATGAGTGCGGCAGACTGAGCCCCCAACGGGATTCCAAGTTCGGCTGAGTCGGGCGGAAGTAAAGGTCGCATATGGATGGTCAGTATTCGAGTAATATCCGAGTCCGCCAGCCCAACATGAGCAGCCCCGAGCCCAAGAAGAATAGCAATGGACGTGAGTTCATGCTTGGGAACGAGGTAACGATAGCCGTGCCAGTTCCACAAACTTCGAAGGTGACCAGTTAGTCCTAAACCCAATAAATATCCTGCATGCTCTGCAGTTAACTCGTGGGGTTTGTTATACGCGATCCAAGCACTGTCGATGCCCCGAGCAGAGGTGCTGATGCGCAGAGATGCAGCTACACCGTTATGGAACTCTGCCCAGGCTTTTGCTTCGGTGTGAGTTTTGGAGAGGTCCGCCGGATAAGTCACATTATGGGGAACGAACTTGACATCAAGCACGAGTGGAGGTATAGAAAATTCATCGCGTGCAAGCTTGGGAAGCGAACCGAACAAAAATATTGCTCTGCCAAATGCTAGTGAAAAGGTTCGTTCAATGATGTGATAAACAGTCGCAGCGAGCTCTTTTGCTAATTCATGTTCGCTGTCGATTCATGGATTTAACGGTGACCTCAAATTCAGCATGTGGATACTCACTTCAGATCTTGTCGTTCTGGGATTTTAACAATCTGAAGCTTATTAGGATTGAGTATTGAATCAACTTCGGCAAGTCTTTGGTCTTCGGAAAAACGGATGCGCGCAAAATCGAGCCTATTAGGATCAAGCTCTTTTGTTGTTTCATGACGAGACGCAGCGAGAATGCTCGCTTGATCAGCGATGCAATCTATCGTCTCGAAAACCTGGTCCTTTTCCTGATGATTGGCGAAGTCATCACATATAAAACAAAATAATGATCGCAGGGACGCTCACCGCATGATCCCGGAGCTGGTAAGCCTCGCCGAAAGTGAATGGATCCACCTCCTCTCCATTGGTTGTCATCTGCGCAATATCATTGCGACCAATCAACAAATACGCCTCTTGGCTCCAATCTGAAGGAGGAAGAAGTTGGCAAGTTTTTATCGCTTCCCGGATAGGAGCGGAGAGGCCGAGAGGCAAACGGTCGATGTCGGCTGGAGAAAAATGGAGATCTGCCATCTTTTTGACGGCACTCTGTGCCCGTTCTCTCGTGGTAGAAGGATCTAAATCCCCGCCCCTGAGGGCAGAATATATCGAAATGACACTCTCAGATAAGGGCGTTGGAGATGAGGTTCCATACTCGAGGGAGGGTGAAAGCTGATAGAGTTTGTAAACCGATGGCAAGATCACATGCGAGCCTTGATGACTGCTAGAGCCCAACACAGAGTTGAGATAATTACCCAGATCGGGAACGGGTACAGGGCTCAACGTATGCACTGAGATAATTCATGTCAGCGTAATGTGATTGGCATCAACAACGACATGCTTACGAGAGGCAGATAAGTCCCAACTGTCAGATGCATCCGGAACCAACCTAATCCAATAATCCGCCCAATCCGCGCCAACGAACTTCGCGATATCCACAAGCAACGGTACCAAAATGTCCAGATCCGCTTTATGATAGCTGTCGAGCTTGAATTCTTCTGCGAGCAAATGGAGACCGTGGAGAATTGCTCCGCATTCGTTATACGAAAGTGAGTCAGATCTGTGGTCGGGCGATTTCGCAGAAGCGGCAAACGGAAGGTGAAGGTGAAGTAATGCTGGGTCGTTCCGTAGGTACGAATGAACGTGATGGAAGGCCAACTTCGACCATGCATCAGTATCATGGCTAGGGTCCATCGCCGCAAATTCGTTCTTCTGGAATCGTCCCAGGTTCCTCATCACGGCTCTTGAGAAACAAGCAAACTCTTCCCTGATGCTGCCGCAACTTCCGGTGCGCAACCAGTTGACCAAATACTCCTTCCTAATGGAAAGGAGTCGCGAAGCGGAGCAGACATGAGAGAGAGCTTGAAAGCATCGCTGGATAAGTTCGTGTTGAGGAGTGAGGTCCGTGTTTAGACGTATCAACGAGCCGTCGGAATATTGTAGTGACACCCCTGAGCGAACTGCATTGAGTAATTTCACGGGTACTTGCGAAGTGCTGGCTGCATGATTAGAGGGCGAAGGTGACTGCGAGATGGATAGGCGATCACTTTTGGATAGCGCGTCATGTCTCAAAGCTACCTCTATTGTACCACCAGGACAAAGAAGAAACAGTGAACCGTCGTTGCGCAAACAGAGAAGATCCTTGATACCGTCCTTTTCGGCTCCGGATCGTGTGCTCTGGACTGGTGCTATGCTTATGACATTCGGTATTGCTTGCTGATACCGCGCTGTTAGACGATCATCACCCCCAGGTTCCACTCTCACCACGTGCAGCACAGAAGAGGTTCGAGACTGCAGAGCAATGCCGACAGTGGACTGAGTTAACCGTGCGTCGAACTGCACGACCTGGACAGTGGCCGGATTCGATATTCTGATAATTGATTGGGGATGAAACATAAATAGAAAGAATTACTGCCGAATGCGCACATGTCATCAGTTACTCGGAGCTCCCAAAGTTTCTCCACGAAAAATTCGGCATTTACACGCTTGTTATCTGGGTAACGCCCAGGAATGGGTGATCCGGAGGCCACTTCATCCATAGTTGGGAGCCCAATGTGGTCCGGGGTCCCAGATTGACGTAACTCGTCCACACCAGTTCCACCGATGGCCAGGCGATCTAGCATCGTGTCCGGCCCTGCTCTCGGGAGGGACGACCTTCTTGTCTTTTCAGTCTCCGAATCCCCGGACGCCCTCATGAGCTGTTCAAACTCCGCAGTCAGATTCCGATTTGCAGCACTCCCAAAGGTGGCCACTGGATCGAGAGAGGGTGACACGACTCCGACGCTAGAGGCTAAAGAACCAGGTCGCCGAGCATTTTTTGAGCTTAGACGAGGCAGTGGACTAGGTCGATCGTTCCGCTTGATATAGACATATCGGAATAGCCTCAGCGAGACAGCCTCAGCGTCCAGCGTGGCAATCAATCTATCGGGTCCGGTAGGGACAAAATGGTTATCGGGAGATACGTAAATTACATGGTCGTTCCATTTAATGAGGGGGTGAGGTCAGGGCTATAGACGATACGTGGGAGATCATCCGAGGGGGATCGTCCTGGTGGAGCACAGGACATCCCGCCAATGATTTCCGAGGCGAAGATGATGGGGCGTGGCTCATCAAATGGAGAGGTAATAGAGTACAGCAGGGGCATCATAGGAGATCCACGTTTTCGGGATTCTTTCTCGTCCGAGACGTTGAGGGCTGCGTGTAACAGAACACCGACTGGGAGGAGCTCCGAGACGCGTTTAACCGTGAAGGGCAGGTTAATGGTAAATTCTAAGCCATCCATGCTGTAAAAGTACCCAATATCCCGGAGAAATATGCATATAACCCTAATGTGGGAGGTTGGACAAGTAGACCGATTGGAACGAGAGTTGAGCGAGGAAATCACGTCTAAATGGGTGAATGGACTGAATGTCCCAGCCTGCTTTGCTACCCTAGCAGCCTTGAGAGACAGTGACGCCGGCCGATGAGATGATGACGGTGGCGCGCGGTATTGTTCTAATTTTGAACCATCAAGCCAAGCAAAGCACACTCCTGTCACGGTTTGGTGGTGGTCAGCGAAAGCCCATCTTCTCTTCTGCACACCCGCTACACTCCATATTACGACATTCGAATACCAGTAGAGCTCGTGCTCGCCCTCACAGGGGCCAAATGAGTTCGACAGAAGACGCTGTTCGACGGACTGGGGTTCAACCAACATACGAAGGTTCTTTAGGAGATCCGACTCTCCTTTCACGGGAACCCTTTTCATGCCTGTGCCCGTCACGAAAGTTGGTCCCGGTGAAGGAACTAACGAATGTGCCTGAAAGACAATGCTCATTGCGCAAACCGAGATTTAGTCTGAGGTCGGAAGCAAATGGCGGATTTACAGAACATCGAAACATCGCTCTTCGTGTCCCATGTCCCAGCCAATTGTCTTGGCACAGCTGGAATATGCTGTCTATCGTATTCTACATGCCCACCAGTTCTGCAAGTCTTCTCGCAGGCAGATGAATATTCTTGTTGATCTCTTGGCCCGCTATTTGGAACTCTTGGCTTCGACCTGCAAAATCTATGCCGAACACGCTGGAAGGGGCACAGGCAACATTTTTGATGCAGTTTCTGCTTTAAGGGAACTCGGGGTTGATATCTCAGAGTTGGCACAATGGCACAATCGTGAAGGTAGTGTCATTCCACAAAGCCAACGGCCAACGTCTCGATTAGAAGATTTGGGCCACGTCCGGGGTACGCAATTTCGACGGCTTCAGTGGGTCGTTCCTTACTCAGATTTTAGCTATCTTGGATGAGGGCCGTCGTTCTGACGCGACCGACAGCATGTTGATGACCTATCAACGTTTGCCTAGTCCAGTGTCGGATGTGGACCCGACGACTTTAGACCCTGTTGCGGAGATATCTTTCGACTCTGTCCATTCTTCTTATATTCATCTTCCAAATGGGTGCCCCAATTCCCCAACTCTCCCCCCATCCCCGATCTCGAATTCAAGTCCTATCGGCTCACCAGTCCTGGGCCGTCGACGACTGCGACGGCAGGCCACTTGGGCATCTTCACCACCAGACTACGTACCCTCTTTTCTTCCCCCTTTTCCTGGGCACGCTACAGGCCAAATTGAAGATGACGATGAACTCCCACTTGTGAATGGCATTTACGAGGGTCCTGATGACATGCTTGTCGACCCAGTCCATCATGTTTCCGATCCTTCCTCATCGCACACCCAATCGAAGGAGATGGCCATTGTGAAACAGCACGCTGTACCTGCTTTCAAAGAATCTATTCCTTATTATGCGTCTACTTTGTCGGGCATTCCAGCAGCTCACCTCCCTCCAGCTCCGCAGCGAGAACTCAATCACAAATCGGCGAGTCTCGCATCCCACCCATACCTTCTTGTTGCGATGCAGGCTGCTTCGGAAATAGTTGGGACCCCCAATCCTGCCCGTCTGGCAATCACATCGATACTGTCCAGCTCAGCTGCCCAAAGGTATAGCGCTGTGGACACACTCTACTCTTCTTCTCAACCAAATGCTCCACGACATCTTCCACCTGCGCCTTCATATGCTGTTCCAATGAAACCCGAAACACACCCTAACGCAGCATTGCCCACGTCATTTAATCCTCGGTCCATCAAAACCTCATCACCTCTCAACCCAATTCCTCCATACACTCATCCTCGCATTCAAGCGGTCGCGGAACAGATATCTAGGCCTGGCGTTTACGAGCGTTCCACTCATATCATCCCGCCACCAGCTTTTTCGGATGCGACTTCTGGTGTCAGTAGCCCAAGGCTACATGGCCGCCCTCAACGTGCTCCGTGGAACTCTCTCCTTCCACAGCACGGTTCTAATCCAGAGAAGGCCCAGCCACATCTTCCCGACGCTTGGCTTTATAACACCTGGGACCACAACCTAGGGAGCTTTGAGGAGCCATTAAGGAAGTCAAAGACCACTTCTGGAATGCCGAAGTCGGTAGATGAAATTGGAACTGCCAATGAAGATGCGATGCTTGTTGACCCCACCCTTGTGGCAAAGGAGGTTGAAAGTGTCAAGATCACATCGTCATTCAGTCTACCGCATCCGCAGGTCACACCCAATGTATAATTCGTCCATACTGCATGCTTCTACAGTGTTCGATACATAGGAACCCTCTTGTAATTTATGTAACGCTTCACTTACATATGTTGTTTGTACGTATTGTCGCCGAGACGTTGCTGGTCATTCTTGGCTCTCGAGCAGCGGTGCATTCAGGCCGGAACAGCTGTGATCCATATTTTCTATGTTGAGTACGCCTTCAAAATGCCTGCCCTGTATCGCTTCAGCCTCGTCTGGGGGGAGTTATCTGTGTGCTTTGGTGCGACCGTTTGTAAAATCACATACTAAATGTGCCTCGTCTTCCACCGCAGCCGGACTAGACCGCACAGACTGGAAGGATGCTTGGGAATTGGAGGCTGATGCGCTGAACGGCTCTACATCAGCTCCGCCACAAGACCTCGGACAGTTGGTGGATGAAATGTGGGATATAAGTAATGAAAAGCAGTTTGCTAAAGCCAGAGCTCATGCACAGTCTCTCAAACGGGGCCCGGTAATGCGTGCTGCTGAAAGTGATTGGCTACAAGAACCTGAATCTTCCAGTGCTCCCGAATCCCCGCCGGTGAGGTCTGGCCGCTTGGGACATGAGCCTTGGGGTCGCTTTGACTGGAAGTCGAAGCTTCTACAACGTAATCGGAGGTTGCTCAACAATCAGCTCCATGACCAGCACCCTACCCGTCCTCTACGACGATACAAGCCCGCTTCTGTCGAACTGCGTCCGGACATGCCCTACTTCGAAGAGATTGACCGTTATATCAAGCGGTGAGTGTCCTTGATGCGATGAGCGCTTGCGACTCAATAGATTTCCTCGGAAGGTATGACCCTTTGCTAATTCAGGAGCAGTCTGTCGAGGACGAAGCATATCTCGAACGGTTAAGAGAGTGGCCTCTGGAGAAGCTCATTGAGGAAGGGTATTGCCTCACAGGGCTTTCCGCGTTTTGGCTCGAAGCCACTCAATTTGGGAAACCGGTAGCGGTGTTTTCACTTGGGCCGGGGAAGGTCCTCGGCTTGCATCAATTCAGGCAAGTTAGCCTCTTCTAGCACTGGGTCGCGCGAACTCATTGCGAGTCTACTGCAGTCCCGGCCGTCAAGTCATACTATCAAGATCGCATCCCAGCGAGGACGGCGCTATAGTTGGTACCGTTCTACTGAAGACTTCAACCCAAATTCGTATAGTCTTTGACAAAAAGGAGGATATCGAGGATGGAACATGGCGGTACGTCGATAATTTAACTCGTCTCCGTCTTGTCGTAGTTGAATTGGGACTTAACCTCCTGGTCAGGCTAGATATCACTTCCACTGATATCTCCTTTCAACGAATGCGTGCCGCCATCTATGCAATGACACAAGATATTCATGACGACGCATTTCACTCTAACAACAGCGCGGAGGCAATCCTGCATGGGACTGCGTTACGAGATGCGCTGTTGAATGGTTTCAAGGTCAAGACGTTAAACAAACCAAACTCAAGTTCCGCGGCTTTAGATGACTATCCCACAAAACCACATGGAATATTCTCGGCAAACCAAACAATACATAGTTGGGCTGTGCGGTATCAGAGGGAGAACCCAATCGCCATTGAAGGCGATCCTAAGTTAGATTTAAATCCTCCTCAGATCAGGGCAATTGCCTGTATGATAGGGCAGAAGATCAGTCTCATTCAAGGGGTACGTCACCGTCCAAGAAATCCCTGGGCATGGATGCTAAAACACATGCTAGCCTCCTGGAACAGGAAAAACTCGGACTTTGATAGAAGCACTAAAGTTACTGAAGGTGGTTTTCCTTTTCCATTTTGTTCTGTCCTTGGTGGCGGCTGAGCCTATACGTAGAAACATTTTGGTGTCCCCATCCCTATACTAGTTTGCACGTATACGAACGTGGCAGCCGACCACATTTTAGAGGGTCTGGTAGAATGCGGCTTGCAGCCGTTGCGAGTTGGTTCGGCTACGCGGGTACGCCCTCATCTGCATCCATATACCCTGGATGCCCGAATCGAGGGACATCGTCATAAGAAAGCAATTGACCGTTATCGGGATGAGCTCAATCACCTGGAACGGAAGCTCCAGCTCGCATACCAACGGAATGACGAGGATGGCTTAGGTACAGTTTTTTAGCAAGCAAGAATGGCTATGTTCTGATGCCTTTGGCTCCAAGAATCATTAAAGGAGAAGGTAAATGCTTGTCGAGGAAAGAAATATAGGCTCGAGCAGACCATGTTGCAAGAGATTATCTCTAACGCAGAGGTTGTACGTTCGGGAAATCCTGGCGTGGTGGGTGTGTACCGCTAACCGGTTCCCATAGGTTTGCACTACATCTATTACTTCTGCATCGGCAGCCCTTCAGGTAATAGACTTCCCAGTTGTATTCATTGACGAGGCATCCATGTCCACCGAGCCTGCTTCCTTGATTCCCATTATGCGAGGGGTAGGTTATTCCTCTTGCGCCAAGCCTACGTTCGCTAATGTTTTGTCAGTCCCACCACATATCACTGATCGGAGATCATAAGCAACTTCCTCCAATCATCAGAAGCGAAGACGCCAAGGCAGGTGGTCTAGCCATCAGCCTCTTTGAACGTCTTATGACGGAGGGCAGTGCGTTAACGACTTTGACTCACAATGAGAAGGCTCATCTACTAACTCATTCCCTTAGATGTCCCCACTGTGATGTTGGATCGTCAGTATCGTATGCACCCATCTATATCCAAATTTCCGAGCAAAGAGTTCTATGGAACTCGCCTTCTCGATGGCACTGTGGACAGCAAGGGACAGGTGTCCGCAAAGCTTAATCCGCCCAAATCATCACATCTCGTCCTGAATCCGTCCACTGGAAATTCCCCATCTGCAGTGTTCTTGGATCATGGCGGTCCAGAGGCACGGAAGGACAGGAGCCTGGTAAATCATAACGAGGCTGCCATTGTGTGCAGTGTTGTCGTGGACTTGCTGCTGAACAATCCCGTATGTGAATGTCCCCATGTTAATACTTCCGTATATTGATGTGTGTATCTCAGTCCATCCGAGGCTTAGATATTGGCGTCATAGCTCCATACGCTGCTCAGATCAAGTTCATTGAACGCATGCTAACGAACGATGATTCCTACCAAGGACATTTCGTGAAAATTCTCGGTCGACACCGTGCTCTCGAGTGCTCCTTGATTGAAGTCAAGACAGTCGATGGCTTCGAAGGGCGCGAGAAGGATATCATCATATTCTCCACTGTCCGAAACAATCAGTCTGGGCACATTGGCTTTTTGGCAGACCGTCGACGCCTAAATGTTGGCCTCACACGCGCTCGGAGAGGCTTGTTCGTCATTGGTAACATGCGCACACTTCGTGCAGGCAAAGTGGGATTCTTCCAAGAAGTCGGCGAGACTGCAGTTCCTGTCCGAACGCACCCTGTGCACTCCGAGATTGAGGGACAAGTGTGGCGCCGGTTCATCGATTTCATGGCCGCGCAGAACTTGGTCAAGAACGTTCACAGTCATTTGTTGATTCCTCAATCAAACCCTGAATTGCCGGTTGCTACGACTGCTGCTGTTTCTTAGGGTTATTGCTTGCTTTAACTCTCGGCTAAGGACTGGTGGTGATGTACACACCCCATCCTTTATTTCTTATTTATCATTGTATATTTGCGCCGCGTTGCGACGCCATAATTGAAAAGCGTGGATTGCAAGCCGGGTCAGGAAAAGGATCTTTATATTATCTTTTACTCCGTCGATAATATAATATCATACAGCGCACATCAGACGGACCGGGAGTGAGGTAAACCCAGCGCTTGACAGGCACACGTTGGTTCATTTCTTCAATAATGCTACGCCTGCACACTATCGTTATCCGAGCTGTTTCACTTTATCATTGTTCTAGATTCAAAGATAATCGAGATCCAGGTAACTGCGAATTCGTTGTTGCCAAATGCCGGATGTCTGTGCCCATGGGCGGTGCCGAAAGTAGCGGCGACTCAACGCCAGTGAGGAGCGTTAGCAAAGCGTAACGAATCAAAATGTCACTCTCTATCACTTTTACATTCCTGTGGCTGAGCATCGACGCGATCGGTTGAGTCACAGTTCAACTCCGGCACCTAGCGCAGCTTTTCAACGTGGAAACCAGACTCAACGCCAGAACTCAGAGTGTGAACAGCCTCGGCCAGAGTCAGAAATCTAGTACATCATATGCATATTGCATTCATAGGACAATTAGAAGAAACACCGTAGTAGAAGAACAGTAATACACAGTAAAATCAAATCGATAGAGGAAGAAGGCTCGCGCCTGATTAAATGAGGGACGGTAAGGATGCCATCGTGCTCGGCGAAAGCACAGATACTCACAAGAAGGAAAGTTACGAGGAATTAGGCACCAAACCCGTACAATGTCTTCCCAGAACGCTTGAGAGCATATACAACATCAAGCGCTGTGACAGTCTATTTTGGGATGGAACGACGGCGAGTAAGCAAACCAGCGTACTCGAAGGCTAGGTATAATGCAATGAGACCTCACCTTGCGTTTGGCATGTTCAGTGTACGTTACGGAGTCACGAATGACGTCTAGAGAACGCGGCATGTTATTTAGCACCAGAGAGAGAGAGAGAAAAATCGCGAGGTGTTGATGAACTTACTCTCCAGGAAAATCTTCAGGACACCACGAGTCTCCTCGTAGATGAGTCCACTGATGCGCTTGACACCACCACGGCGCGCAAGACGACGAATGGCAGGCTTGGTGATACCTTGGATGTTGTCACGTAGAATTTTACGATGTCGCTTGGCACCACCCCTAATCAGTGACAAAGAATGATGAGTGAGGCCCTTCACAACGCAGGCCACGTCGACGAGCGCGGAATGGATCCTTATTCTCACTTTCCGAGACCCTTGCCACCTAACAAGTCCACCAAGGTCAGAACCAGTTATTGCGTGCAAACGTGTGTATCTCACCTTTGCCACGTCCTGACATTGTTAGAGGTTTAGTAAGTGAGGAAGTTGGAGTTAAAGGGTGACTGTGATGGTTGAGAAGAAGTGCAGAACAGCCAATCTCAAACGTCGATGGTTCTTATACCTTTCGTTGCGAGCCGACGGATGCAAAGTCAGTGGCGGTGCGACGAAAACAAACAGATCAAGGATAAACAAACAAATAAAAAACAAAAGATTAAAGAAGGTAAGGCAGCCCCTCGCCCGGTCCTTCCGGAGGAAGAGAGCAATTTCCTTTTCGTCATTCTGCCTAGTCAAAGCAGGCAAGGAGTGACTTCGGCCTCCTTGTCCCTTCGACATCGTTATATAATTGCATCATCATCACCGATTTACTATTCAGAGTCTCCGATCTCCGAGTTTCTTGCAAGACAATGTCTCCATTTTGTAACCCATTGTTACAGCACGTCTGGGCCTAAACAAGGAAGGAAGTGGCTTCACCTTAAGCTTCATCTTTAGCGCCCGGCGCATATCACCAAGAAAATTGAAATTGCCCTGTCAACCTCACCTTTCTCTCTCCCACTCCTCTTCCCTCCTATGGACCACCTAGCACTCCGATTGTTGGGCTGTGTGCTGGGTGTTATGGGGTCGGATGTTCAATTCAGTTGGGCATATTTGACCGCTGCCCAGCATGCCAACTCAGAAATCCTTGCCAACCGTCTTTCATCACCCCACTAGTGTTGCCTGTCGGCTGCGGTCATGCTCTAGTCCACGCATTGTGAAATTCGGGACCTCATTGTTGATGTAAAGTATCAATAAACCAAAATAAGTCCAGCTATCGATTGCAATTCACTCGGCCAGGTGTCGGCTCCAAAAGCATTCACCGGTTCTCACTGATATCTAGGATGCTGCATCTCAGCTTTTTAGTCCCCAGCATTTCCGCCATTTATGGCTGGCATGTTCACGCCAGGGACACCGTTTCTCAGACGAGTGGCAGCTTGATTCTGCCTACTCTTTGCGGGTGTTGGGTGTGTATGTTGTGTACAATTGGTGTCTTCACCCACTCTCTTCCGTGCCCGGCCCTTTGGTTGCCCGCCTGGGCTTCCCGTTCTGGTTTTCATGGCAAGCATGGAAACGTAATTGTGGTCCCGCGTTGAAAGCTCTTCACGATCTTTATGGTGATACTGTGAGGGTAGGTCCGAACTCAGTTAGCACCATTGATCTCGATGCCGTGCGCACCATCTATGCGCATGGAAGCCAATATAAAAAGTCGAATATCTACTCTGCTTATCGTAAGCGTCAAGTACGCCTTCACGAATCTGCGTTGAACATAGTCCTCAGAGGGCCCAGTGCCCAATATCTTCTCTCAAAGAGATGTCAGCATACACAACGAGCAAAGGAGGGAGGTAAGTTTATACGGTTCAATGGTTCACGGCACGATCAAACAAAGTGCAAGCTTGCACCAGTCTTCAACAAGGCCTCCATCGTTAAATTAGAGGAATACATTGAGCCATGCATTACCATGCTGACCGATCAGCTGGATCGTATACTTCAACAAACGCCAAGGGTTAGGGAGTGCCAACTTCTCAGACATTTTGCGAAGTACTCATGTCCTGATGCGCTCAGCCTACCTCTCCGGTAAACTTGTCTTCGTGGCTTCACTTCTTCACAATGGATGCTATTGGAGAAATTGCGGTAAGTTGGTGCATAGTTTGTTGCCCCTAATCTCTCAATGGCGCTACTCTAGTTTGGACAGGATTTCTCGCTTTTACGTGACGGAACGGACACCAACGGTCTCCTGGCGGGTACCGCCACAGGACTGCGTCTGACTTCAATTGCTTCGACTCTCCCATGGCCATACCCCTTCTCGTCAATGCCCAAGTCATTGCTATTCATGCTAATGAGTCTCTTCGCCAAACACTCATCGCTGGTGGTGTTCAAGAAAAGCGCAGAAATCGTCTACAAGAGATACAATCCTGCACAGAATATCACTCATCGAAAAGAGGAAGTCAGGGAAGACATGATTGGCCAATTCATGAAGCTCAGGTACAAGTCTACAGGCGAGAAATGGTCGAGAGATCATGTCCAAATCGAGACCCTTAATCTCATGGCAGCAGGGCCGGACTCTACAGCTGCCGCTCTCTCGGTGTTTTTCCACAACATACTGACAAGTCCGAGAGTTTACGACCAGCTACAAGCCGAAATTGACACGGCGGTGGAGGATGGTCTTCAGTTTCCGGTGACGTATGCACAAGCAAGTAAATTGGAATACCTCCAAGCATGCGTGAAGGAATCTCTTCGAGTTCTTCCCATCACTGGAATGATCCTGGATCGGGTCGTACCTGAAGCCTCGGATGGGCTGATTGTCAAAATCGGGAAGTCTTCATATGACTCGCCATCAGAGCGGATGGTCCGCCTTCCTGAAGGCATCAATGTAGGGGCTTGCCCTTTCGTTTTCCAGAGGTCAAAGAGTATATTTGGCGAGGATGCGGAGGTATTCCGCCCGGAAAGATGGCTGGAGGCAAGCCCGGAGGAGCTGACGGCATTAGAAAGATGGATCATCACTGTGTGTCCCGGATTCATGTCCTGCAAAAGCAAAGAAACTCTAATTGATGCTGATCATCTTAGTGGGGATTGGGCTCCAGGACTTGTTTAGTAAGTTCACTCAGCACATCGCACCTAACGAGAGTATCTAACGCTGTGTTATAGGGAAAAGGCATCGCCGAGATGGCGATTTCCAAGGTTTTGCCGACACTCTTATGGCGCTACAAGTTCAGTCTCACGCCGCGCACTGGGGAACCCCATGACCCGCATATATATCCTTTGGGACGCGGGGCAAGTGGTAAGTCCTCTAAGGATGATCCATGGAAACTGGGCTCTTTTTTCGTCCTGCACGTTGAGGTACGTTTAACGAAGTGCTGTTCGCATCCATATATGGGATCTGATTTGTTACCTGCGACAGGATTTTTGGTGCGATATTTCGTTGAGACATCCCCCTGAGACGAGCTAGTTTACGTGCACCAGGCTGCTGACGTGCCTATTTTCGACGGCTGTTGTCCTCAGCTGACGTTCCTGCTTGTACAAAGTTAGATCAGACTCATCCTACACAGACAAACTGTTAGTTGTTCTTGTGCCGAGTATTGAAATAATGGTCGTAATGATAATCTGCAAGGAGCGACATTGGTGATCGTTGCGTACATCACAGAATTAGAACCCGGCTCGACCGTGAGAACGTCCACAGACTTCGGTTGAGCCAGAACAGAGTCTAGTAGTCTAGATATCTACGCGCCTTCTGGGTTGCACAGACACTTTGATAATGTCTAATGCCGTGATCCTTGCTCCTGACTCGGAACATCCTTCGCTGTCACGCAAAGGCTTCAACCTCTCGGAGTTCATGGGGAAGTGGTACGTGCTTCACTCGACTCTGCCGCTTTGGAAGGTACGCAAATGAGTCAAACGATAATGAAAAGGACACAGGCGTTAATGGTCCTTCCCGTAGAATAAGAAGGATGTTGCAATCACATATTCGCCAAAAGAACCCTCTCAGTGGTTGCAATTCGATGATACAGTGGAATATCGTTCAGAATCAGCAGCTTCGTCTTCGAAGCCGTGGACGATACGGGGAGTCGACGTGTTGGTGGGGCCTACTGACCCAGGGAGGTTCGTACCGGGCGCATCGTTTCAGTGGAGGGGAAAGGTATGCAGTCACTGCAGGCTCGTTTTGACTGGATATCGTCACCTTAACTTCTCCGGTTGCCACAGGGGCTTCTCGTCTTTTCGTCTTCTAGCTGGCAAGTTTTGGGGTATGGAGATGGCTGGGCAGTGACGTTCTTCTCTAAGACATTGTTCACTCCAGCTGGGATCGATATTTACTCGAGAGACAAGGACTTGACTCGAGATCTCTACGATGAAATTATGCTCGGTCTTTCTAAGCATGAAGAGACGAGGAAGCTGGCTGAGGGGATGTTCGAAATCAAACATGGGGATTAAGGGAAGGCTCGAACTTGTTGGCTACTGGGAACGTGGATCCCGCCTGCCGGCCCTTTGGAGCATGCCTACGCCCCCTGACCCGAATGCAGCATTTCGGGAGCACAAAGCCAAAGCGTGCACTGCCGTAAATACCTTGACAGATCTGCAATTGACTGCCACAACCAGGTGTTCTCCATTTGCGGAGTCCTCTCGTTCTTGAACTCGCTCTCTACAGGTAATGATGAAAAAATCAGGATGGCACAGGCCATGCTCTCAAATCTCCAGAAGTCCGCTGGAATTCCATGGACAAGGAAGTAACAACTCCAACCTCTTTTCTTTCCGGTTTAGTTTCGTTATATGAATTTGGACGCTCCCGCCAAGTTGGCGCGAGGACGTTTCCAGGATCCAGGTGTAAACCATCGGACAGACCAAGCTCAGAGAATTCGCTGTGGCGAGAAATTCAATTGCTATGGGGTCTCTTGGTGTCCGTCTTCCCTCCGGAACACCAAGCTCGGAACTCATAGTAATTGGACCGTGGCTCACGGTTTCCTGCTTGGAGAGGCTTCGGGACAGACGCAAGGTCTGTATTTTGATCAAAGCGCCAACCTGGTTCTGGGATGGGAAACAGCGCGTTGTGCTGCCGCACACCTCTGAGATTCTGGTTTGTGGTGGGCTCTGGAGGGCTTGCGATACGGATGGGCTTACGAATGCACAATATAAGCACCCCATTGCTTTTCTGAAGCGACCGTTGATTAACGACTCGAAGAGGAATCTCATCTTTCTCAAAATGGTGACACGTGAAACACTCAGGTGAGGGCAAAACTCATATGGGCACGGCGAGAAATCACCACAAAGTTCTGGGTGAAGTGCGTCCGGTAAGGGCCATGTCGAGCTCTGGTTCAAACTTTAAAGCTCCCGGGCATGGAACATACTTCAATAATCACTTTCCAAGGATGAGTGTTTCCTGAATGACCAGTCATATTCCACCGCATCGCAAAAGTGCTTGACTACGTGACGGACGCCTGGACCCACACGTCTGCAACCAATCACTCCTGACGCGTCATTTCTCTGTCACCTCCTCTTCTCGCATCGCCCGTGCTTGCGTGATCCCTACTAGATAGCACGCTAAGTATGGGCGTCAATATTGGCCTGAGGGTCAAGGGTACGAAGCCCCCAAGTGCAATATGAAGAGTCTCAAGCACCTCGATAATGATGGAATCGGAACCGCAGTCCAAGTGAGTGTCACCAGTCGCTCAAGATCTGGGAAAGGGTGACAATCATCCATTCAAAGGATCGAGTCTATTGTAATCCGCTCGCAAGGTGGTTTTGCGGCGGCGCATTGGTTGATCATGTTGAGAAATTCTTGGTTCCGCTGTTAGCTATGTTCTTACCCTAGTGTTGAGGGCCGGTGTATGCGCGCGCTTCTGCAGTGGGTTGTGACACGTCGACGTCCGCGGTTCTTATGTAAGGGATTAAATGCGGAGTTTGGAAGACACGGGACCTTGACAATGAACGCTGCTCATACTGTTAATGGTATCCGTGATTTTGGTTGTTGTCTACCGGTCCTAAGCTTTCAATAATGTCAAGTCGGTTGACTTTAGTGGGTGATCGCTCCAAGGCACCAACCTCTCCCGATGTTGGATTGGGCATATTTGTAACATGTGGATTGCCAATGCATGCATTTGCGGGTTCGTGCCTTTGTCGCTGGACAGGATCTCGGCCCCGTACTATTTTAAGTAGTGCATCAGGAAGACTTGACACGTACCTCATGGTTGCTCCGAACTCATAATTGTACCATCAATATTGCTCCGGAGTCTCTCGATCAGAGACCCATGCCCCGACAGCGAGTCCCCAGTGCCAGTCCAATACGTCCGAGCATATATGCCTAGGCAAAGAGCGCTGCGGACCGGCGGGACGAGAACACTGTCGATAATTTCGGACATGGATACAAGGCGACGAAGCAGGAACTGCATGCCATTTATGGAAGTACTACAAAACAAAAATAGAGTTCGGCAATCCCCGCTACAATTACTAGAGTCACATGGCCTAGTTGGACTCGGACACCTTGAATCGCCAACCTCCACTTCAGAACTCATAATGGTCAACAAACGACGTCAAGCAGATCGTGATAGTGAATCGGAGGTCGAGGAACTTGGGGGCGGTGCCTCGTCTTCACCATCCCACCAGAAGCGTGCTCGCCGGGAAGCTGAAGACTCAGATGAAGAGCGGGAGCGCCAGAAACGCGAGGATGCCGAATTTGAGGCGCGCTGGGAAGAAAGAATACGCGCTGAGCTTAACAAGCAAGCGAAGAAGAAAGGAGTGCGTTGTTTTTGGCGCGTTTTCAACCGCTTCCGAGACCAATGTCCATTGTTTTCAGGGCATCGCAGAGATTGGGATCATACAGCAAATAGACTTATATAACTTCTTGTGTCACAAGAACTTAACGGTCAAGTTTGGTTCTCAGATAAACTTTGTGATTGGTTTGTCGATCAGTTGTTGTCCGGGGAGTGCTCTGAACTTTGTTTCTCGGTTAGGTCACAACGGCAGTACGTTCATGCAAACGCATATCGCCGCATAGATTCACAATGTTTTAGGTGGAAAAAGCGCGGTTTTGACCGCCATAGCTGTGGCACTCGGTGGAAAAGCTGCCATGACCGGTCGCGGCAATGGGCTGAAGTCATTAATCAAAGAAGGGGAGAAGTGCGTACGCAGTTGAACTCAAATTTCCCTTCGAGGCTCACCAATTTTCGTAGTGCGGCCGAGGTTTCTATTCGAATTAAGAATGAAGGACCAGAGGCCTACAAACCTGACATTTATGGGAAGAGCATCGTCATTACTCGTCACTTTACCGCGTCTGGGACATCCGGGTACAAGATCAAGTCTACACTAGAGGGACGCAAGGGGAATGAGAAAGTCATCTCAACGACGAAAGATGAGTTAAATGCCATAACGGATCATATGGGCATCCAGGTGGGTAGCGGTGGTGATCGTGTCTTCTGTTAATTCGACTTCATCGAACTCTTATAGGTAGACAATCCGTTGAACATCTTAACGCAAGATCTTTCGCGACAGTTTATTGCTTCATCAAGTCCGGCGGAGAAATACCAGGTCCGGCTACCAATTTTTTCGGACCTTCCTCGACTTACACCTAGTCACAGTTTTTCCTGAAAGGGACACAACTTCAACAACTTTCTGAGGAATACAACACTATCCTTGAGAACATCGACAGGACAACTTCTGTTCTCGGAGCGAAACAAGAGGCCATCCCTGACTTGAGGGTCCAGTTCAAAGAAGCTCAAACCCGTTGGACCCAGGCGACAGAAATGCGGAATAATGAGAACAGGCTTCAAGAGTTACTTAAGGAGTTGGCGTGGGCCTACGTCGCGGCTAAGGAAAAGGTGGGTTACTGGATGCCATCAAACTAGATGTATGTGTACCATCTTGGTGTTGCTTATGTAGGAGTTCGCCAAGTCCAGCGAGACATTGGGGGACGAACGTCGCCAATTGGAAAAACTGGAATCCAAAGCCTTGGAGCAAGAGGTAAGATATCGCTGTTTTATCACCGGTTGTTCTGACGACTTCTGTTTTCAGGCCATTCACAAGCGTGTTGAGAGGGAAATTGAAGAGGCCGAAGCCGAGCTCCGTTCTGCCTCTGAGTCACAGACAGACCGGCTGGATGCACTCAAGAGCGAAAAGGAAGGGCATAAGTCGGAGGAGAAAGCTTTGAATGACCAGTTAGAAGAAATCAAGGTCTGCGACAATTGACTCTCTCAACAATCAATGATCCGAAGCCTTTCTTCAATACCCAGTCCCAGCGTCTAAGTCTTCAGGAAGAGGCTAGGAAAACAAAAGCAGAAATTGATCTGTACAAGCGCAAGATTGCTGATGAACAGAAGAAACTCGACGACATCAAATCAGGTAAACGTCTTGAGCTCGAGAAGCGTATGAGGACGCTCCAGGAATCCATCGAAAAAAGCAACAATGAAATACAAGAATACGATGACGAACTGCAAACGTTAGGGATACGCACCACCGAAATTGAAACAGAAATAAACCGTAAATCCCAGGAGAAAGCCAATGCCATTCGGGAACAGCAGATGGCCCAGGAGCACAAACGGGTGTATGAGGGTCAACTTCGTGACAAGTTCAACGCATTTGGTTCTAATATACCACAGGTCTACGCGCGGATTAAGAAAGAGACGTGGGAAGGGGCTGCTCCCCTTGGCCCCATTGGTGCCTATGTGCATGTGGTCGATCGGAAGTATACCGACCTAGTGAGACTCACTGTTGGCAACATGATGTCGTCATGGATAGTCACAACTCCAGCGGACCAACGTAAATTGAGAACAATACTTGATTCGTATGGAAAGTGAGTTACTCTCTGCTAAATTTAGCTTTAATCTAATGAGTTTGCAGCCAGCAATCTAATACAATTGTTTCCGGAGTGGAACTTTTTGATTACTCTGAAGGCGAGCCTCCAGCCCAGATTCCTACAGTCCTTCGAGTTTTGAAGGTGCGTCAGTACCCTGCCCTGATTTCTCATGAAGAGCACCTCATCTATTCCAGTTTTCAAATGAGCTAGTCAAATGTGTTATGATCAATGTGGCCAAAATTGAACAAATGTCCTTCGCGGACACTCGCGCAGCCGCGGATTCTACACTCGTAGAACTTGCTGCTCAGGATATTTATGGTTTTAAATTTTATACCTTGGATGGATTCCAAGTCCAACGTTATCGGTTCGAGTCTTAGTGTGAATTGATTTAACCTCTAAATATCTAATGTGTCCCTTAGTGATAAAGGAGGATCTTCCATTAACCTGGGGAGATTGGGGGAAGTGAATTTGGGTCTTTTCGCCGGGTCTGAGGGGGATGTCCGTCAAAAACTCCAGGAGGCGGCCCAGAATGCTACGCAGCTCACGGCTACTGTGGAAAGCCTGAGCGCAGACATCCTGCGAATTAAGGAGGACGCCCGTTCCAACGAGAACCGGAAGCATGCAATCCACGTATGGCGAATTAGTGATACCGTTGACTAGGGCTCATCGCGTTTCCCAGACTTCGCAACGACAGTTGCGCAACGATATCGCTCGCAAGGAAGAAGACTTGCGTAACTGCAAGTCCGAACTTTCCACAGGCCAGCCAGCTGAGATTGATATTTACGAACAGCAACGAGAGGTAACGTTCTATCACTTCATCGCTGTCGTAGTGCCAACCTCTCTGCAAGCTCCAAGAACGCGAACGAGAGCGCTTTTTAGCTGATATCGCTGAGGTTGCACAGAAAGAGATGGATGTGCAAGCACAAAGGAAAGCAGTTCAAGAGAATATTGCAGGTGTGGAGCAAAGGGTTTTCGAACTTCGCAACGCTACCAAACATCTCTCTGTATGTCGATCTTTTTTCGCTTTATACTGACTCAATGTCCCACACCTCTCGTTGCATATAGGATAAAATTCAAGACTTGGTTCCTCAGAGGGTTGAGGCTGGATCGAAGCTTAAGCATTGGCAGGACAAGATTACTGCTACCAAAGGTAAACTTGTGAAACTGGAAGCGGATACGGCTACACTCCAGGAAGAATTCACGGTAAACCGCTTGCTCCTGTGGTGCGGTCGTTGACTGAAGCGGAATTAAGGATTGGTCTCAAAAAGCCGAGGGGCGTTACGGAGAGAAGATCGAACGGCCTCGCTCGGTCGAGGCTCTGGAGAAGATTCGCGACCAGCTTCGTGCTTCAATCAAAAACCATGTTAAGACGTATGTTCTTTGAGATTAATCTCAATGTTGCACGCGGGGCTAACGGTCTCATCGCCTGCAGATTGGGTGCTACGATTGAGGAACTTGATGCGGAGGTCATCAGGACCAAGGAAGTCTACACTCGAGCAAAGAAAGAGTTTGAAGAACTGCAGCAACTGAATGCCGTGAGCTCAGAATCACTTTCACTCCCTATTATACTAACATGATTTGTTGAGTGCCTCAAAAAATCCCTTTCAATCCGTATGGAGCAATGGGCTAACTGTAAGCAGCTGCCTTCGCAAGTTATCGCTTTATAAACCAGTATTGTACAGTCCGAAGACACATTGCTATACGCTGCAAGATGCAGTTCTCAGTAAGTGCTTCTGTACGATGTTAGCTTGCTATTGACAGGTTAACTGTCCACAGTATCATGTGCGTTGCTCCGCGATTATCGGTTGACATGAACTTGTGACGATCTCTATGGCCTTTTAGCTCGCTAATCGAGGCTATTACGGAAAAGGTACTCCTAACCCTCACGCATGATGCTGTAGCTGATTTCATTCCCTAGTCATTATGGAGCACAATACTGATCATCATGGTGGCACGCTGAACTTGAAGGTAAGCGCCTACCCGTGTTGCTGATTTGAGTGCCCATACACCATTTGTTAGGTTCAAACAGACGATCAAGCCGGTACAGGAGGGTCCAAGGACAAAGACCCCAAATCCTTGAGTGGAGGTTCGCTTTCTGTGCCGTTGAGCGCCGAGGCCACGGATCTTTAGCTGATTTCGTCACCTTAGGTGAAAAGTCATTTGCAACGATTTGCCTACTCCTTGCTCTTTGGGAGGTGGGTAGTCACTGAGCTTGTTCCAGCTGTGGCCCACTAAAGTCCCGTGTGTCTCCAGGCGATTGGGTGTCCTATTCGATGCTTGGACGAGTTTGACGTGTTCATGGACGCTATCAACAGGAAAATCAGTATGAAGGTATGCTTGGATGGTTGTTCGCTAGTACTCTACCTATCACTAATATCTATTTCTAGATGATTGTTCGTAACTGGGCTTCTGTGATGATTATATTTGTTGACGATTGTTTCTATAGATTGAAACTGCCAAACAGAGTGACAGTCGCCAATTTATTCTGATCACACCCCTTGTAAGGATCATTGGAGGGCATGTGTTTCAGGTTCTGAGCTTTTCCTCTCTAGGATATCTCCAACGTACCCAAATCTGCTGAAATCCGGATTCATCGTATGCATGATCCGGAACGCGGTCAGGTACGCGCCCTCACTCAGTCTCCACTTTGTCATCTTATCTGATTTTCTCTTCATAGACAAGTCTCGGCTTTAGTTGAGACTATTTTTTGTTATACACACGACTCTCTTGTTTTATACCCATCCCAAATACCCCTGCTACTCTAAGGTTCCTGTCCTATAAACATGTGAATAAGCTTGCAAGTACCATTTTGTACGACTCATACTTTTCAAGCGACTGCAATGAAGGGGTTAGAGAGTGGATTGAATTCCATGTCGTTGTTACAAGGAACGGTACAAGGATGTGCATAATGGAGAATCGGGAATGACATGTCAGCTGGCATATTGGAAAGGGAACAAGAAAGATACATGTAAGATAAGAATAGATGTACACAACTCGATGGTGCATCGTCCGTGGGATGAGTGCATGCATAGGGAGTGGATAGGAGCGGAGGGGTATGTCGGGCTAGTTTGTTGGGGGGAGAGCAGGATTAGGGAGGATAAAAGGGCTAATGACGCCAGTATCCGCTCTGCGATCTACGGTGGGTGAAATTGTGGGGATACGAACGAATGAAGATGAACGAGGCGAAAGAGGCAGTATGTTGCGATGCAAAATGGGTGTCTACCGTTGCAAATGTCCAAATCTGTGCGTTGAGTTGAGGCCAATGAAAGATTAGCATTAGCAATTGAAAGAGTTTGACGGAGGAGAAAAAAAGTGATAAGGGAAAGGACGAAAAAAAATGGGCGAAGCAATGTGATGGTAGTGAAGGAAAAAAAAAATTGAAAATTCTAAAGTTCGAACTTACTTCTGAAGATCTTGCCCGACCAAACCGATCAATAAGATAGTTTCCTCTGCTGCGGCTCGAGCTTTAAGGAACGCATCCTCTGCTGCGCTGTTCCCTAACGTGGACTCTAGTGGCACGACGAGATCGTGTGGGAAGATGAGATGGTAAGGGTAAAGAGCGTAGGGGGAGGAATTGTGTAGTGGGGAGTCGAGTTTGAGGGAGGAGTGGAGACGGGAAAGGGAGGCGTTGAGACGGTGAGTGTTTGTGCCTAGGACGGAGGTGAGGCGGGTGAAGTGTTCGAGGACTGGGAAGGTGAAATGAATATGGAGCATGTTGTTAGGTGCATGAAGGGATGGGAGGGAGAGGTTGGGGGTACTTACGGGTGCGGGTAGCATGGTTGCGGAGGTTTCTGAGGAGTTGAATGGCAGAGGCACTCTCTGTTCGTAGTAAGGAGGAAGAAGAAAATCAGAACGGGAACCGTGCTTGCCAGACCTGCTCACGTCGGGCTGAAGTGAAAGCTTACCTGTCTTCGTAGACGGATCCGACTCAGAAGACTCGGATGAAACTGAATATACATCCCCCAGAAATCCCCCAAAATCAAACGTACATAATGAGCAATTTTCGACGCCCTCTTCTCTAGTTTCCCCAGCACTCACCCGACGATCGCGGGATCGAGCCGGGTGGCATTGAGTCGAACAACGCAACCCATGTGTCCCGAAGGTCCTTGGAGGATGGAGCCATCATCATCTGGGAGTCTGCTGGTTCCGGTGATGAGGACGAGGACGAGGACGAGGACGATGGAGACTCATGAGTGGGGAATGAGGAAGTAGTTGGGGAAGTGAGGGTAAACTGTGCTAATTGACGAGGGAGGTCCAGCTCCATTAGGTCAACATTCCGTGGACGGCGGGCGCGTGCGCGACGGAGAGCTTGTTTCATTCTGTGCTGTCCGTTAGCGACTTGGATGTGGAATTCGCGGAGGTCCACTGTAGTGATCGAGGATGTACATGGAGTTAATGCAATGGTGTTCTCTAGGCATGGGAGATGACTTACAAATATCGCGTTTGGAGGTTCGCGATGATCGACGAGCCATGTAGTTCGCTAGCAAGAAGGATGAGTATTTCGCTTGTGCAAACGACACGAGGCACTCGTTTCTGCCAGCTCACTCTTCAGGTTGTACGCACAACTAACGGGACGTTTGTGTTTACTGATCGGAGGCTCTGAAGCACAACGTATAGCGGATGTATTGGTGTTCATCGCGAGATGGTGAATGGGAGACAGTGTAGAAGGATGACGAGGCATCTCAAATGCTAACAGACGAACAGAATGCTGTATACCAGTACAGACAAGTGAGAGAGAGAGAGATTGAGGCAAGACTTGGAGAGAGAGAGAGAGAGAGAACCTGCTCTGAGGGAATCAAGCTACTGTCTTAAATAATGCGGATGAGGGCCGGAGGCCTCGAGGCAAGTACACGTATTATATACGCCGTTGATAAGGCTTTCCATATGACGGGGTCGTTGCGGTGAAAGAACATTCTATGAAGGCACCCCAGAATTAACTTCCGTCATCACCTACCCTGGATACAGATTGAGGTGCAAGAGGGTGCAAGAGGGAGGCGTTGACCTATTTTGCATCACGACATTCACCGCGCTTTTTACGCGGCGTTTCTGTTTTATGGTATCCATCTCGTCACCAGAAACAGTTGTTACTGCATACACTGAGCTTCCGATCCGGTTATTTTAGAAGCTGCTAGACCGAGCCCATAGCTGAGGAATAGCTGGCGAGGGAACAGGTGCGAGCCAGCCGTGTTTGAGGCGACTCAATTGAGCCCGGTGACCCACTACCGATTGAATTTGTTTGATAGCGAGATCCCGATATGGCATCCTCAAACAGTCAATCCATCCGTGGATACTTTGCCAACCAGCGCATTGCCCTGAACCGTATGCATCAAGAATGCGTCTGGACGGAGGTGCGTGCTCTCATGACCAAAGGCCTTCTGGAGAGATCTGTCCTCTCTTGCCGCGCAGAGCCCTCATCGTCCACAGATGGGACTTCTACTACTGATGCTAATCTCAGTCCTACCATATTCTTGCATCCCCATTGGGATCTAGTACAGCCTTCCATATTCGTCGATTTCAGCGGCGGATTTTTCTTCATGACCAGACTGCACTCTGCGCGCCATCGACGAGATGTCCTAGACGCAATTTTGGTCGGTCGACAAATTTACTTTCAAAGTTGCAGGAGCGTTAAGAAGGTTGTAAAATTACCCAACCAATTGGACTGTCACGAGTGATTATTTTTAAGCAGACGGCACCTAATAGTGGGATTCATGAAACTAGAGAGGTCAATTCCCGCAACTCCGTAGCAGGTCCGAACCCTGATTGAATGCGTTTGATCCTCTGTTATTTTCCATGACGATGAGTATGGATGGGTGCACGCTATACATTCGTCTCCATCACACGATGTTCAAGGGGGTCCGCACACGAGCGTGTAAGAGAATCAGTCTCGTGGAAGTACGTCCTAAGCTTGGGCCAACTCTCCCACGTCACTGAGTGCGTGCTGGATAGAGCCCTCAACGTCTACAAGGCAGTTCTGCTACCGAAGCTACTGTCCATCCTACCATACTGTCGCATCCGCACTGGGATCTGGATGGCCATTATTCGACGAGCTATTCCGTCTCCCATTGCTCGTGGAGGCCGGAACATTCGATACACGGCCACAACGTTCTGCGCGAAGAATTGGAAATGACTGTCAAAGAGGGCCATTTGTAAAGATTTGTCCTGAGTGTTTACTCGACAGATCAATGAGCCATATGCTGAATCATCAACGCTTCTCGAGAAAATCATAGGCCAATCACACTTGGTGCGCACTGTGGACCCAGCTATCTCAACGGGGAACAAGCAATCGGCAGAAGACGAATCCCAGGGGTCCCGTAGCGAAGAAAGGCCCACTCTTTTCTACCGCGAATAAGGACCAGATGGACTGCGCGAATCCTAGTAAGGATTGTAAAGGGAAAGGTAAAATGTAAGATGGGACAGTATTGCGGTGGGTGCCCTCAAGTTCTAAGGGCGTTATTGGACTGTGAACCAAGCCTCGACGGTCTCTGTGAGTGATAGAGACCGTCACCACAGCGTCATTTCTTTCATCTAAGATCTTTCTCCATTTCCATGTTTGCATGGCCTCTTCTGTTTCCTGCTGGTTAGCAGGCACTCGCCTTCATTATGTCTGGCTATCCCCGTTTGACAAAATTTGATCCTGATGTCTGAGACACTCGTGTCATTCCATACAGTACTAAATACTGAAAAATCGTATGTCATGCGCGAGTGGTGTGAGACAGGCAGAGACCATCGACGCCATTCCGCTGCTGCTCTCTCTCTCGTCGAACCTCAAAATTGTGGCTGCCCGCATGGGCACGACGTGGAGTACCAGTGCGAACCAAGTGGGCTAAACGGGCCCGGCGAGAAGAGTGGCAGGTTCTGCCGCGTCAGGCGCAGTTATTTTGAAGGGGTGGAAAAGGGGGGGGGGGGGGCGATTCTTTGGGTAGCCAGCTTTATGTGGGGAGTACAAGGGGACGGTGGCGAGCAACGTAGTCAGCGATTAAGGGTGTGAGGCATATTGATAGGTGGCAATTGCACCCGCCCGGCGTGGATGATAGCCAACCTGAAATCAGAAATAGGGAGAGGGAATGGACTTTCAGTAGCACGTGAAGATGGTATCATAGTGGAGAGCCAGAACATGTGGGTTGGGTCAGCAGACAATCAAAAAAGGATCAGAGACCAATCTTTTCTGCGCAGGTTGTTGGGGTCGTTGAGTGGATGTGGTGTACGCAAATTGACCCACGCCATGTGGATGGAGCAATGCAGGAAAAACAAAACTCAGCCTGCTCACCTTGAGCGTGACCTGCGTTGGAGAGGGACGCCTTTATTATTGATGCCTCGCGATGACGGAATTGTTGGGTAGGTTGTGGTGTCGCATTCTAATGGTTCTAGTCACCTCAGCTCCATTGTCAGATTACCGTTCATATGAACCTGAATGGAGGGAGAATGTAGACAACACCACGTAAGCAGACTGACAAAAGCGCGCGCTTTCGAGATCCACAATGACGATATGAAGCGTTCGACCTTGGGCGTCGCAGTCAGTGAGAGCGAATGCTGGCAATAATGAAAGTTGTAATCGCTTTCACGGAGAAGCTGCGGTTTTGTAAAAGATGGCCTACTTTCACACACGCCATTTTGGGTAGTATATATGACATAACCATGCGGGGGGCGATGAGTCAGGGATGGTTATCACGGCACTAGAAGCGCATCGAAAACTATCGTCATCCTCGCTGTAACGCACCTATTTCAGAACACTGCCATTGACGATACCGCTTTTCATTGTCAATCACCGGGAGAAGAGGTAGAACGACCGAGTGTACAGCCCGTCTGGGATTCGGAGGCCGATGATGAGAGAACAGATTACATAGGCCAGAAAAACAGGTGTCAGCAGCGTGTTTTTGGGGCGACTCAATTGGACCTGGTGACTTTCGCATAGGGCACTGCCACCAAACCATGGATGTAGTCAACGCAACAACGCAACTACGGTAGAGGGGTTTGAATGGCGGTCCAAAAGGCTGACCAGCACCACTGCCCGGATTCCTTGGTATGCCCTGGAGCTTATACCCCGGCTACAAGGAAATTTACAGAGCTGGTAACGTTGTATTTTGTGCTTATTTGCGACAGGGGGGACAACATTTTCTGTGGTTGGGCACCTCAAATTGAGAAGGGGAACCCTGCAAAGCAATAAATTTCCAAAAATCGTTTCCTCTGCTCCTCGGCCTGCCTGAACGGACAGGATAGCTTTTGCAAATGAAGTTTATCCTCATCGTACGAACACTTTTCGGCTGATGCGAGTGACATGTTATGCATGAGGCCCGGAGAAGTATGTCCGATATTGAAATTCTCAAAATAGTCCTCTCCACTTTCCTCGGCTGCAACATTCTGGTCTTAAAAGATTTCACATACAAGTCGTGCCAACACTTCTCCAGCGTTCTTAAACCTCCCAGTGATACACGCAGTTAACGTTCAGCTCAACTGGTAATGTCATCGTATACTCCGTTCAGGCCACCAATTGCCCCACAGTCGTCACATACTGCAGCAAGCTACCTCCCGGGCAAGCCGCACAATGCTCCAATATTGCTGAAGGATGAGTCTGTTGCTCGTGAGTGATGTTCTGAGCATTACAGGTCTTGCCGTTCATGTGTGCCTTGGATCGGCGCAGAACACGGGGTTGAGCAACCATCCCCATCCCCTCCCAGACTCGGTCCCATGATGCGCCACCTCGCCAAGATCGCGTGCCGCGTGGATCTACGACAGCGAATGATGCCCTCCAAGATATATCTTTTACTTCTGAGCCGATTCATGACCCTAACGACAACAATATCATCGACGATCGCAACCAACGTGGTTCGAACCCTCAGGCTCCTTTTCCGCTTGGAGATCCTTCAGAACATACACCATCAATTCCATACGGATATGCGCCTGCATACGGTACACCCTTCCATGACCCTAGACTGCTTCCGGAACATCCACCTCCACAACCTTTGCGCGATCCTCGAACCCGTCGCGTGGTTGCTCCAGAACGATCAAGGACTTTAGTTGCACCTCTCCCACCTTCTCCTCGTCGACAGCCATCACGTCGAGCTACGTACGGAATCAATACGTCTTTCAGTCCACATGATGAAGAAAACGCATCCTTTGAAGTGAACGCTTTGCCCGAGCATCAACAACCCACCCAGTATGGTTATCAAGGATATGGTTACGGCCATTATCTCCCCTACCCTCCACCAGGGTGGGTACCACATGGTCCGCCGCCTCCAGGTCCAGGTTATTATCCAGGTCCTGGACACGCACCACCTGGTTATCCAGCTCCTGCAGCTCCCTATTCACCCTACTTCTACCCAGGATACGCACAGGGGTACCCTTCTCCAGCTCCTCATCCTCTACCCCACTATGGATACTCTCCCTCATTCCGTCCAGGCTCCAGTCCTCCCACCGATCTACCTTACCATTCACCAGATCTTCATGGTCCAAGAACCAGAACCCCAAGCGTAACGAGCGCTTCGCCTAGTCTCTCGTTTGGCTTCCTCCCCCCTTCTTCGACCAGCTCTGACTTTGTATTGGATTCGACTACGGGTACAAGCGTGTCGTCGCCTGTGAGCCCAGCTTCGAGGAATCCACTGGTAAGTCCAAACAGGCGTGCTCCATCCTTGCACCTTTCGGCCAGAGGCAATGCTGGAAGCAGAACGAATACGCCCAAGTTTGCTGCAGTCCCGTCGGGTGCTCCGGCGTGGGGACTTGACCGTGAAAGGATCGTCAGTGATGTTGCTGCTCAAATGGGTGGTGTGTTGGAGAAGAGTGCGGGCGATAATGTACCACCACCAAAAACGGAACAGGCATCGGTTCCCCCGCTCCCTCCACCTGTTTCTCCTAAATCAGAGAGAAGTTCCAATGGCCCACCAGCTACGCCTCGTTTCGCTATTCGCACTGGAGCGCCAACCCTTGCGGTCACTAACGCACTTGTTACGGGAGTTCTAACTACTTCTCCCTATGCGTCGCCTGCGAGCCTTCTCTTCCAGGATCCTAATATTTCTCCTCTGAAGGACACACTTCCACCACCTCTCACCGCGGTGACTGAGGAGGTCTCGCAGCCACACGTGGAAACAAAGCGCGACGAACAGGAAGATCCAGCCAATGTCGATCGCTTGGGTGTGATGGGACAACCTATTAGCAACAGTCCAGAGGGTATTACCGTGACCGTTAACTTGAGTAAGGACCCGCTTGTGGATGCAAATGATGTGGGTGGCGTTCTGCAAACTGCTGGGGATGAGCATCAGGAGGATGAGGTAATTAGGACCCTGTCCGAAGACGTTACAGGTGGACACAAATATGATGTCCAACCTGATGTTGATAGGGTCGTTGAGGCAACGGAACCTGGCGTTGTGCCCAAGGGTAAGATTCAACATGCTTTCCATGGTTTGACTTCTTATAAGCAAGATTCTCTTTTCTATCAGCAGAGACGACACCGGCCACAACACAGACCAGTCTCGTCGCAGAAGCTGAGGCAGACTACACGATCGAAGTTCAGTCACCTTCCGTTCTCGCTCCTGCCACATCGAAGCCAGTGGGTGAGGTCGGAGGCAATGATGCTCCGAAAACTGACCTCCCTGTCGCATCATCTAACACTGCTTCGAGAGGGGTCTCAGAGACCGTAAAGACTGTTAGTGCGTCTGAACCTTCCAATATTCACGATATCAGTGACGGAGCATCGTTGCCAACTGCCAACGACGAGTCGAACGAAAGCACACTGGCATGGGCCGTCCAAGTTGCTGCATCAGGCGAGACACCCTCCCCGGCCGTTATCATCACTGATCAAAAGCCCTCAATTGACCCTGAGGAAGCTCCAGGTCAAGAAGCCCCAGCCACCCCCGCAGAAACCAGTGTAGCGTTGGGAACAATTCCAGAGGAAAGCGAATTTTCCACGAATCAGTCCTCGTCACAGACTCCGCTGCAATCTGCTGAACAGTCCACTGACGTTCTTCCACAATTGTCGGCCGAATCTCACGGTACGACGAGTATAGATGCTCTGCCGTCGGCTTCCCCTGGGGAAGAATCGCTCGATGCGGGTGTTCTGACCGTATCCGTACCCAGTAAATCCCTGCCAGGGGCGAAGTCGACTAGTACGGATGCAGTGCTGCTAGAAGACGTCATCGTCAGACCCACCTCCAACCTTACTGCAGGGGAAGAGGAACGCACCATTCCCGTACCAGGCACCCCGAAATCGCCTGACGATATAAAAGAACCTCTTGAAGAGCAAGTTTCGCATCCTGGAGTTCCAATTGTCGTGGAAGCACTTGGAGGCTCCAAAATCCCAGAAACTGCAAGCCTAGCAGGTAAGGGTGACGTCTCCGTCTCCGGTGAACCTGCTTTAGCAATTGGCTTGGGTCGCGTCGAGGAAGACGCTGCAGTGCATGTGTTTAATGATGCGACAGCTGACCCGATAATCACTCGGGACGAGCCTCAGCCTCTGAATGCATCGTCTTCCAGGATCATCCAATCTCTCGAGGACACGGTATCTTCTGGAGTACCTGGGGCCATCGAGACTGGCTCAACACAGCCCGAAAAAGCCACGAATGTTATCGAGTCCGAGACGTTATCGGACCAGCTAGGTCCAGGCGAAGCCCAGCCCCATCCGGACGACGACGAACAAGCGAACGAGTGGCACCCAACCGGGGTAGCAGATGACTCCGCTATTAGCGTCGTACCCCCGAACAATCAACTCCAAACCTCGATCTCACGCTTGGCGACAGTGGGCCTGAGCGTGTTATATCTATGCCCTCCGTGGAAGAAGGCACTCCAGAACATATCATCTCGATACCTCCCGAGACCACTGTTATCACGTCTGAATCCCAAGCCGTAACGGGCGATTCGGTCGATTTGGTTGATACCGAGCATACACCCGCCACCGCGAAGATCCCCAACACCATTGCTGCATTGAGTGAACCTTCAACTACAGTGCTGACTGATGAGCTGGTTCCTAGCGCTAACGAAGATCATGTACGAGAAGTCCCCCAAGTAGAAAATGTTGATGTTCTGGCTGATCAGTCGACGGTGGGATTAACAACCGAAGACGGACAATCCCCTGCCATAATCGAGGAACGTGCTCCCGCTCAAGAACCTTCCATTCATTTGCTCGAGCGATCCGTAGAAGAGTCTCCGGTCAATGAGGAATCCGTCTCACCGGTGGGAGACCTGCCTACACCAGATGGTGCACATGCGGTCCTACCTTCGGAGGCACTCGATAGGGATGGAGATTTGCGCCGCGAAGTTCTTAGCTCCTCGGACCAGGTTATCTTACATTCCGATCTTCCTGGAGAAATAGCCCCCCCTCCAGAAGAAATAATCACGTCCGCCGATGGATTGGATGACAATCAAGGTAATGGGATTTGGAACGTGCCATGTCCATAGCTGACGATGTTACCCCCAGACACAACCCCTTCGGGTGCAGTTACCGGCTCTGGACACGGTCCAGATGCACAAGACTCCACTGCTCCGGCTCCGACCACCCCTTCGGGTCCAGTTGGTGACGACACTGACCTTCAAGAGACGATTTTTAGTATTGGGGGATCCTCAAATATCGACTCGACCAAACAAGTTGAGCCACCTCGAGTGATCACTGGCCACATCAATAAGGCGGAGCCCACTGTGAGCAGCGATAACTTGGAACCGGCCGTCCGAACATCAGTGGTGCAAGCAGCAGATCAATCGCTATCCCAGCTAGAGGATAAACCAACCGTCCAAGTCGTCCAAGATCCCGCATCGGCTGAGTCGCACGTTGCTGCTCAAGAATCTTCCGTCAAGTTAGCCAAACCATCTGCAGAGGGGCCTTCCGTCGATGAGAGCCTTGTTTCATCCTCTGCTTTGCCCGTACATGGTGGATCAGTAAGTGCGGATGTGGCGTTCCCCAGGGAGATATTGGTATCGGACGAGGACGGCAGCCTTACATCCAATGTCCCTCCATCCGACCCGGCTGGTGAAATCGGTGTCGAGTCATCGGATCGTCCTGAGCTTCCCGTTGTGGAAAAGAATCCTGCCCCTGTATTGGATGGCGTAGAACTGGAGCAAGGTAGCGTCAATTTGAAGAATCACTGTGTCCGCAGCTGATGGGAGTAACTACAGATGCAGGTGCTGGCGACGACACGACGCCAAGCGCCGACAAATCTCCGGTCGAATCTGGCGTCCAGATTAACACTGTTGAGCTGCCTCCTGTTGGGCGCGGCGCACTTGACAGCAGTACTCTCTCGCAAGAGACCCTTCTTTCGGCTGATGGCACCGTTGTCGAGACCAGCGTTCCTGTGGACTTGCTCCGAGTTGTCAGTTCTGAGGAAGAGAGTGTGGTTGGCAAAGCAATTGTGGACTCTACTGAAACCGCATCTGCCAAGGGAGATCATGACCCCGCAAACGCGCTTGACAGCACGATCCCGCCGCAAGTGGCCCCTGCAGATAGTGACATTGCTGCCGTCGCATCCAGTTTCACGGCGGAGTTACCTCAGGCGGGGACTCCCGACATTTCAAAAAACATCGGTCAAGCAGCGGCGAATCAGGTTGATGCGATGTCTGATGTTCGATCGAGTGGCGTTCAGTCTTCCACATCAGTTGCTGATGAGGCAGGTCGCGCTGAGAGCACAGTGCAGTCGAATGATGGGGCTGCTCATGTTCTGGATGTTGAGTTGGGCTCAGATGCGGGCGCAAGCAGCCTCCAGCAATCTCAAGCGCAAACTCGGACCGGCTCGGACCAGCTCAATTCGGAGGCTCGCGCCGGGGCCAGAGTTTCAGGTCCCCAAGATGCGGTACAAGCTATTGAGAGTGAGGTACCAAGAGGTGACGGCCCACCGAATTTCGGTGCGGAACCACTGTCACCCAAATTCGGAATCGGCCGGACCGGTGGGGATAACTCAGTTTTTGGACTTGTTTCCAAAGAAGCCACGGATTTAGCGATCGCTGAGGAGGCCAGGAATGCTGCCGGTGTGCAATCGTCGAGTGATGGTGATATCCCAAGGTCGGCGCAATTGCCGACTAGATCCCTAAGTGGCGGGAAGAAGGTTGTGTTTGCATCTCCGGTAGCTCAGGCTCAAAATTTGATGGAGGAGTCGAAGGGTTCAGAAGCAAGGAAGGATTCCACCGCGCCGCCAGATCTCGGGAATGAGGATAGTCACGTGGAGAGTCCAATTGAATCAATGACGGAAGGGGAACTCCGTGGGGCCGAGCCCTTCTTGACTTCCACTCCGCTCTCACAACACCCTTCCCCAACCACTTTCGCCAACTCGTCCACAACGGCCATGGCAGGTTTGTCGTGTCTGGCTTTTATGTTTTGATAACCTAGTGACCGACTGGTTCATACGTTAGATACACACTCTCCTTTGCACAGCATCAGTCAAGAGGCTCTAGGCGCTGGGGTTGAAATTGCTAGTCCCAAGGTCTCGCTCACGCCAACTGAGTCTGAAATCAATGGTGAGCACTCAGAAGTTGCTTGCTCACGCGTCTCATGAGCTGATCGTATTTGTTTGCGCGTTTGTCGACGTCGTCGCAGGCTCTGCTTTCGAAGCGTCCAAATTGAAAGGGCGTCTCGAAGAGGAAGGCGATGAACGGTTAGGCTATCCTTCCCCTCCCCCAAGCGATATCGAATTGGCGACTTCTGCTGAACCGACGTCTGCTGAAAACGATGGACCTGTGGATCATTCGTTGCCTCGTGAGCTGCCTATCGACCCAGATCGACTCGTAGGTCCCCAACTTCGCTCCATTCTGCGTAACTCTTCTTCCCACTCTCCCAATAATAACCCGCCTTCATCTTCTCGATCCACATCGTCATCCCTGCATGCTACTTCTGCTATTACCCCTTCCACCGTTCATGTATCTACTTCCTCACCTTTACGGCATGAGTATCCGATATCCTCTTCACATCTGCACTCGTCCCCTGTATCTGCTACTTCCCCCTTTTCTTCTCGCATATCCTCTACTACTGCTTATGTTCAATCATGGTCGCCTCCTGCTAACCCCAATTCTTTTTTACTGAACATCGCCTTATCTCAATCCTACGTGCCATCCTCCTCTGGTTCACCCACGCCATCACGACAACGACAGATCGAATTGGCCAGCACGGTGCAAACTATCCCTCAAGAAACCGGATTCTTCAGCATCATTGGCGGTTTTCTCCTCGATATGTTCTTCGAACTGAGTTACTTGATATGGTGGTTCCTTAAAACGGCCATTCCTGGAATCCTTCTGCTTCTTCTGCATGCGGTATTGGTGATTATCAGTGGGGTATTGACACTTCTGAAACCTCTCACTGTGCGTGGTGTCATTTTCCCTTATCTTGGGGTGATTCGCGATATTAACAAGTTGCCGATTTTTTTCTCTCGGTGTTTTTGCTATGTGGGTGGGTGATTGGTTGTGTCGGCGCTGATGGGGTCGACTTTCACAGGGATATGCAGGACCAATGATCAAGACGAAGCGCCGACGGACGGCGACGTATCCAGTGTCCAAACCACATATGGACTAATTTTGGCCACTTACATGGAGAGAATGACGTATTTACCAATTGAGCTGTTCGAACCAATGGTTTTGGACACACATGCCAATTTTTTTTTACCGCAGTGCAAGAGTATTGTATTTCGGGTGATCGCTTCACACTTCATTGTTCACTTCTTTGTGCTGCACATCATTCATTTGCAGCTGGCATTGGTCCCAACAACGCGTTCTCCCGCATGTATTGCGATCTGTAATCTGCTTTTTTTCGCTCTATATTATATAGATCATTAGACTTTGGCATTCCCACCATATTGCCGCGTAGTCAATTTGGTCAATTTGTTGGATTCTTTGTTTGTAGACATCTTTTACTAGTTTTAGGGTACACATACAGTTACTCCCGTTGGCGAATAGACGAATAAATTGGGCCAACTCTGCTACACTGCAGCTAAGGTAAGACGTACAAGCTGACCTGCTTCGGGTTTGATCTTATCGACACCAGCTGTATTGTAGCGGAGTTGTCCGAATTTTATTCTCTAGTCGCTTCCACGATCTGTTATCGCAATGTGATCTCCAACCGAGCCGCCTGCTGAGCTGGTGCTCCAACACAATCTCCTCCCCCTAACTCTCCTGCAGTACACGGTATGGCTAGAAGATGCCTGGGAAGTGATTCTAAAGGTCCCGACAATTTCCCCCTGCGTGCTGGTGTTCTTGTGAGCCCCTTCCTGATGGCCGCAGATTTGTTAGCTAACATTTCCTAAAGCTTATCTCTGCAATTGGCCTACTGGCCTTTGTTCTTGCGTCCTCACTTCTCCTGTACTCCATGGTGAGCACATAGCGCTTGCTCCTGTTCAAGTACATGGTGTACTAGTTTCCTTCCAGATACAAGTGTGGAAGAAGTGTCGTAGAAAGGATACTATGGCCTCCAGCATCAAGCCTGGATTTCAGCCGATATCTGTGCTGTTTCTGTGCGCTATTTTCACCGACGTAATGCAAGTCCCACCGCGTCAATGTCGGCAGTGGCCATTTGTTACTGACCTCCCTTCGCCGTAGTCATGGGACTTCGAATATCTTGTCCATCAGATGGGCCTTTGCAGGCGAGGTCACCGAGGGGCCATATTGCACAGCGCAAGGGGTGTTGAGACAGATTGGGTCTATGGGTGTGGGTACGCAAGCGTCAATCCTTCTCTCCAAGCATCAATTTCTCAGAACCTACTCGTCGCCAGCGTTGTACAGCACTGCAATTGCGGTGTTGACTTACCTTCAAGTTCTCCATTCAGAACGACTGGGGGCCAGAGGTGCAAAGGTTTTCGTAGCGGCATCTATTTGCTTCATTACCGGATTCATTACTTTGATCATCGCGATCCCTGTCGCTGTCATTCACCCATATTTTGGCGATGTTGGGTGAGAACCACTCTTGATGTCCCATTGACGCTTTAACCCTGCATCCTAGAATGTGGTGCGGGATCATGACGAATCACCGGAGGTTGCGGATTGGTAGGAAAACTTCGCTTCTGTGAGATGCAACCGTTTTGAAATCCAGATTCGTAGTAAGCGGGTCCGTCCCGCCGTCGCTTGCCGTTCCAGTAACCGTTCTCGTGTACGGGATGGTAGCGTACAAATGGGCATGTCAAGCGTCTTTTGACACTAACCGTACGATGAAACGGGATGCTATTGCCATGGGATGGTATCCTATCGGTGGGCGCAACCATCACACACACCCGCCTCAGGCTCATCCTTCGTAATTTAGCGTATCTCATTGTAGCTGGGCCTCAAGGTGTGGCTTCCTTCATCCAGCGCCCTGGTATTCAATCACCCGTTGCTCTGTTAATTTTTCCTCAAGCCCTTTATGCGTCATGGGGAGCCCTTAACGTGATCCTGTGGTTTTGCACAGGTAGACATTTTGGGTTCTCTCCTGTTTCCTCAGGCTCAGATCTCTACACCCCCGGGATGTTGAGATGACCGCATGATCTTAACCCGCTTGCTTTTAAGCTGACGCACGTTAAATTCGGACCGGGTGGATTCACCTTTCTGGATTTTTTCACTTCACCGCGATACTTGGCTATATCATTGATTCACTGAATCGGTGCCGCCTGCACGCATGAATTCCCGGCTGTGACGGGTTAAGAGCCTGCTGCATGTTACTGGTGCACATGAGCCACCAGAACTGGAATGGTGCAATGTTGATGACAACGTACTGGTAGAACAGCGAAGATTTGCTATCAGGAAATTCTGGCCGTCTCTCTTCAGCTTTGATCTCCGAACCAGCGCATGATGCTTACTGTGGCCCCAGGGCCTCCCGGTCGGCTCTGGAGAGGGCTCCATGGGGTGATGTGAACGCACTGGCATGGCAGTGAGGGATAAGAGGGTCCGTGAAGTATTACCAGAGACCAGCCAGGGAATCATGACAGAGTCAATAAGACACGAACGAAGCGAGTCAAACTCACCGACCAACCAAAAGTATGGAACGAAACAATACGCTCTCGTATTGTGCAATCCACGAATCTTGGCACCGTACCACATTCCAGCCCTGGTTGGTTTTGGTTGGTTGGTTGGCTTCCACATCCGAAATCAAAATCTGACCCAACTCGCTCGACTTGAACAACACCCTCGCTTACCGATTGGAGTGGTTCGTCCCTCGATGGTACCACTGCCGACGACTCGAACGGACCGTCAAGCACATTAACCAGCCAAGCAGAGGTTGGCCTGCGGACCACAGAACTTCACTAATAGCTAAGCCACTTAGGGCTTTCCAAAATTGGTAATGGACTCTGATGGACTCGGGGAGACCTTCGCTTTCCTTGTTAAATTGGGGAATACCGTAAAGGGGGGTTCGATCGGGTTTACAAACGAAAGCCAGCCACAGTCATGGTGGCCGGTGTGAGCATGGTGTTTAGCGTAAGTGGATGGTGAAAAGGTATATATAATACATAATCCTTTGCAAGTGTGCAAAAAATGGAGAAATATCATTGTGAACTAACAGCGTTACATGCAAATTATTTAAGGGGTGAAAACCATTGGCAAGCGTATAGAGCTTGTTGGGTTGTGGCAGGATCGAGTCCTGCCCAGCAAAAGTGCGCACGATCGTGATCGACTTCGAGCAATTTGGGGCAATTTGGAATTGAAATCAACATTGTGTTGAAGAGTGGAATATGGTTGTCTTGACTTCGAGCCGGACGGAAAAAATAGGGTACGATGTCAAGATTTTAACAAAAGGAGTGCGTTCAGGATGACTATTATAGATATCGTTTATACATAAAGAACAACTTTGGACTTGTCGCTGTCGAGCACGAGGCAGTTAATTACGTTGCAGAAGCCGCGCGGCAGCATATAACTACAACAATGGACGTGAACGTGGACGTGTATGGATCGAAGCTTGGCGAGAATTTCAATCTAGCATCTGCAGAACAAACTCACAGGGAAAGCGTTACTTTCACAGCATCGCCTTTGCATAATCCTACACACCTTAATTCTGGGTTCCAATCCATAGAAACAGCACTTTCACGGCAACTTCCTAGAAGCGTTTAGGGTCAACTACGGGCAGGGACAAAGCAAGTGGGTTGCCTCCGGCGAACCTGGCACCCTTATGCCTTTGTACACGAGCGAGTATCCTCAGCCAACTTGGCGCATCGAGGAGATTAGATTATTGCAGCCAAACGCAGCTAACTCCTCAGCCCCTTGAACTACCTCACATACAGGAGTAACATGACTCCCCCTTGAGTGGTTGACTGGAGGTAGGGGAGGAATCCCACGAGGAGTTGTGACTAGGTCATGACTCAGAACGGGACTGTGATGTCTATTATCCTCACCCGGCATCCTTCGAGGAGCAGCTTCGGACTCCAGTGTTGCTCTCCTGGTTTAGATAGGGAACTGTCGTAAAGGGAGAGCGACTGCCAGTCCCCAATGCATCACTGGCACTTGCTCCTCCGATCCTAAGGGTGCGTTCATACTTCAGTAGTAGGAATTGCTGATCATTCATCAGCCCGTACAAACCCTGATTGTCCGGTTGGCTCGTTGGCGTTTTGGTCACTGGAGCTACGGGAGCGATATTGCGGAAAGGCAGAAAAGAAGTGTCCTGCAGCTTCTTCCCTTGCACGCCCGCCGTCCCCGTGAACTCATGACCGAGCACTGCGTTAGGCGGCTGCGCTTTAATGGGAGTTGGTGCAAAATGCCTGGTCACCCACCATAGAGACTCGATTGATGAATAAAGCGACCTTCAGAGTTCCTGTAGTCAACCTAAAGCAGCACCCCTTGGGAATTAAATATAGCGTGTTGACAAAATACACACCCATTGATATTCGAGACGGAAGCATTCCAGCTCCTTCATGGCCAACTTTGACATAGTGTAGGATTCCATCATCATCCTCCATTACTGAGTATCAGAACGCGTATGAGCGCGAGCTAGCTGATCGGATGGACTCGAGAGATGTCCGAATGAAGCGTTGCCGCAAGGTGGAACCGATAAGCTCCAGGTATATATAGTACGAACAGAAATTATTTTGGAGTGTCGTACGACTTGGTTCCGAGACCCTGTGCAGGGGTGGACGATATGGTAATGGACCAACGAAATCGATGGCGTGGTGCTGACCACGCCTGAATGATGGTAAGGGTCTCACAACCCTTCGTGTGCGACAAGCCCATAATGGGCGTCGGCATGGGCCTCAGCAGAAAGGAGATGCATGAGCCTTTTCTTAATTTGAGGTCCTTGCTTCCTTGAGTTTGGGAATACTGTGTGGGCGTTTCAATCGGCTTTTGGTGACGAAAACTCAGTCTTCGTTCATGTGTCCAGTTTGAACATAGCGTCAAGCGCACTATTGCAAGGAAAGTGGATCGCGATTGTGAGGTTTCTTCGGAGGATTTGAAATAAGGACCAAGGAACGATCACGGAGTAATACCGTGACAAGTTAAATAATGGTTATCTTTGAGCTTGATGGAAAGTAGCGGATTTAGAACACGGTGGTGCACCATTACTTTCGCGGATTGTATACAGAGCCATTCAGATTATGTAAAACGGTCCAAATGAAGCAGATGAAAGCTAGGGAGATCAGACATAGTGTTATGCATGGTCAAGATAACGAGCCTCAGTGTGAGGAAAAACTGGGACGGGCGCAGGGGTCACAATGTAGTTTCCGGCACTACGTGGCTCACAAGAGCACCTCCAAAGGCCTCGGCTAAGTGTTTAGCCCGTGGTCGATCCGATGGTTCCAGACTCCAGCATTGTTTTATTAGGTGAAGTGGGAGAAGCGAATTGCACTGTTCGAGCTGTTCAGGGGAGATAGGTGGCATACCGTTTCGAATCGCCTCGACAATGACGCCTACAGGCTGGTTATGGATGGTTTGATGCGGCTTTTTTGCCAGAAGGATCTTGATGCAAAAGTCTTCAGCTCGTATATATTGTATGTCAACAGAATTTTGAACCTCTCACCTCGATGCAAGTGCACCCATAAGCATAAACATCAGATTCGGTCGTCTTCTCGCTACAATCCAATAATTCCGGAGCGGAAAAGATAAGAGTCATTCCGATCACTGAAGAAGTAAATCCAGTGGGGTTGTTATCCAAGATAATTGAGAGGCCAAAATCGCAGATGCAAGCGTGCCCATCCAGAGTGATCAAAATATTTTCCTGAAAGTTCTCAATTTTAGGATCCTAATCATTTTTAAAAGCAAATAAAACACTTACCCCTTTCATGTCACCATGCACAATCGACGGGTTTTGTGAATGAAGATATTCTAAACCTGAAGCTACATCGGCACACTTGGACATGCCGTCAGTTCTCCCGAGCTTAAAAATAGGGAGTAGGGGGTGGTGCGCACAATTGTATCCCTGTTGGCGCTAGGGTGACTCTTGATGAACTTGATTACATCCCCTTCCGGATACCAGGGAGAGACAAGGCCTTGACCGCTGACATCATCCACATAGCCGAGTAGTGGGACGACGTTGGGGTGGCTGAGACATGACCACACACGCATCTCTCTTTTCAGTCGCTGGAAGTGCTGGCATGATTGAGGCAGGATTGTCTTTGCACAAGCATACACACCTTCCAGCACTTCTCCTGGGGGTCCGAATTCCTTGAATGAGAATGAGATAAGCGGAGCATTTTCACAGCAACTTCCTGGAGGCGTTCAAAAATCAAGGGCTGCAGGCATGGAGACAACAGATACTGACCTGGTGAAATCGCGAATCAAACATCCGTATCCCCCGGTACACAAGTGAGTAACCCCCTCCACCGGCTCTGCGTATCAAGAAGATTTGTTGGGTGAGATTGTAACAACCAAACGCAGCCAACCCCTCAACCCCCGCAACTGCCTCAGGAGCAACAGGATTCCGGTGGTCCATGTCGAGTGGAAGTACGCGAGCGATGGTTGGGCCTGTTTCGTCACCACTAAGAATCGGAGTAGGGTCGCATTGCCTGTAGCGGTCAACTGCCATCCCTCTAGTGGGAGCAGCATCAGATGCTGAAGGATTACTGGTGTAGTTTTGAAGCGGTGCCACTGTAGAACGGGGAGTGTGATCGCCAGTTCCTGGCACAAGATCGACAGGCTCCTGACGTGCCTGCATTTGGAAAAATCTAATCCACCGTGCGTTTGGAAGCCGAGAAGACTCACTGGTATGGAATCCTGTGCCAAAAGTAGCCTTTCATCAACTTTTCGGTCCAACCATGAGATTAAGTTCGTATTTAAGCAATCGAAGATGGCTATCTTTCCTGTGGAGTATTAGCGGTGGGCGGCAGCAACAGTGGGAATTCAATAGATCGCAATGGATAGAAAAAAGTCATAAAGCGGGGCTGCTGAGTGGGGTGAATTACGACTCACCAGAGTTCGCGCGTGTCCGGAAAATCCCGGCCAAAATCCCTGTTGCAACGAAATGAGCAAGTTAGCTAGGCAACATCTAGATCTGGTGGGGGGTCGGCAGTGCAATATGATCGCCTGTGCAACCGATATACTGTGACGTGCTATTTCGATCGATTCGTTGTGCTGGCATGTGCCAAAGACTTGTCCAAGAACAACCCCCGTGACCGGTCGTTAAACAATCCCGCCAGTGCTAATAATCAGCAGAAAGAAAGAAATTTCAATTGGGGTCATGACGTGGGGCGAAACTTGGTGGCCGACCAACCTTGGCAGGTTTTTAAGCGCCATATTCGTGGGAAGGCATCAATTATTGCTATATCCACAAGACCAGTCTCTCACGTCCGCACAACGATCACGCATCTGTCACTAAGATATCAGTGCTCACAATTCTCACCCCAAGATGGCTGGCTCAACCCTTAGTGTATGGCTACTATTTAAGCAGAGCAACCATAAAGATGCGACCCCACTCCTCAACTTAACACCCAATCATGCATGGTGGCAAACTTGTCTCTCACTGCGGTAATGACGCAAAACTGCGCCCTTGCCTTAAATCTGTTGATCAAGCCTTGGCGCTATGGCCACGCCCTCAATATCACGGGCGGCAAGTTAACAGTGAACACTTAATCTGCCCAAGGGGTCACGTCCTTCCAATGTGCCCATGCCCCAATGCAGTGCGCCCCTGCCTCAGCGAGGAAGCCAGCCGACGTCTGCTGTGGGGGGAGGCGTGGAGGAAAGATGCTTTTAGTATGCAGAGAGATAGTTATACATTACTTTGTAGATTTTATGCTACGTGTCACTGTGTATGTGCGGAGGCGCCAAGACCCTGATGCACTGCAAACCCCCTATATCGACGTACCTGCAGAACCGCCCGGATCCATTGAGACTCCACCGGCAGTCAGTCTCTGGGAAAGACAGTCGCCCGGACCCCTACACAAAACGTTATATCTGAGGCACCCGTGGCAAAGGCAGAAGCCAGGGAAGGCCGTGCGCAGGGAGTATTTCCAATCTTGACACCATTTTCCTTGCAATCGGTGGACCGTACATTCCATAGTCCCAGGCCTACGACATTCCAGGCCATTTCGACGGAAGTGGGGAACCATCCTGCTGCGTTGCTGAGGGGAGGGGATGCGGCGGGGCAGATGTAGGTGTTCCCCTTTTGTACTCATATTGCGCGCGCTACCAGGGTTCATTTATGCTTTTGAAATTCTAATTGGCCGCGCGCCACCGCTATCTGAGGATCATGCCGCTCCCTCATCTCATTCAAGTATATGCATACCCAGACTCTGATGCATACTTACCCCTCCCGGGCCATGTAATCACAAATCACTCTGTTGGGAAACTCTGTAGCCCTGCTGCCGTTTTCTCTGAAACCCATATTGCTAAAGACAAGGCAACTGTGAACTACCTTCTCCTCGAGTGTTCGTGGTCAAGCGCCTAATCATTCCTTCGATGTCTTTTAACAATTAGTCGAGTCTTGATGAGTCTTATCGAGGCCCTCGGCATCCCCATGGATTGAAAAGGGGCCAGGACGTGCGACCGAATCTCACTGCACATCACCCTCCATAAATATTCGGTGACAGTGGCAAAGTAGATAGCAGTAAGGCGTCTCCTGCAAATGGTCCACTATATCCCTGAATCGGATTTGGACAACGAGTGCTTCCCCTGTACGTCGGTAAGCATCTTAATTGCCGCTTGAATAATGACCGGTATTCATAATGGTCCTCAGCCGTTCGCACAACATCCTGGAACCACTACCACCCTATCGTTCGGGTGCCATTGTCGTGTGCCTGTGTGCATACCAGCTACGGTGGTCATGCTGCAACCTGAGAGAGAAGGCAATAACGAGCTTGGACCATGTCAGTCGAAGAGTCACTCAATTGAGTTTATACGTAGAGGCTGGGGTTCGCAAAAAAGGATTGACTAACACTAGCGAAAGTGGTGTCTCATTTTCTCACAACATGATCTCCAGGAAATCGTGAAGTACATGATGCAGGCAGTAAGTGGTCGAGATGGGGAAGGAAAAAAGATCATACTAGTTGTCAACTGAAACTCGGTGGAAGAATGACAGGCAGGCGGTCCGGTGTGAAAGTGGCGTGGAAACGGGTCAGTTCCTTTCTCTCCTTCAGACAAAGGATCTTGCTCTCTTGACGTCGATCCTCAGTTCAGCAGCCAGGTCCCTCTAGCCTTCAAAACAAGTAGCCCACCCTTGCGGACTCTTACAATGCAGTGCATCTCCGTTATTCTCCACAAACCGGCACGCTCTGATGATTCTCGTAGCCTCTGCCCACTTACTTCTCTATCCAAATTACTAGTAGCTCCTTCCTGTGCGACGTTCTTCGGCTTAGCATCCACTTCCTGGGCATTGCCATGAGAGTTTTAGAAGAGATGTGCGTGAGGGCACCACCAAGAGAATCGCAGTCCTGGTTTGGTGAGGGCTCCGCATGTGGCAGAACAGGTGGACGTGCATAGATCGGAGCTCGGCGAGAATTCAATCTAGCATCTTAGACGTGCTACTTACTACAGAACAAACTCACGTGCACGGGGGAAAGTGAGGCGCATGGTGATGCAAGCATGCGATGCGCGACAGATAGGAATCGGAAATCAACTCGACCTTCAATAGTCTACTGTTGGACGATCGGCGAGCTGAGGTGAAGTGAAAGGCGGGCACGGAAGCAGGAGCTTGACTACGGGCACGACCAAGTGAGCGCATTTTGTAACAAACCGCACACTTTCGATCATCTCTCCTTCACCAATATCAATCTCCCAATCCCTTCGCAGACTCTCGCGTTTTACAAAACCTTGCACCGTCCAGACTTACACTTCCGAATGCAATGACCCAACGCACCCGCCAATCATCCAAATCAATTTCTTTTGTCTTTTCCTCAATTCGCTTGCTGGAAGAGGCATGTTGGCAGACATGTATGAGGCTAGCCCCGAACCAACCTATTATGCTTTGTAGGATACTCAGGCCTTCTATGAGGTGTCGGGGGAGAGATCTCCTTGAGGAAAAGTGAATGCGCTCGCATGGTGGCGTGCGGAGAGCTGTTCCGGTATGTCGGAGGAAAGCGATCATCACCAGCCGTGTAGGAACATCCTGTCAGGACGGTAAGGGAAATAACGAGCAAGATGACATGAGTTAAGTAAAAATCTACTGCTTTTAAGACCCCGAATGAAATGATGTGAAAGCAGACTATGCAATCTATGGTGCCATATCCGGAATCAAGATGTGTCCTCTCAAAACCACGTTGGGCCACCCCTCGCCAACGTTTAATCAGTTGTGGAGAATTTGAAATCAGCATGGGAAATGAAGTGGAAAAGTGACGTCATTCGATCGACGCTCGAAGCCTCTGGTGCTGGCTAAGGAAGATAGTGTATATAGCATATGATGAATCAGAACTGAGACTGACATTGCTGAACCCCGCATTTGATGTCCGTGATTACGCATTCGATATTGGGTGCTCGTATGGCTCACAACCAGCTAAGTAGTCAACAACGGTCCCCTACATCTTTGTATCCATTGGCGAAGAAAGTGATAATGATATGAGAGGAAGATCACGGGCTTCACGGCCGCAACCGATCGTCGAGATGTGTAGGAGTTTGATTTGGCTTTGCATGGCTCACGAGAGCGCCTCGAAATGCTTCGGCTAATTTTCCAGCTTGTGGTCGTCTGGACGGCTCCTTCCTCCAGCATTTACTTAACATACGGAGTGGAAGGAGCGAGTTACACTCTTTAAGTTGTTGGGAAGAGATAGGCAGAGTGCCACTTGCAATCGCCATTACAACAGCCCCGTCGCCACGGATATCTTCATACGGTGTTTTCTCTAGTAAGATCTGGACGAAAAAGTCTCAAACTCGCCAAAGATTACGAGGGATGGAGCTCTCACCTCAATGCAAGCGCACCCATATGCGTAAACGTCGGCTTCCACTGTCTTCTCGTCACTGTCCAGTAATTCGGGAGCTGAAAAGCGAAGGCTCATTCCGACCACTGTGGATGTAAATCCAGTGGGCTTATCATCCAAAATCCTTGACAGGCCGAAGTCGCAGATCGAAGCACGTCCATCTGAAGTGATTAGGATATTTTGCTGAAGGAGTTCAGTATCAAAATCCCAACCATTCCCAAAGCAAGCAAACTACCTACTCCCTTGATATCACCATGTACAATCGGTGGGTTCCGTGAATGAAGATATTCCAATCCTGAAGCTACGTCTGCACACTTGGGAAATGTCCATCAATCTCGAAGTAAGAAATAGGAAGATGATGCATACGATCACGTCTCTGTTGGCACTAGGACGATTCTTGATAAAATTAATTACATTGCCTTCTGGATACCACAGAGAGACAAAGCCAAGGCCATAGTCATCATTCACGTAGCCAAGCAGTGAAACTAGATTGACATGGCTCAGACGTGACCATATTCGTATTTCTCGCGTCAGGCGCTAAGGTCCAAGTGTTACCTCGGGCTGAATATTATCATCATTGTACAGGTCTACCCACCTTCCAACGTTTTGCCTCGGGGTTTAAGTCCTTTGCATAGGACAAGAGCACTTTCACGGCAACTTCCTGGAAGCGTTTAGAATTAATTCCAACCAAGAGAAAAAAAAAATGCCGACCTGGGTGCCCAGTGAATCAGGAGTCCATATACCTTTGTACACAATCGAGTATCCTCCTTTGTCGACTTGGTACATTGAAGAGATATGTTGAGTGAGGTTAGGGCAGCCAAACATAGTCGCATCCTCTGGCTCTGGCTCCTTCCCCGGCCCTTCCTCCCCTGCCACCACCTCCTTCTGCCTTTCCATCTCTCTCGCCTCCTCCCTCAGCCTTTCCATCTCCTCCATCTCCATCTCTTCCCTCACCTTCCTCCTCTCCCCCGCCCTTTGCTCCCTCTCCCTCTCCCTCTCCCCCCTCCCCTCCCTCGCCGCCTTCTCCCTTGTCACCTCTCTCACCTCCCTCCCCTGCCTTTCTATTCCCTCCCTCTCCTTCTCTTCCCTCGCCTTCCTCACCATCTTCTCCCTTACCCTCTCCTTCCCCCTCTCCCTCGCTTCCTTTACTACACTCACAGAAGCAGCAGGGTTTTCTAAGCGATTAATCGAGGGCAGGGGTTGAGGAGGGTAAGCCCAACTCCTTTCATCACCCCTCAGAATGGGACTATTTGGCCTGTTGGGGCCGAGTTCACGCACCGGTTCGGGGTCGTGGCTGCAGCAGCACATGAGCAACCAGCAGGGACAGCAGAGGATGCCGATGAGACAGTCGCAGCAGCCCATCGTAGATTATGTTGGCGGTATATTGGGAAATCTTCTGGGATGGAAACCTATGCGGTAGCTGTCGAACACGAGGTTTTAGTCAGCTATTTGAATAAGTCCTGATCAGGCAGGAGGCTACAGCGGCGCTTCATGTATTTATGTAACCCTGTGAATGTATGGCAAACGTTTATCACCACGGTGCGTGGATGTGATGCACGAAAGAGGCACGGAAGAACAGCCGACTTGAGTTGACCTACAACAACCAACCGCCACATGCCACTACAGAGTCCAAGGGAAAACGTGAAAGGATTCATCAGCAGCAGTAGGGGATGAGAAGACGATGTGTGAACTTGGAGCATGCCATATCTCGCTAGAGTTATGGTTAGGTTTTCCTTCTATCCCCACATAGTCTTCTTATCCCCCACTTCAATCCCCGAATCAGAAGCCGAAGGTACTGCTCCTTAGGCGACAACGGCCATGCGGCCGGCATGAGCATGGTGTTTGGCAGGCATACGAAGGTAGGCATCTCATGGGCGATCGAATATGATGAGAGGATTGCCTGAAATTAGGGTTCGTTGCGGTGACAAGTTTTGGAGTTTTGTTTATGCAAAATTGTTGGAATCTGATGTGTGTGTGCGTGTGTGGCATGACTGATCGCGCTTACAGAGATACGCCTTCAACATTGTATACGTTGGAGCGCTGGAGTGTAGTTGTGTTGGTTTCAAGTGGGACACAAAATAGTATCGGGTGCGGCACTCAGATTTAATGGAGGTGCAAGGTTAAATGTGAGGTGACCTTGCAGCGCGCCTCAATGTATTTCAGCCCGATCCTTAGTGCATGGTCGTTTGGGTTCATAGGAAGAGTGACTTGAAAGCACTAGTACTGTTAATTTCCCTGTGACGCAGCAATAGATAAGGATACCGAGATGGGTTTACTGAGGGCCAGACTGGATATTTCCTTTGATTATATTGTTGGAGATCTTCCCCTTGTTAAGTTTGGGAATAGCGTAAGGATGGTTCCATTGGGTGGCGTCTTTGGGAACGAAGACTGACCCTCATGTTTCCGATGTGACCATGGTATTCTGGGATCTCGTCGGAGCAGTGGGACACAGAGACAGGGTACGGTGCAGAGTCTTTAGCGAAACAACCTTCGGTCTTGAGATCATAAGTGAAGTGATGGTCCTATGAATTCGCAGATATAAGTAGTCGGGAGAAAGCAGAGGAGGTACGTGACGACAACGTGTTGTGAAATTAGGACAAAAAAGGACTACTTAATATATTAATACCAAAGTGACTGCATATGTACAGGTTGTCCATTACATCAAGCCCGTGGGGAAAATGGTCCGATATTGGTATTTCGAAGTGCTCTCCTTCTTTAGCAAGCAAATCGATTTAACAGCCCCCTCCTCGCACATCTCACAAGCCAAACGCATCCCTAAACGTCTTTGCCAACTCCTCAGTCCCTGGTCGCTCGCGTGGTCCACTACTCCAACATTGGTTTAAAATATGAAGCGGGAGGCATGAGTCACACTCCTTGAGCTGTTCATGAGAGATAGGGGGCGTGCCACTTGCAACCGCCTTCATCAGGGCCATGTCGCTGCGGATATCTTCATACGGTGGTTTCCCTAGCAATATCTGGGTGCAAAAAAAGTCTCAGACTCATAAAAATTAACAATCAATGGAAATTGGAGTTCTCACCTCGATGCAAGTGCACCCATAAGCGTAAACATCAGTTTCCATTGTCTTCTCACCCCCATCCAGTAATTCAGGCGCTGAGAAGCGAAGGGTCATTCCAACCACAGTAGATGTAAATCCAGTAGGATTATCGTCCAAGATCCTCGATAGGCCGAAATCACAGATCGAAGCACGTCCATCCGAAGCGATCAGAATATTTTGCTGAAACACTTCAACATCGGAACGTGAGAGCAAGTGGACCACTTACTCCCTTGATATCACCATGTACAATCGGTGGGTTCCGTGAATGAAGATATTCTAGTCCCGAAGCTACGTCGATACACTTAGGAAGATGTCCCTTAGTTCTTGCAACATGAGAAACAGAAAGATGAAGCCCACGATTATGTCTCTGCTTGCACTAGGATGTTTCTTAATGAAGTTGATAACGTTCCCTTCTGGATACCATGGAGAAACGAAACCAAGGCCATTGTCACCATCTACATAGCCGAGGAGCGGAACTAAATTGGGGTGGCTCAGACATGACCACACTCGTATCTCTCTTTTCAGGCGCTGAAGTTTAAGCGTCATTCTGGCAGTATCGTTCTTACACAAGCCTACCCACCTTCCACTGTTTGGCCTCGGGATTTGACACTGCATGGAGCACTTTCACGGCAACTTCTTCAGGATCGACAGCGAACTGGGAGTTGGTCCGAGTCCGGCTGTCCAGCGATTTGGGCACCCGTGTACCTCGGTAAACAAGGGAGTATCCACCTTTGTCGACTTGGCGCATCGAGGAGATTTGTTGGGTGAGATTATAGCAATCAAACGAAGCCAACTCAGCCTCGACTGTCTCACATACAGAAGCAACACGGCTCCCGCCCGGGTAGTTGACGGGAGAAACTGCATGGGGTGTTGTGACCACCGGATCGGGTGGGAACGCAGAGAGGGCAGCGAGGGAGGGGAGGTTAGGGGGGATGGGGGGAAGGTCAAGGGAGCTGAGGTCAGGGAGATCGAAGGCTTCCGGGACAGACATTGGGTTGAAATTAGCTAGCCTAGCAAATGGAGCCAGCTTAGCCTCAATTGTCTCGCGTGGGTAGTTAACGACATGAACTGCTTGGGGGGTTGCGACTTGGCCGCTCTCATCAACCCACAGAACAGGACTGCATTGCCTATCAAAGACATCAGATGGGTTCTTGCCGCGTAGAATATCATCCCAGTCCCATGTGAGTGGGGACGGGTTGTAGGAGTCGGCAAAGTTGAGGAGGCCGGCACTCGGGAGGTCGATGGCTCCCGGATCAGACCTTGTGCTCTCAGGATCAGCCACCGGAAAATCGTCCGTCGGGTCCCGCCTCCGTCTCCCTCTGTGGGTTCTTGTTCTGTTGCGAACCTCACCTGGGACCGGTTCACGCTATACGTGTGGAATGAGTGATGAGAGCGTGCAGATCATGTGCCTCATTCATCTGAAGAGACATGACTGAGAGTAGTGCTTACTCGAGTCGGAGGGTGAAAATCACAGACGACTCCTAACCGGGTGCATAAGCTGCAAGGGCCGCCACCAGATTTTGCAGCTGAACATGGCACTTTTCCCGATCGACATCTGACGCAGCTCCGACCCAGGCGGGAAAGTTCCGACATGCGTTTTTGCTGGTGATATGGTGAAACGAGGCTAATGGCGGGAGAAGTTAGGCAGGACTCCAGCCTCTATGGCTTTGTAATATTATATAGAGGGAGAAGTGGCAAGGTAGTTTGCCTCAACGCACAGCCGCTATTCAAATGCAGGGTATAGGGGTGCACGCGCGCGGCTGCAGACAACCGACGCCCATGGATTGGAGGTTAGTATATATATTCTTAATGTATCTCTACAAAGGCAAAATTGATGAGGGAAGGGATGGCGAAGAAATTATCACCCAGGTGCATGCATAAACGCGCAACAGCGGGAGGGAAAAGATCGACGTCGGTCTAGTGTAGTGGAGGAAAGTGATCATTACAAGCCGGCTAGATAGGCAAGGGAAAAAGCGAACGTCTACCAGCACGATAAAGGAAAAAATTGAAACTCACTCATTGACGGAGCGAAATCATGTTGGCATCATACAACACTCCAGCCAACCAAAGCGCAATGCCCAAGTCCGAAATCAAAATCTTCCCGACTCGTTCGTCTTGATAGTGAATCATGAGTGAGCGTTCACGATCGCGACTTTGAGCAATTCGGATTTGAAATCGGAGGAACGATTCGTCGGACCAAGTTGGAGCATGGTTGTCTTGGCATTGAGCCGAGCAGCGTACGTTAAGTAAGTCCTTACAGTAAACAACGAATTCAAGACGAGTCTTCAGTGTATCACCCCTTGAGATCAAATATGCACAGATGGTCCATTACATCAAGCTTGTACCGATATTGGTAATATTTCGGAGTGTTCTCCAACTGATTTGATTCGGCCTCGTACGTCTCACAAGCCAAACGCATCCCTAAAAACCGTGTGCGTGTGGTTGCCTGAGTCTTGCCTTCGAGTTGGGCTCAATAGAGGATGCTAAAATGATCGGACGTGCCGATTTTTGTCTTTTGGGGGCTGGTATAAGACCACAGAGCTGCTCCAGCTATACACCCGCCGTTACACATCGGTGTTTATTTCTCCCCTTTGTATTACGTTCAATGCTGTGTCAATTGTCCTAGTTGCCTCCGTGCGCAGCCTGCTGTTATTTCCTCTATTCACCTGCGCTATGACTGCTATCGGTTTGCCCATTCGGATCATGTTAAGCTTCTAGAGGAAATAGTCCTCATGAAACATGTGAAACTGTGTGTAGCGTATGAAGAAAATAACGAGCGTCATAGTGCATTATCAGAGCCGAGACTAACATCACTGCATCCCGCACTTGATATCCGTGATCTCACATTCGGGATCGAGCGATTGTCTGGCTTTGTACGCCTCACGGGCGTGTCTCGAGATGCTCCAGCAAAGTGGTCGATTCAATGGTCCCCTGCGTCCGTGTGGTGATTGGTTTCACCAGCGAACAAAATGGTGCCGGTGAATTAGTCGAGGGAAATGATATGAGAGGCAAAATATAACGATCATGAGCTTCACCCCTGCAGCCGATCATCAAGACGTGCACGAGTTCTTGCATGGCTCACGAACGCGCCTCGAAATGCTTCGGCCAATTCTTCAGCCCGTGGTCGTCTGGACGGTTCCTTCTTCCAACATCTACTTAACATACGAAGTGGAAGGAGTGAGTTACACTCTTTAAGTTGTTGGGGAGAGATAGGCGGAGTGCCATTTTCAATCGCCATTACGAGGGGCCCTTCGTGGCGGATACCTTCATACGGCATCTTCTCTAGTAAGATCTGAGCGGAAAAAGTCTCAAAACTAAAACTAACGATAAATGAGAGTTCGAGCTCTCACCTCAATGCAAGCACACCCATAAGCGTAAACGTCGGTTTCCACTGTCTTCCTTTCACTATGTAGTAACTCTGGAGCTGAGAAGCGAAGGGTCATTCCAACCACTGTAGATGTAAGTCCAGTAGGGTTGTCGTCCAAAATCCTCGACAGGCCGAAATCACAGATCAAAGCATGTCCATCCGAAGTGATCAGAATATTGTGCTGAAAGACTCCAATATCAGAATCCCAACCATCCCAATAGCAAGTAAATCACTTACTCCCTTGATATCTCCATGCACGATCGATGGGTTTTGTGAATGGAGATGTTCCAATCCTGATGCTACATCGGCACACTTGAGAAATGCTCATCAATCCTCCTAGCCTCAAAAATAAGAAATAAAAGGCATAACACGCACGATCATGTCTCTATTAGCATCAGGATGATTCTTGATGAAGTCGATTACATTCCCTTCTGGATACCATGGAGAGACGAAGCCAAGCTGGCCATTTTGATAATGCACATAGCCGAGCAGCGGAACAACATTGACGTGCATTAGACGTGACCATACTCGTATCTCTCGTCTCAGATGCTACAGTACCTGAGGCGTTATTTACTTTGGCACTATCGTCCTTGCTCAGGTCTACTTTACCTTCCAGCTTTTCGTCTCGGGGTCCAAATCTTTTGTATCCGACACGTGGAGCAATTTCACGGCGACTTCCTGACTCGTGTATTCCGAATCGGTTGCTTGGGGGAGATGTTCGCTGACCTGGGACCGAATGTCTGGCGAATCACGCTCCCATTCGGCTTGGTACACAAGCGAGTATCCTCCTACGGCAACTTGGCGCACTATGGAGATATATGGGGTGAGATCAGGGCAATTAATACCCTCCTCAACTACAGGATCGACACGACTTTCGGTTGGATGATATGTAGAGGGCTGGGGAAGAGTCGCAAGGGGATTTCTGGCCAAACCTCTTTCATAGCCGCCGAGAACCCGACCCGCGCTCCTCCGAGATGAAGAGGTACAAGATTTTTGAGGATTGTTGTCCTGGTTTGGTGGAAGGTCGGCATGCAAAGGGCTGGGGGCCCGAAACTTGGCTTGTAGCCCAGAGAGGACGGAACGGTCAGTGGGAAGATGGTCGGTGGGCGACGGGTCAGCAGGTAAGGGGCGGGGGGGCTCATATCGCTGGAAAATCTCTGCCAAATTTAATATCGCGGCGTTCTCTCGCTTTGGTCGGCTTGCCATCCACGATCTGACTTCGTTACGGACTTCATCAAGCGTCCATTCATCCTATACATGGGTTGTGAGTGCGCAGACGTCGTATCTGGTTCATCTGGAAATTTGAGTGGGCGCAGTGCTCACTTGAGTCGGAAGGGGTCTACGTCCCGGACAAGCGATATGGTATCGAGCACATTGATGGCAGGAGACGACATTGGGCAGCCTGACGCATTTTTTCCCCATCATCATACAGGCATAGCACTTCCCCGATCCACCCCTCCGATCCAACCTAGAAACTTCCATCTTGCGTTATTCCTGGTCTAGCGAAGGGAAGTTGGGGAGGTTGAAGGGGCCAGGCCAGTAGGCTAGTAAGGTACGTGTCTTATACCACTGCCAGTCTAGCACAGCTATAAACAGAGGCATTCAAATGAATCCCCATCAGGGAAGAGGCGCGGGCGGCTGTACGCAATTACCACAAAGCCGAACGTCCACATGCAAGGGCTGGAACTCAGCAAAAAGTCCTTCTCAATCTATCAACTACGGAAATGAACTCGGGTATGCAATGCACGATAGACGAAAGAGAACGGTCGATGCGTCCGATAGATGCAAAACCTCATCAACATCGATCCCCAAATCGGAGGCAGGAAGCGCTCTGCTCATTAAACACAGCAACCCTCTTCGCAAACCCTCTCGCATTCTTATAAAACACCAAATCCTCGTAAACTTGCATTCCTGAATGATTTTCGCCACCTCCCTCCACGGCCGGGACCGCCATCCAAACCGATTCCTCCCTTCGTGGTCCACTTCTTCAACGCGCGTTCGCTCCCCAGACGTTATATGGAGACACGTGGGTAGACGTGAGCCTCTGAGATGCAGAGTGAGGGTGGGTCCGAACCAACCATGATGCTTCCTGGGGTCCCCCATAATGTTATGATCGAAAGTGGGGAGGGCTCTGCAGGGAAAAGTGAATGCGCCTGCGGGGTAGTGAGGGGAGGAGAGGGTCAGCGTATTGGAAGAAAGTGATCATCACAAGCCAATTAGACAGATAGGAAAAAATGACGAACGCACATCAGCATGATCAAGGCGATGAACTCGCTGATTGGCCGGGGTAAGATGTTATATAAGAAATAACGATATTCCAGACGACTCTTTCGGTGTATCATCACAAGTGAAGCAATGGTCCCAGATATTGATAGTCAAAGGGAAGAAGGGAAAGTACATATGTATGTGGCACAGTGAAGCAAGTGTGTTGTGTTGACATCGTGTCTGGATGCGAAAAATAAATTGGCATCACAAACAAAAAGGGACTAAAGTCAAAATGACTGTGGACAGGTTGGTCGAGCCCATGGGGGAGATAGTCCTCCGACGCAGATAGTGGTATTTCGAAGTGCTCTCCAATCCCCCTACTCTTTAGAGGTAACCTAGGGTGTAATTTGGCCTCGAAAGTTTCACAAGCCAAACGCACCCCTAAACGCTTTAGCCAATTCCACAGCCCCTGGTCGATCGCACGGTTTGCTACTCCAACATTGATTTACAATATGAAGAGGGAGGCATGAATCGCACTCCTTGAGCTGTTCAGGAGAGACGGGCAGCGTGCCACTTGCAATTGCTCTTATCAGAGCCATGTCGCTGCGGATATCTTCATACGGTGATTTCCCTAGTAATATCTGTGTGCAAAAGTCCCAAACTCGTAAGAATTAACAATCAACGAAAATTGGAGCTCTCACCTGAATGCAAGTGCACCCATAAGCGTAAACATCAGCTTCCACCGTCTTCTCACCCCCATCCAGTAATTCAGGTGCCGAGAAGCGAATGGTCATTCCAATCACAGTAGATGTAAATCCAGTGGGATTATCGTCCAAGATCATCGACAGGCCGAAATCACAGATCAAAGCACGTCCATCCGAAGTGATCAAAATATTTTGCTAAAAAACCTTAATATCAATTCCAAAAGTAGGCAACCCACTTACTCCCTTGATATCACCATGCACAATTGATGGGTTTTGTGAGTGAAGATATTCCAATCCTGAGGCCACGTCCACACACTTAGGAATGTCCATCAACTCTTCAAATAAAAAAATAACCAAAATGACGCGCACAATCATGTCTCTGTTGGCACCAGGATGGTTCCTGATGAAGTTGATTGCATTCCCTTTTGTATACCATGGAGAGACGAAGCCGAGCTGGCCATTTTGATAATACACATAGCCGAGTAGCGGAGCAAGATTGTCATGGCTTAGACGTGACCATACTCGCATTTCTCTTTTCAGGCGCTACAGTGCGAGTGTTATTTTTGGTAATATCGTCCTTCCACAGGCCTACTCACCTTCCAGCGTTTTGCCTCAGGGTCTGTATCCAACACGTGAAGCACTTTCACAGCAACTTCCTGGATCCATTTTGAATCAGTTGCAAGTTGAAGCCGGGCAGAAACAATTGCCGACCTGGGACTGAGTGTCTGGTGAACCACGCTCCCATGTACCTTTGTACACAAGCGAATATCCTCCTTTGTCGACTTGGTGCAACGATGATATATGTTGGGTGAGATCAGGGCAGTCAAACGCAATCAACATCTCAACCTCATCTACAGGTGCAACATAGAACTCCCTTAGAGAACCGCGCAGAGGGCTAGGGGGTGGCAGAGAGCTGGCAAGTGGAAAGTCGGGGGGTAAAAGGTGGGCGGGCATTGGGCCGACTGGAAGACGGCTGGATCTCACCCGCTTGACCTGCGATCGGATTGAGTTCTTTATGCGGGCTTCGGATAACTGAATAACACTGAGCGTGGTGCTTATTTGAGTTAGAAAGGGACCTCACGCATTGGAGACCGAGTCGGCGGCATTCGTTACAAGATTCACTGCTGGGCTCCACACCTGGACATCTTTTCTGTCGCACTCTACAGGTAAGGCAGGTCTGACGCTGGCGAGAAGCTTCCATCATGCGTTATTACTGGTGGTATAGCGAAAGAAGTCTGGAGAGACTACTTACATAGTGGGGGTTATTTATACTAGGTCAGCACCCGTCAAACACGAGGCAGGCATTCAAATGAATCCTATTAGGGAAGAGGCGCGCGGCCACGCAACCGCAACGATGAGCGTTGATACTCATGGATTGAAGTTCGGCAAAAGAGATATATTTTCTTCTCAATCTATCATAAACTCGTGAGGGAAGTGACATGGATGGCGAGAGGAATTGTCACCACGGTACATGTATGCAATGCACGATAGAGAGAAAAGAGAACGACCAACTCAATCCCTAGCGACCAACCACTGCAGAGGCAGAGTCTGAGAGGATAAAGGATAGGCGCAGAGGATAGACGCAAAACCAATCATCACAGGGGACACCGAGCAAGGGAATTTCACAAGGAACCGCACGCCTCTTATTGCAATATCCTCAAGTTCGGCTAACGCAGATAGTCGAGCTCTTCAGGTCACCATCCCCGAAGAACTCGATTTACAATGCAACTATAAACTCGGATAACTGCGCAACACTGAGGTCGCGGATCACGTGGCTGAGAGGGTTTTTGATATGGGACGCGAAAGATTGAAGACTGGCGGAATCCCTGGAACGGAATTGCCATACAGATAAAGGACCAGTCCGAAGGGAGGAGGGGTGTAGCTTAGGGGTTCTCGTAGGGGAAGGCCCCCGAGGATAGCTTGGTGGAATCCCCGAGGGGTGACTCAAAGGTTTGTGTAAAGAAAGAGAGTGGCCCAGCAGAAGGGGGATAAGCCCAAGGTTCTTGCGGAGGGAACCTTGAAGGTGGCAGGTGGCACGGGGGTGAGGCAAGGAACGCTATTGGATTCCACACCTGAGCATTTCTCTCATTTGCAATGGACAGGCATAGCATGCCTTAACATTTCCCCAAACATCCACTATCCGTTATTGCTGGTAGCAAGCTGGTAGTAAAGCGAAAGAGACTGTGACACTGAGGAAAGTGATTCCATGATAAAATCATGGACGATATGAGATGGAAGTTTTACCACAAAACACGATTTTTTCGTGGCCTGCTACATGTGATAAATCCGGGTTTTTTCACCAATTTGATCAAAATCCTGTCGTAAAATCTTGTGTTGCAAGGGATTTAGTCAATTCATCCTGTACAAATTCATGATAGTGTCTTTCTAGCAGCTGGACTAATCCTGCTTCGCTTCAGGACTTAATTGCATATCTTCGGGGATAATATACTATTTGATTGGAACATCAGCACGCACGGTATCTATATTACATTCAGGCTTGAGATGTGAAAGGAAATGATGGAGATATGAATGGTTCGATGACAGCAATTCTAGTGGTACAACAGCGGTGAGGGCAGGTAACGAAGTGCGAGGGGACTGATGCGACAGAAGGAGTTGACAAGAAGATGCGGTGCTGGCGAAAGCTGCGATGCGAAACAGTAAGCATGATTAACCTAGAAGACTTGGAGTAAGTGTACATCAGATGCAATGGGATCAACGAACGATCTCCTCTCTGGATTGAGCTCCTCAGGCTCGCACGCCTACTTCTGCCCTGTTTGTCACCAGTGTTCTGACCCAAGCTCCTCAGACTCGCGCATCTACTTCTGCCTCGTTTGACATTGGCTCCTTGCTGACCTGAGTTCCTCAGGCTCGTGCGCCTAGTCCTGTCCTCTGGACTGCGGCTGTAGGGAGTGCCTGGAAATCATTTATGAGCAATGGGTTGAGTTAGTGAGTGAGTACCTTCACCTGGTTTGGCGCGAGTCCGATTAGCATCCAACCTGTCACGGAGCCTCTGATGTTTTCTACTGGTATCTGCCACATTCTCCTCATCCAAAGGGGCGAGTTTCCTCTGAAGGGCACGAGCTACTTGAAAATGAGTGTACTGAAAGAGTGGGCGAGGAAGTGACTTGCGTTTTGGTAGTGACACTATTATGAATGTTAATTAACTATGCTACAGTTGATGACAAAATTAAGCAAATACTTTAGCTTGAGCAATGGGCATGGAAGCACCAGTATCATCACCGCTTATATGATCGTTGTCGTTGTTGTTGTTGTTGTTGTTGTGACTGGGATAAGAGCGACCTATCCACATCAGCGGAGCCAATGTTAGCTATATCTAAGGGAAAGGCCAATATCACACTTACGCTTAAGGGGCTGGATGAAGTCTATGTGATTGCGGGGTGCAGGATTAAATTGAGAACAGGGTAATTCTGCTCACCTTCATCAGTAATAGGATCGTCGGTGTAGTTATCCTCAGAGGTCACAAGCAAGCGAATCCTTTTGGCAACCTTTGTTTCTAGACGGAAGTTTCGGTACAGAAGCCTTGAGTACCTTGATTGGCCAACAGCCTACCTTTGATCGGACGGTTGACTTGAGTGTGGACAGTGGACAGAGACTGCCTTGTCCTCGTCGCTATGTGATTGGGAAAGATGTGACACATGTGCCAGTGGGAAATATCTATGATTAAAATCCTCACCATTCCTTCGTGTCTTTCGAGGGGTCCCCCCACTCCAGCGACTGCCTACGTCCTTGGAATTGCCATCGGAATCGTCATTGTCAGGCTCGGTGTGGTCATCATCTGGTTTGGTGCGATCTTCATCTGAGTTTGCATGATCTTCTAACTCGCTGGCTTCATCATCCGAATCAACATTGTCTTCTAATTCAACGTGGTTGTCTTTCAGCTTGGTGCCACTTGTTGTTTCAGTACTGATCCCCCTTCTATTTAAAGAGCGACGCAGAGTCGCATTTGCTGGTCTTGGGGTCTGTTTGACACTTTTGCCTGTATGGTAGAGTGGAATCATGGTTCAGAGACTGAGGAAAAACATTACCTTTTTTCTGCCTGTTGCGTCGAATGACTGTCTTGCGGTTCTCTATTGCCGTCTTAATTAGGGCCTGAACGGGCCAGGCTCCTTCGTAGTCTGATTTAATCCATGGATGTTCTTTGACGATCTACATGATGCCAAAATTAGTGTATAACAGTGTTGAGAGTGATACGATATGCTCACATCATTTCTGATCGACCCAAGTACTTCAAGGTCAATGGAATCATATTTCACTGTGCCATTCTTGAATGGCCCCCCGAGATTTGCATGCAAAGAGGATCGGACAGATTCCTTACAGGGGTTTGTCAACATAGGGGATCGTGTAAAAATAAAGGCTTCAGTACTCACTCTCACAAGATTCATTTCGTCCTTCGTAATCCCCATTGCCTCAGTCAGGGAGAACCCACCACGAAGACGATCTGCGCAACCCATTGGCTGTGGTACCTGCTCTTGGACGCGTTTCTGGTGTACTAAGGACACAACAACACATTAGGTTAGTTAATACCCCAATAGTACTATGCCTTACACGCGTTACTGTCCTTCTGAATAGCTAGACAATGTGATCGGTTGCAAGGGGCTTCAAGATCTACGTGTTTGGAGGTGAAGGCAGGAATGAACTCACCTTCTAGCTCCTTCTCAAGCCGTTCATTTTCGCGTTGGAGGCCAGAAAGCGTGCGTTTTTGGGTTTTGCTGCAAGGCATGAGGAGTGGAGCGATTTGGGAGTGAAGTCAAATCTGCTCTCGCCCACAACAGGACCAAACAAAACAAAACAACACGTTCCCCGCGCTCTTCGCCAGCTGACAGCTACAGACATATTTTTCGTTACTGGATCATCTCTGCCTTCTGAGAGATATAGAATCTTCAGACCTGGATTCTCTGGGCTCTATCATACTCTTGGGCTAATAATGGCTTATGGGCGCCACAGGATCTCAGCGATCGGGCCTCGGAACCCTAGGCACTCACGTAGCATGGACCGTAGGTGTCGTGAAATAGAGAGGTCACGTCTTTTAAATCGTCCAATTCCTCAGAACCACTACAAGAGACGGAGGCTTGCTCCCAACCCCGTTGTGAAGGAATTCCCTGATGCCATGAGGAATTCACCACAGGAAAATGAAGAAAACTTTTGTGAATGTAAGCAGACGTCGGAGGATCAGGTTTATTATAATAATGATTGCGAAATTACGTATGTTTCCATTTAGCAATTGGAATATGGTCCTTCACTGACATTTGCTCCGAACACCAATAAAAGCAACAGCCAGAATAATACCAGACCCTGCAGCGATGATGAATCAGAAGAGTTTTCAGGGGTCAACAAAACATCTCTGGATGGATGGATGGAAGCTGTCAAGAGACATAAAGCAGATGCGACTTTACGGCGATATAACCAATTTTGTACACCCTATTTCCGTGGTTTTTATCATCAGCTAAATCTATCAACATCTAGACAACCAGCCGCTTTCCAATGTGGACTACCAAAACCTCAAGATGCTTGATGTTTTGATCCGCAGTAACATATCCAACTCGACATATGACATTATTCGGTCGCGTTTCGAAGAACTGCAATTGAAATCGCTTTATCAACTCCACTCCTCTCATATGTCCAGGCTCTCTCATGTACTAGAACACTCCTATGACTGTTGTATCAACAGTTGCTGCTGCTTCTCGTCTGAGCTTTCCAACCTTGACACTTGTCCATACTGCAGCCAACCACGCTTCAGACCAAACAGCCGTATTCCCTTCAATACCTTCCATTATCTCCAAATAGGGCCTCGTCTCAAGGCCCTTTATCTCAACAAACACTTCGCTGAGCTCTCAAACTATCGTGGGACTCTTGATTTGAACACGCGGACTGTTGATGATGTCTTCCACGGAATTCACTATCTTGGTCTACTGCAACAACAGGTGCAGATAGACGGGCAGCAATATCCGCACTGCTTCTTCAGTGACCCTCGAGATGTTGCCCTGGGGATCATGACAGATGGGTTCCAGATATTCAAACGCCAGCGTGATGGTAGTGCGACTTGCTGGCCTATTATTGCAATCAACTTCAACCTGCCACCCGAGGAACGTACCAAACTTTCAAATATCATTCCTCTTGCAATAATTCCAGGACCGAAAGCGCCGAAGGACTTCAATTCCTTCCTACAACCACTTGTTGATGACTGCAAGAAACTAGCTCTAGGAGAATGGGCATTGGATGTAGCTTCCGACGAGACTTTCAAGCTGCATGCTTACCCGATTTCTTTCCATGGCGACATGATTGCTATGAAGCACTTAATGAACTTTAAAGGCCCTAATGGCATCTCTCCTTGCCCAGTTTGCCATATTATGGGTGTAAGGCAGACTCCTTCCCAGTCGCTCACATGATTTCTCCGAGGTTTAGCCGCAACTTACGTTGCCTCCGAAATCTGTCGAGCGACTGGTACAACTTGCAACACGTGATGTTCCCACGCTAAGTTGTAATGAGTTGTACATAGGTTGCGGAATATAATGTTTAGTATTTACGCATGCGGTCATTGCACCCAACCCAACCCGTGGAGACTAAGGGAGCACATCCAGGGTTGTGAAGTCAATATCCGGGTGTGCGCGAAGTTTAACAGTTTATATATTACTTGGTTACCAGTCACTTATTTGTGCCCAGTGGCATAAGTGGTACAGCATTAGCTGAGGCTATGCAGTTTTTTTAAGTGGCACATGTTTGATTCTCACTTAGGAAAACTTTTTTTTCCATACCCTCCACTCCTTAGTGTACAGAAAACAACCATTTCACACAATTATTCCATGGGAGAGCCCGAAAAAAGTTTTCCTAAGTGAGAATCGAACATGTGCCACTTAAAAAAACTGCATAGCCTCAGCTAATGCTGTACCACTTATGCCACTGGGCACAAATAAGTGACTGGTAACCAAGTAATATATAAACTGTTAAACTTCGCGCACACCCGGATATTGACTTCACAACCCTGGATGTGCTCCCTTAGTCTCCACGGGTTGGGTTGGGTGCAATGACCGCATGCGTAAATACTAAACATTATATTCCGCAACCTATGTACAACTCATTACAACTTAGCGTGGGAACATCACGTGTTGCAAGTTGTACCAGTCGCTCGACAGATTTCGGAGGCAACGTAAGTTGCGGCTAAACCTCGGAGAAATCATGTGAGCGACTGGGAAGGAGTCTGGGTGTAAGGAAGCTTGATGGTGGGACAACTTACTACGTCCCTCACACGCCTCCTCGTGATCAGCTGCAAACCCGTGATACATACTGGGATGTGCCGGGTTGTCTGCTCCGTTCTGAGTCCGATTATCACCACACCCTCTCGATGATCAATTCCCTTCAAGGCAGTGCTAGAGGCGTAAAATCGAAGCTTAATAAGATCCAACAGCAATCTGGCATCAATGGGAGCAGTGTACTCACAGAGCTCCCGTCTGTTTCAATCTTCCGCTCTTTCCCCCGCGACTGGATGCACCTCTGTTTAGAAAACCACTCAAAAAACTTAGTTGCACTGTGGCAAGGCAAATATAAAGGCTTGGACGAAGGAAGTGAAAGCTACCGTATTCCGGACAATGTCTGGGAAAGAATCGGACTGGAAACTGCTCTAGCTGGCAACACAATACCTTCGTCTTTTGGATGTCGTACCCCCAACATCTGGACAGAAAAGCACCTCTTCACAGCCGAGGATTGGGCTTTCTGGATGATTCACATAGCACCCTATCTTCTCAGAAATCGATTCAACCGTCCCAAGTATTACAGGCACTTCAAAAAATTCAACTCGATCCTTAAACGTACTGTCCAGTATTCTTTTACAGAACAAGGTCTAGATGAGCTTGAACAAGACATTGTTGAATATGTGAAAGAATACGAAATGTGAGTTCCTTTCATTGCTCGAGCTCAAGTTTTGTTCACAAAGTAGCATCTCCGCTTCCCAGTATTTACTACCAATTTTCAGCACAGCGGTTACCCACATGCCCCCTCACTTTGCACGCACTCCTTCACATCCCATATGATATTCGAAATAACGGCCCACCATGCAACAATTGGACCTTCATCATGGAACGGTGGTGTGGCTCACTCTTACCTGCCATCAAGTCTCGAAAGGAACCATTTGCCTGCCTTGCACTGAGACAGTTCCAGGCAGCGCAATTATTCGAGGTTATCAACCGATATAACCTAGCTGAATTGATGCCAGCAAGACGGGATATGAATGTCCCATCTCTACATGAGAAACGGTTTACGAAATCCGCTTGTGGGTATCCCTCATTCTACTTGATTTGACCAACTTCCCCCATTTATCTAGATCTAATCTCTTTTTTACGCAACCCTGTCGTCCAACAATACATCCCTGACCTGAAAATTCGAAAAAAGATCGCTAAGCATTCGAAGACCTCTTTCGGTGGCTCAATCAAGTCATGGCTGGGTTTCCTCCCACAAACGATGCCACGCTGGGGGGAAAGTTCGCATCGGAAATGGAGGTGATCTTATTCGAGGGGCGGTCGCACAGGAGAATGGCCAGCGGAGCATCCGTGATGCTTCTTTCGTTCATGTAAGTGATTGTACCTCTGTTTGCATACTAACCCAGTGTGCTACTTTGTTTATGACAGTATGAATTATTCGCCGATGCAAATGCCCACCGGCCTCGGGCCAAGGAGGATTTTGTTCGTACCGTCTACTATGGGCGTCTTGAATATATCCTTCACTGCACCATCCCACCGAACCCCATATCCAACAATTCTGAACCCGAAACCATCCTTTTCGCTGTCATAACTACTTGTGATACACAGGGACGCGATGCCACGCTAGAGCTGACATATTTCAAGACTGTGACATCATACATTGAAATCGTGGACTTAGCCTCCATCTGTGCAGTGGTTGGCCGCATCCGGGTTGGTACGACAGAACCTCAATGGGCAATAGTTGACCGGAGCGGTTCCTGGGCTCGCACCGTCTTTACAGATGACTCACTAGCCACAAACATGTCCCAGCAAGGCGAACTCTAGCTTTTGTACCAGTACTACCGCAATCTCACTCGGGTGCTATATGCGCGCAAACCAACGTCAAATTTCTACCATATTATTTCATTAGAATTCCATCATATCGTTGTCCTCACCTCGGTAGACTTGGGATGTGCTTAGATACTGAATAAAAATCCCATTTGACTTCTAAGATTCCCGAAATGATAAAATCGTGCTCCAGCAAAGCCGTGGCAAGAGTCTGCCAAATGACATGACTAAAATCCTGTTCCACTCAACCTCCAGCACGCCCGAAGTGACAGTTTGTGAAATGATACGATAATTGACAAAATCCTGCTTCCAATAATCCTACGGTGCTGTAGGATTTCTTACGGAATCTCGATGTATTACGTGATCTTATCATGGAATCGCTTTCCTCAGTGGTGAGGGGATAGGAAGTTGTACTTGGTTGTACCGCGCTAGTATAAATCACGAGGGAGTCCTTCAAATGAATTCACATTGAGGCGCGCGGCTACATGCAATCACCGCTAAGAATGTCGACGCACTCAGATTTGACTCTCGAGCTCAGCGGAAAAAGGAGATATATTTTCTTCTCAATCTATCATCTACAGAAATAAATGCGTGAGGAAAAGTGACATGCACGGCGAAAAAAACCATCATCACCAGGGGTGCATGCATACAATGCGCGACGAGGAAAGTGATCAAGTAACTCGGTGTCAACGACCACCTGCGCCCACACCACTGAAGAGTCTGAGAGGATGAAGGGAGGACGTGAAAGGATTCATAAGGAGCAGTGGGGATAAAAAAAGCAAGACCTATGTAATCATCAAAGCAGAACAACCACACAAGAAACCGCACATTTTCTCAAGCAGTCTTCTTATCCCCTTCCTCATCAACATCAATCCCCGAATCAGAAGCCGAAGCGCTCTGCTCCTTGAACACAGCGACCCTCTTCGCAAACCCTCTCGCATTCTTATAAAATACCACATCCCCTTCATCCTCCACAAACTTGCACTCCTGAATGATCCTTACTACCTCGCCCCAGGTGCCGGGACCACCATCCAAATCGATTCCTTCCTGCGAGATCCTCTTCCTCAACGCAGCGTTCGCTTCCCAAGCATTATAATGGGGGATTTTGGAAGAGACGTGATGACAGACGTGGGTCTCTGAGATACCGTGTGTGAGGGTGGCTCCGAACCAGCCCATGATGCTTCCTAGGATGCCTGGGCCTCCCATGAGACTACGGTCGAAAGTGGAAAGGGCACCGCGGGGGAAGGTGAATGCGTTGCCACGGTAATGAGGAAGGAGAGGGTCAGTGTGTTGGAGGAAAGTGATCATCACAAGCCAGCTACACAGAGAAGGAAGAACGTCCATTAGCATGGTAAAAACGTGTCGAGGCGAACAAAACCCACTGGTTAACCCAAAGATACGGAACGAAGTAATACGAAAGCATGTTATGCAATCCATACGTCTTGGCACCATACCACATCCCAGCCAACCAAAGCGCAACTCCCACATCCGAAATCAAAATCTGTCCCAACTCGGTCGTCTTGAATAACGCCCTCGCCCAGGGATTGAAATGGTTCGTTCCACGAGGATACCACTTTTGACCGCTCGAATTGATCGTCAAATACAAGGGCCAACCAAGTGAAAGCTGCGCCGTGGACCATAGGACGGCACTGATGGGTGAGTCACCTAGAGCTTCCCAAAGTTGGTTCTGGACTCCAATGGAGACGTGGGAACCTTGGAGGTCTTCGCCTTCTTTATTGAATTTGGGAACGCCATAAGGATGGTTTGATCGGGTTTTGGGGACGAAGACTTGGTCCTCGGTCATGTGGCCGGTATGAGCATGGTGTTTAGCGTGCTATATACGAAGGTGAGGGCAAACGTAAGTAGGCTGTGATGGCAACTCTTTTTATGTAAGAAGGATGTGTAGAATTCGTTGGGGAGAAGTCTTGTCTCCGAGCCGGATGCAAAAACAGCAAATTGGGGAACACGCGACGTGTGTGTGCGAACGCGATAGAGGAACTGGAAGGATCGTACTCACAGAGATACGCCACGAGTGGAATGGAACACCGAGGCTGCGGGAAGGCAATGAAGATGTGGGTCAGCCTCCAGAACGATAGGCAATATCCAAACGCGAACACAACATATGAGAAAATTAGAACTCACGAAGAATGCAAAACCCATCCAACAGCATTGTTGATCGTCTTGCTGGGCGAAAAGGCCTGATGGCCACATTCATGGGCAAGAACCCACAATCCGGTCGCAGGCAAACCAACGCAGAATCCATAAAACGTCCAGAGGCAGAATTTAGCGATCCGATACAGGAAAGGGTGTGGAAGAGAAATGTGTTCTGGTGAGATGTATAGATCGGCTGTTTGGAAGGCGTTGACGAGGGCGGCTATGATTATTATGTCCATGAAGACATAGGAGAATGAGCGGAGGGTGCTGCGCTCAAAGCAGTGAGGACTTTGACACAGTGGGTATGAATTTTTTTTGGTTAGCTGGCGAGTGTGGGAGGTAGTTTGGGGATGATAGGCTTACGGGATGACACTCAAGAGGTCCTTGATGGTGAGATTGGGGACGACGAAGGTCTCGAGTTCAGTGTCCGTTTGGACCTGACCCTTGCGATTCGAACGCTGCCTGAGCGTAGCGTCGGTCATCTTTTTTCTATTTTCTAACGGAGAGGAAAGGAAAAGGGAGGGGAGAGGTTGCTCTAAGGAGGAGAGAAGAGAACAAGGCCGTGCTGAAGGGACCACAAGTATTTTATACGAATACTAAATTTCTGCTTGGGGTTTTGGGGGGAGATCTCAAAAAGGGAAGTACTCAATGGGCAAATTGAATTGGCCTAGAAAAACGTGGTTTTTTTTTCCCCTTTCTATTCCTTCGCGTTGTGAGAATTGGTTATGAGGTTCCACAGTCTTCCCGGTGCAGTTGCGCCTTTGCTCCCATACCCAGGGGTTTTTGCCGTCTGGGATTCTAGGAAAGCCCATTCTGTCAAAGGGACGAAAGTCCTGCCCTTCCGCAAGGCCAGGTCACGATGGATCATCGTTGACTAAACGCACGCCTTGACTGTTTTGGCTTATTGACAACGAAGAAGGTGACCCAATTTGCGTGGGGGCAATTGCTTCGAATTGGTAACTGGGCGGAGCCTGGCCTCCGAATCCCCCCTGTGCCCGAAAGGGAATCCCGTTTTCGAGGGGAATCTTGTGAGGGCACTCATGGTTCGTGCTTTCATTTGTGAAATGCCTTCGCGTCCTCTTGGTCGACGTGCACCCATCTTGGGTGGATAGACGCTACACAAGTGAGTCAAGAAGTAACCGGCACTTCAAAGGACTTGTTCAATTACAGCACTCGATCCTGCCTATCCTAGTATCTTCTCTGATCCGTACACGATCCCACCTTGCAATACCCCAACCATTTCGTAACATCACCCATGATGTCACCACTGCCTTACACTTTCCCCAGGACTGTAGGAGTTGTGTGTGGGAAAGCATCCAAGCGACATCATAGTGAGCGCTGTGGTTCAGCACATTCGTCAGCGTTATTTGTTGACTCATTTCATGGCTGACCTACATATGTACTATTTTAATTCGCACATAATCTTCATCTACTTCATGGAGCCTGCTTCCGTGTTCCGAACCGGCACAACGACGCAACGGCTCAACCTCAGGAGCTGTTTTTGATGCAAGCCAACCAAATCCGAGATCCGGTGTTGCGGGAGTTACCGTATACGTATTATATATACCTTTTGAACACTCTGATCCCTCACTCTGATTTCTCTGGTCACCTCTTCCACTACACCCTGCCGCCTTTTGGTTCAACACAGGGACAGACGCACTACTTTGTCGTGTACTCTTCCTCTGTCGGAGTCACTAGTTTGGCGAAAGTTGAGGACAGGGAAATGCTCCGAGGGCGCTCGTGCGAACGCGCCATCATGACGGCTTGGACGATTGCCGTCCTTGCACCCCTCATATTGCTTCGCTGGGCTTGTTTCCACCGCTGTAATTACTTAGCTCATCTTTTCTCAGCGGCTACACGCACGCACTTGGTGGCATTAGCACCAGCACTCGAGCCTGCCTCCGATATTAGTGGGTATGCTCTGAACCACTGATTGGCATTTTAGCCAATGTAGTCTTGTTTGTTATATCGTATCCTCCCATGCGTCATTGACGCTTCGAGTCCCTGGTGGGGCTGGTCGTCTGGCATAGATGCGCAAGACACAAATCGAGATTCAACCGGTGTTGAGGTCAGCTCCTTGATTCGTGGATGAAGAGGAAGAGGATAACTCTCAAGGTATGAGAGGGAGTTATGCAGCAGTTCTCTGTAATGTCCTTGATACGCGCGGAGCATTTAGGGGCTAACAGAACCGGGCATTGGAACCGGTTGCCGCGGTGATCGACATCGGATGTCCATCTATCTTCACTATCCATTTGGATAAAAATAAAAACATGGATCCTCCCCTTGCACGGAGGACCGTTCTTGAAAATCCTCTTCAAATTGTTCCCTGGCAGAACCGAACACCAGGGAGGCTTGTCCTTTGTTAAAATAAAAGTGATTTGGTGAAAAAGTCCACTAGGGTTGGCCGTGAGTTGATGATATCAGCTAGCTATGTGCCGTTGCGCTGCTATTTCCGTCAGCAGATGCAAAGAGGCGAGAGAAAGACATTCGATTTCTCACACAAAATGGTACGTGCTTGACCTGGTCTCATTTCGATTTCTAGCTACGTAGATCTATATAGCAAAAATAGTGACAGATTCGGATGTCTATTCCTCCGAACCGTAAAAGCCTGTCGTTATCATTAAGTTTCAAGCATCCGTCTGCTAGATCTATTCATCTCGTCATTACATATGAACCCCAACTTGGGAACCAGCGAGTGGGTTCAATGGGTTATTCACCCGGCATATGTGGGGGTTGTTCGAGGGGAAATGAATGCCCGCCTGGGCTCTGGGACGCAACATCACGTATTGGGCAGGATCCCAGCCTCGATGGGATAAAGCTCGGTTAGGCCAGTGGGTCGCCGTGTGCCTCCGAGAGTTCTGAGTAGAAATGACTGCGAAATGAATTTGGACTGAGTCAACCGGACTGTCACTCCAGGTTCAATGGCCTTAGTTAAGTTATCGAGACGAACGATGGGTGATCCACTCCGAACTGTTCGATGTACATTAGCCAAGCTTGTACTATGGCCGGAATGGGATTGGCGGTTGAGAGTGGTATAGTAGGGAGCTCAAGTACATTTGGAAGGTGGGAGGGTGCTTGAATGGTGAAGAGCATCACAGAACACTTTGACACCCGACTCGTATATCCGAAGCCCAGGGAGCATAGCGGCCATACCCGCTGGAAACCGTCAACAAGACTGCAGTTCCCATTTCCAACAAGTAAAGTCATTTTTCCAATATGATGCGTGGTCCGACTTGCATATGACATAACTGTGTCGACATTCGATTTGATTGAGTCAATGGTGCGCGGGGCGACCTACAATCTCCTTCAAATAGAGCGAAGCCTAGTTAGACCAAAGAATGCGCACTCCCCTGAGAGAAGCTAGCTTAGAAAATGCCTCCGAGGTGAATCTGGGGGAAGTCAATTCCCATCATGAACACTGATAGATGCACATTGGACTCTAGACGAGCAATAAGACCTCCACCGTGAAACCAAGGTAATTACTTTAGCCAAACTTGCATTGCTGCAGCCCGAATAGAGTGGATATCCAAACCAAGAGTTTGGAAGCGTGTGGAGAGAGAGAGCTGAATTGAATACAGGGACTTGAAAAGAGCAACTAACCAGTGATATCATGACATGAGGGCATGCGACGTCTCTGGATCTAAGCACTTTCCCCGAGTAAGTCGCTTCCACTATATCAACTTTCAAGGAACCGAACGGTCATCCACTTTGTTGTGGAAGTCAAGTCCTTGAGGCCCCCTAGCCCGTTGCTGTTGTCACATCTCTGAAGCGGACAAGCTGATGTTGATGATCCGACCCGAAGAGAAAGAGATAGGCAGATACCACCGAAGAGAAGGATACAAATGTAAGTCATTTGCTTGGCGAATTGAATCTGTCGGGTAGTGCCATGGTGTTTGCCGTGCTTCGACTCCGAAAGGAAATCGGCGCGTACCAGTATGGTCATGTGATCTCCCTATTTAAGTGTTTGGTAATATGGGGGTGGGCAACCCAGGTTAGTTCCGTGTTCTGATTATGTAAGGACAATGTATTAGTCGAGCGTCACCAAAATGTCTCGGTACTTTCTTGCCACACACAACAAATGAAGAGAAGCTTCACTAGTAAACATTGATTGGAATGACCTAAAATATAAATCGGACAGAGGAATTTTTGAGAAAATCAAAAATAGCTTTGTTGTGATCGAGAAAGCAAGTCCATTTTGCCCATATCTTCATTTGTAGGGATATACATGAAAATTCCTCTGTCCATTTTGTAGAAATACACTATATACACCATATACCCGATTTATGAGTTCTCAAGATGATCGTGGAGAGAGAAAGTACAACCGGCGATTTTTATTATGGTTTGTTTGTACTTGCGCCCCGATGCGTCGGGGCAAACACCACCCAGCTACTTGATCTTGGCTCATATTACTAGAATCTGACCTGTATTTGGCGCTGGTGCAAGGAAGCCAGTATTTGCACCAGCGCCAAATACAGGTCAGATTCTAGTAATATGAGCCAAGATCAAGTAGCTGGGTGGTGTTTGCCCCGACGCATCGGGGCGCAAGTACAAACAAACCATAATAAAAATCGCCGGTTGTACTTTCTCTCTCCACGATCATCTTGAGAACTCATAAATCGGGTATATGGTGTATATAGTGTATTTCTACAAAATGGACAGAGGAATTTTCATGTATATCCCTACAAATGAAGATATGGGCAAAATGGACTTGCTTTCTCGATCACAACAAAGCTATTTTTGATTTTCTCAAAAATTCCTCTGTCCGATTTATATTTTAGGTCATTCCAATCAATGTTTACTAGTGAAGCTTCTCTTCATTTGTTGTGTGTGGCAAGAAAGTACACGAGACATTTTGGTGACGCTCGACTAATACATTGTCCTTACATAATCAGAACACGGAACTAACCTGGGTTGCCCACCCCCATTCAATTTGGTACCATTTTTGGAGAATTACATGACCCGCACAGACATGCATTCAAATCGGGCGCTCAATCGGGCTTGGACCTTTTTGCAAGAGACTGCTGAACATCTGACCGCTCTATCAGCCGAGCCGAACCAGATTGTTTGTCATTCCAATTTTGGGCCTCTTCCCATTACTCCCCATAAGTACTCGAATTCGGAGCCGAGCACATGCAAGGCACGCCAAGCACATACAAGGCACGCCAAGCACATGCAAGGTGTCCCAGGCGCTTGTCCAGAGGCTCGTCTTTTGACTCGGTACTTGGGTTCCAGGCAAGTGCTCGGTCTGCATTTGACAGGCGTTGTTTGATGAGGCGGGTCGATAGAATCAGCTACATCACAGCTTCCAGATCCAATACTCCTGCCCATATTGGAATACCCTTCAAGATACATTCATATAAGGCCGAATGACCTTCGCTGGAATGTCCCCTTTCATCCCCCAGGCCTTGGTAGCTTCCATCGCTCAAGGATGTCGTCTTCTCAATCACGAGCGGCCCACTCATCTTGGCCTCATCTCACGATGGATTCAATTGTATGTCAAACGCTTCTTTTCTCTTTGCTCTTTCTAGCGTATGGAGCGGACAAAGTGTTAGCGCAAGATGTACGTCTTTCTTGAAAACTAGCCTTATCAAGAGAAGATTGACGTTGTCCATCACCTTGGAATTTCTTGCAGACGAACGCCACCTGTCTCCCCAGCTTTAACTGGGTAGGTGGAATATCGAGAGGCTATATCTGTTCCAGGGCCGCTCAAAGACTCCTCACTTCTCCAGGCGTTGAATAGTGCCAAGTGAGTTACCGACTGCCAGTTGTCAGTGGTCGCCTTTATGCAACTGTAATGATTATCAGAGAAAACCCGTGTAAGGTTGCGTCAGAACTCCAAGCAGTGTGTGACGGGGGTACGGATTGGATCTGGGCTCGTTGTTCGCTTTTTGCATCTACTGACTTCACCACGATTAGGATCGATTGTGGTCTCCCTCCCGCCGGGATATCACTATATTGGTGAGCGCGTAACACCATTTACCCGGACTTTATGTGCTCAGCAGACAACCAAGGTCCGGTGAAGGGTAGCGAGACAAATGCTCCAAACTATTGTGCGTGCTCCAGTCTGTCTACGACCCGATTGAATTTGCTTTCGCTCAAAAATCTCAAATTTTCATAGGCGCTTGCACCTCCATTGTGTACGAGCTAATGTCGGCGTGTGGGGCATGCCAGAACCGGACATTCATATCGTATGTCGATCTTCACAAGTGCTAACGATGATTCTCATCCGTAACCCAGGTATCCGGCTTGGACGATCGACTGCACCAATATCTCGACCACGGAGGGTGAGTACAACCCGTCATTGATTCCTAGTGGCACTCTTGTGCCCCGCTGGGCTTATCTTAAGCCTTCCAGCTACGGTGGACTGTGAGATCATTTCACCCCGGTTTGAGAGTACTATTCTAACAATTGCATTCCCTAGATTCAACATAGAAATTGCGATGCAAATTGGCGGTATGTAACATTCGTCTTTCTTTTTTCTGAAATGCCTATTATGCTCCATGGATCGTCCCGATAGACGCACCCGAAAGTTCGCGGTCATTGTCATTGAACACGACATCTTCCACCACCACCACAACCCCCACGCTGACTCTATCGGGAGGCACAGATCTGACAACAACAACCTTCCCTACTTCTACGGTCAACACCTCTACGACCCAACATTTCTCCACTCCCACTCCCACTCCTACTTCTCGAGGTGGCAGTAGAGGCAGAAGCTCGAACACCGGCGCGTTCATGAGAGGTGTGGTTGGGGGGTTGGTTGGCCTTGCTCTGGTCACAGTTATGTGACGGAACCAAGTGCGGACTCATGCGATACGGGATCTCAGCCGCGAATGCGCAATTCGTCGCGTGTCTAGAACCCCCCATCCCAACCCTAGGAGGAATAAAGTGACCATCCCGAGGCTTGATCGTTTCATTCTTCTGTAGTATTTAGAATTTTTGGAAGTGGCGCAATCATGGCTCAGTTTGTATTCCCTGATTGTCCACCACTTTTTAGCGTTTCCATCATTTTCATCATGCTCCTACTCGTTTCGGAATTTGATTGTGTAGCAAGTCGTGACACAGGTCTTGCTAGAGTAGGGACTATTTTTTATAAAGTTGTTGAGATTCAACACTGTATAGCTAGGTACCTGTTTGGCGCTTCGCTTGGATTAGCGATGCAGTAACATGTTCTAGCATAACACACTATTACTGTTGCTGGTAACACGGACATGTCTATTTCAGGGGTGAAGCGTGAAAAGCCTTTCTGTACATTGCATAAGATGAACCGGAAAGCGTAGCTAGATACCGGCAGTGCACGCAGGATTGCGTGCACGCTGAAGTTGAGGACGTCACTATCAACGTCACACTTCTTTCACTGGTGTCCAGGCAAGATGCAGCTCTCAATTGGGGATGCACTGCATTTCCTCTTATTCCCATTTCATGGTCTGGACGACTCTGCACCAAATGGTCCGCGCACGAAGGCTAGCCTGGGAAACCCCTGAAGACCAAAGGGGATCACGTCCCATTTACAAGGTTTTGTCGTAGTGAAAAAATGAACGAATGTATCATATGTGCTATTACCATGCCTGGAGTGTCGATTCATGCAATGCCAAACTGCAGAACGCGAATGCGTCCATCGTGAGTTACTACAACCACCCTCCCAGTTCCATCATCAAAGGAGCAATACGAACAATTCCTCGCACCATCCGGCAAATTGCTGGCCCCAACCTTTGCCCCTCTACAAGTGGACTCACTATTATCGAATAGTCCAATATCACTCAAGGGAAAGCCGTCTACAATACTTTCACCCACATTGAAGAGAAAAAGTCGTCCCACTGATCAAGTCATTCCAGGCGAGATGATATTCTCTAACCAAAGCCCTCTTCCGCTTCTTGGAGATGCCACAATGTCATAGAAAAGATTCGGGTGCACGCCAGCACGATTTTGGGCCACGAAAAGGGGGGTTTCTATAAATGACTCAGGGCTCGCAGCATCAATTGAGAGGTGAACGGGCAGATTGAGGTCATACTTCGGTGGATTGTAAACGTAAAAATGGTTTATGATATGGAGCTTTCCCCTCTTTTCGCGGATAAGAATGGAGATAGGTTGAGAGGGAGGACTTGTGCGTTGTACAGGATATGGAGCACAGTATGGAATGATGGTCCCAGATTGCCAATCCGCGATTTGGGGTCGGGAGGCCGAAGAGATCAGTTGCGCTTGGAACACACTATCTTTTCCTGGAAGTTGAGGCTCCGTATTCCATGCGATATCAGGAAGTGCGAAGATATCGACGCTGAAAGGTTGAATTATTATCACACAATCGCTGAGAACTTCCATAGCCAAGAATCCAATTGTGCCGCGCTGTCATGGAAGGGAGGCAAGAAGATATAAGTTTAAAGCACGTAGAGTGGCAAGACATCTCACTGACAAACTGGGTTATTGGCTGAGCACCCTTCAGTTCTATCATCACCTGGCGTCGATAGATTGTACAGAGTCATATATTGACGCCCGGAGACAGTCAGCATAAATTTATGGTTGGAATGATTAATACGAGGACATACTGGTTCACAATGTGGGATAGAGCTATCGTCGCGCGGTCTCCACTGTCACTGTTAGGAACCGCATCAGCGATTGCCCCTGATGTCCTCCAGATTAGAATCTTCCGGCTTCTAACCCTCCGTCTACTTATATTCGGTTCCAAATGCTATATTGACACAAAGTCATCATCACTAATGGTCAATAAATACTTCCCGTCCTGACCAGGTAAGAAGAAAGCAATCTGGACGTGAGCAGAGGGAACTGCTACGGAGAACCCAGCATAGGAAAACACCCTTGGATCTCCAGATGCCCAGTTGCGTCGGAGGCGTGCTGCATGAATTGCGGCTTGTTTAAGTTCGCCTACAGAGAGATCGGATAGAGGAACGCCAGACGGCAATGAAAGCGATTCGCCAGAGGGAATTATCTGCTTTTCCAAGACATTCTTCCACACTGCATGAAGTCGGGTAACGTCTCTAATATCCTTGCAAGTCTGTTTATCTGGTAGTTGGAATGAGTACATTCATGTGGATGTCAATCCGAGGCTCACGCGTTGCAGTGCAAGAATATTGCGGACTTCGAGATAGGTTAATATTTCAACCAGCACGTCCAGGTGGAGGAATTGCAAAGACATAGAGGAAAGTTCGGCACGATCACTATGCTGGACAGCATCCTCTTCGGTAAGAGGCTGATCACTGCCCAACAAGCCGGAAATAGCTATGTGTTCCCACGCTGTGCCGCCTTTCCTGAGAGACCTTTGAGCCTCTTGACATTCAAACACACAAACTGTTGGAATATCAACAATCGGTTCCGACGACGGAGTGGCGAGGAGGGATTGATTGTTGGTGGCGAAAGTGAGGTTTGGGGGATTGTTTCTTACACCCCCGTTATTCTTTTTATGCGACGGGCGCGCCACTCGTGTAGCTCGCGTATAAGAAGGGATTTAGTCTCCCCCTTCCTCAGAATTCTACTACGAGTCTGAGGTGAGATTGATCTTGTTATTCTTTACAAAAACTGTCTAACTGTTGGCGCAGATACTTACGCGCCATAGGTACATACAAATTTAGACTTCTACTACGAGTCTGAGATACTTACGCGCCATAGCCCTATATTTAAAACAAACGTTTTGTGTGCGCGAGTTGAAACCCCAGTGACTCAGATGTGATGTCAACACGATGAACGAAATTATGCGATGTAGGCACAGTCATTGGACGATTCAGAATGTCGAATCATGACTTGCAAGTTTGTGATTACATGCATTGTTAAAACCATGCACCACGCGCGTACCTTCCTACCAACTAACCAACTCCATCGCACGATCCATGCATGAGTCTATATTATATATACCTTCCCTTGACTCCTAATGGGTCGCGTCTTAGATAATGACCAGTTTAGATCCATTCGCTCATTGTTCCCTGCCTCGCGCTGGCAGGAAACAACGCTTTTGACAGTGCGAAGACCGTACTTAGTAGTATGGTGGTTCTGGGAGCGTCTTATCGCGTGGCGCGTCGGAATGTGAGTCGAATTAACAACCACAGAAATTGAGATTCGCTTTCAGGCAATCAATACCAGCACGTATGTGATCAACACCCTTTCATGCATGCTGCCCAGAACGATTTAACTTTGCAATACCACCCACTCTCTGTTATCAGTACGTCAGTGGGAACATTTCAACATTCCCCCCCGTCAGAAAATTGGATCGGTCGTTTCACTTCAGCAATAGCACGCCCAACGAACTGCTTCATTGTCCGGCTCCTCTCAGCAGTGTTGGGCAGACATGGTCCCAAATGGTCGCATGGTCCGAAGTCCGAAGGTCTGATTCAGTAGACAACGTCTTTCCCATGGTCCGAATTGTCCCATCAGTTGTCTGTCGGCTGAAGCCGGGACCTCGCTAGTTCAATGTCGGCAGTGTCGGCAACGAGTTTCGCGGAAATAGCCGCAAGGTGATCACATGAGGCTCGGGTTATTCCTCGTCTGGTTGGAAATCGGCTACTTCCGTATTTCGGACCTTGAGACAATGGACCCTTGTCAGAAGCACAATCAGACCACAAATGGTCTGATTGGTGGTCTGATCGTGTCAATGCCAACACTGCCTCTCAGAGACTTCGCATAAACGGCTTCTTCCTGAAAATCATGTGTCCAATTAATTGGTAGCTGGGAGAAGGGAACTTGCCTTTCTCAAACGAAGTGATTACCATGCAAAGGTCACATTGGCTGGTCGGTCTCGGATGATATCCTACTTGGGCCATGTTGGATCGTCACTGAAAGCAGGCGTTTTCGGCGGCCTCTGCCAACGTGCACCCAGTAACACAATGCATAGCGGCGAACGGGGTCGTGCAGACGATGAATCAGATGACTCAGAATAGAATGAGCATATCCGACGTCACCATTTGATTAGTAGATAACCAAGATTGACGCAATAGTTATGTAATGAGAACGAAATCTTCCGGATATGGATCGTTTCTTGTCTAGAACCGGCAGAATAAGGTTCCAGCCTTGAATACTACTTAGTATGACACGTCTTTCGGTGTCATTAGAAGTAAAGCCGTTTGCATAGCATTGCATTGCCGAAGCGCACCGACTCGGGGCGAAGCGAGCTGGCCGTAGGTGTAGTGTTGCACGCCTAGACCCCTCTGTTCTCTTATAAAGAGTAGTGTTGCGTGGTTTATATTGGCGCGATCGATAATATTAATTATGACGCCATGATAATGTGACAGCTAGCTGGGCCAGGTGACTAGGTCTTCCCATGTGGCCATGTGGCGGACCCTCGGGCGTCATGCTGTCATTATCTGCCATATATGTACGTGCAGTCAAGGCGGTACCAACTTGAGATAACTAGTGGGTTGGCCTATTTGCTATCGACATTTTGAGTAGAGATGAATTCCAAATTAAAATCCGATCCTCTTGCAGCTAGCCAGAACACGACGTCTCGGGATATTGTCTGGTGGGATTGTTTCCATGCCATTTATGGCGGGGCTTCTAGCCTTTCTTTGGCTTATCGTCACCCGGGCTTATCACAATCCATACATCATGTGAGGCATTGAAAGAATCTTCTGGGTCAAACGTGCATAAAACCGCCAGGATCTGAAGCTCCTATGTGCTCCCTAGTATCACAACATGCCACTTGCCGCCCCTCTCGCTGCGACCCTCAAGGATCAATCCCCTAACTTGAAAACCGCTCTACGGCTCCTTGACGCTTATACCTCATACTCGGATGAAACTCTGAAGACCACTTTCGATGAGACCGTCACGGATGACTTTGCGCTTGTTGCACTCCCAGAGTCATTGAGCGTATTTGGATGGACCCAGCTCAACAAGTTAGAATTCAGCCTGGCTATCCAGAGTCTTGGTTGGAAAGGGATAAAAGGTTTGCAGGTACGCAGCTCCGCCCATGATGTAGGTGATAAGCGCCCGCTGACGACCCGTTAATTCGTTTAGTTTATTGTCACAGAAGTAGTGGAAACCGAAAGCGATGTAATTCTCTGGGTAAACATTCCGGTGCGTCTTTTCGGTTGCTGCACCATGCCTCGACTATGCTGAAGAGTCTTGGTTCAGCCTCAGTCTGTTACATTGGCAGGGGAGTCGCTCACGTCCCACCACGTGTTCAGGAACCGTTTCAACGCTGATGGGAAAGTTGTGGAGGCAAGATACAACCTGGACACCAAGTTTGTACATGACTTTCTTTGGTCTGGGCCCCAGGGAACCATAGGGCGTAGACCTGCGTAGGAAACCACTAGCAAGACCGCAGTCCCATTTCTAGCTCCAATAAGCAAGTAACAGTCAATGTACAATATGATGCTTGGTTTGATTCGCCCTGTGACTGGTTGACGTCGGCTTGATTGAGTTGTCGTTGGGGTGGGAGTTAGCCCAATACAATTTTGCTTCGAAAGGAACCTATTCCCAGATAGAATGAGCCAACACACGAAGAACGCCTCCAAAACGAATCTGGAGGCAGTTGATTCCCATTCGGAACGACACAGGTTCAAAAAATCAACTGAGGCTCCCGAACAGCAAGCTGCCTTCGATTGCGGGACGAGTAATATAGGTTATCCGCCCTAAAATTGAGGTCGATGCCTCAGCCAAACTTTCACTGGCCGGAATAGAAAATTGGTGCCCAAGCATATTGAAGGGATCAGAGACATTCGGAAATGTGGGAGTGGTGGGCTGAATATGGACACTCGAACGGCGCGGGCCCGAGGCGCACACTATCCTAAAGAATTCAGAGAAAAGTCCAAGTCCCATATCGTATAGTAGCGGAACCCCTGGATTAGCCCCGGCCAAAGAGACAACATGAAATATCAGCCAGAAAGGGGAAGGCAAGGCCTTTGGCTGGACGTTGGCTCTTATTGTGACTTCCGAACATTCAGCTTTAGGATGGACGGGTTTGACAATTGAGCCCTACGGCGGACATATATGAGAGTGACCCTCCCTGCTGGGCATTCCGACTCCTGTCGTGCCGGCGTTCGGCTGCGCGTTGAACGTTCTCCTTCAGCCTGGGTTGGGCCGTGGGATGTTGGGTTCATGTGTGGCTCCCATAAGTACATTGCCATGAAGCAATGACGAGGGTAGAAACTGTTATGTCTGGGTCTGGTGACTAGGTTGCTTCCCGGTATTTGCCGTGGTGTCAGCCCGATCCGTATATACCTTCGACTCCTAATCACTTCGCGCACATTGGGGAATACTACCAGCGCTTCGGCATTCATACAGAGAGCCAATAATGCCAGTGCGGCGCAGCGGTCCAGACACGGACTCACATCCTACAAAACTGCCCGCAACTCAGGAAGTTTCGACACCTGCTGGGCAGCGGACGGCAGACCAGACCCATGGTGCTGATGGGGAGACCGAAAGGAATCCTCAGGCTGGAAAAGTACCTAAAGAAGTCGCACGCCATCGATAAGAGACCCAGACTTACCCCCGATCGTACCTCGGTTCCCATCGACCGAAACTTTCAAGAAAACCACCCATCGTGACAGCACTGAGCCCGGGGAGTAACCCCATCCACAGACGAACCAAATCAACCCGAAACCAGACCCCAGAGGACACCGTCACCCCGACCCTACTAACCCGACGACACTCCACGTTGTGAAAGTCCCCTCATGTACAGATGTAATGTAGTGGGATATGCCGCTCTGTCACGTGCCAACGCGACCGCGGGGTAACAAATATGATATCAACAACAACAACTCCTAATCACTTCTCAAGCCGTGTCTCAGATAGCGACCGGTTTAGATCCATTCGCTCATTATTCCTTGCTTCACGGGAGTATGTGATAGTATCGTGATTCCGGAAGCATCTTTCCCAGAGCGATTTAATTTTGCAATACTCCCCACTCAGGCTCTCCGTTATCTTGCGTGAGTGATAACATTTAAACATTCCCCACAGGTGCTCTCCCCGTCAGGAAATTGGACCACAATGTACATAGCAGTTTGAGTTGGGCGTCCCACTTTGCAGCAGCGAAACGACTCCAGCTCTTCTCAGAAACTTCGAATCGCACGAACGGCTTCAAGTTGTTCTTCCTAAAAATCATGCGTCCAATTGGTAGCTGGAAGAAGCAATGGAAACTTGCCTTTCTCAAACAAAATGATTAGCCATGCGAAGGTCACATTGGTTGGTCGATCGATGATATCCTACTACTTTGGCTATGTTCAATTGGATCGTCACTGAAAGATGGATTTTTCGGCAGCGGCTGCCAACGTGCACCCAGTAGCATGGTGGCGAACGGTGCCCTTGCATCTATGCCATTACGGGCAGACGATGAATCAGATGACTCAAAATGAAATGAGCATGTCCGACGCCGCCATTTGATTAGTAGATAACCAGGATTGACGCAAAACTTATGCGATGAAAGCGATATCTTCCGGATATGTTGCCTAGAATAAGGTTCCAGCTGTTAATACTATGACACGTCTTTCAGATCTGAGGATTGCTGAAGCACACCGACTCGTAGAAAAGTAGCCATGTGGTGATGCACGCCTAGACCTCTGTTCCCTTGCAAAGAACCTCAATGTTGTGTTTCCCCATATATTGGCGCGATTGATATTAACATTGATGATGCCAGGATAATGATAAAATTATGACATCGGGCCGGCCAGGCGAATAGGCCTTCCCATGTGGCGGACCCTCGAGCCGAGCATTATTTGTCATATATGTACGTGCAGTCGAGGCAGTACCAACTCGGGCCAACCAGCGGGTCTGCTTATTTGCTATCATGAGGTGAATCCCTAATTACAATCCGATCTTCTTCCAACGAACCACAACACAACGCCTCGGGATATTGTCTAGTGGGGATGTTTTCACGCCATTCATGGCTGGGCTTCTAGCCTTTGGTTTATCATGTATAATCCATACATCATGTGGGGCACTGAAAGCTGGGGGAAAATGCGGATCTTCTGAATCAAACATGCATATATATAACTGCCAGGATTTCAAGCCCTTAGTATGTGCTCCCTATCACAACATTCCACTTGCCGCCCCTCTCGCTGCGACCCTCAAGGATCAATCCCCTAACTTGAAAACCGCTCTACGGCTCCTCGACGCTTATACCTCATACTCGGATGAAACCCTGAAGACCACTTTCGATGAGATCACCACGGATGACTTTGCGCTTGTTGCACTCCCAGAGTCATTGAGCGTATTTGGATGGACCCAGCTCAACAAGTTAGAATTCAGCCTGGCTATCCAGAATCTTGGTTGGAAAGGAATAAAAGGCTTGCAGGTGCGCAGCTCCACCCATTGTGCAGGTGATAAGCACCCATTGACGACCCGTTAATTCGTTTAGTTTATTGTCACAGAAGTAGTGGAAACCGAAAGCGATGTAATTCTTTGGGTAAACATTCCGGTGCGTCTTTCGGTTGCTGCCATACAATGTCTTGACCATGCTGAAGAGTCTTGGTCCAGCCTCAGTCTGTTACATTGGCGGGGGAGTCGCTCAATTCCCACCATGTGTTCAGGAACCGCTTCAACGCTGATGGGAAAGTTGTGGAGGCAAGATACTTCCTGGACACTAAAATAATTCATGATTTCTTTTGGTCGGGACCCCAGGGAACCATAGGGCGTAGACCCGCGTAGGGAACCATTAGCAAGATCGCAGTCCCATTTTTGGCTCCAACAAGTAACAGTCAATGTACAATATGATGCATGCCTGGTTTGATTCATCCTATGACTCTGTTGACGTCGGCTTGATTGAGTTGTTGCTGGGGTGGGGACTCAGCCCACCGCTGCCTAGTATAATTTCACCTCGAAAGGAACCTATTCCCAGTAAGAATGGACCAACACACGAAGAACACCTCCAAAACGGATCTGGAGGCAGTTAATTCCCACTTGGAACCGACACAGAATCAAAAAATCTCGGCCGAGCGCTGAGGTTCCTGAACAGCTAGCTGCCTTCGATTGTAGACGAGTAATAATAGGTCATCCGCCCTAAAAATTGAGGTCGATATCTCAGCCAGACTTTCACTGTGGCCGGAATAGAAAATTGGTGCCCAAGAGTTAGTATATTGAAGGGATCAGAGACATTTGGAAGTATGGGAGTGGTGGGCTGAATACAGGCAATCGAACGTCGCAGAGTATCACAAAAGGACACTTGGGCTCTGGTCCCCACACTATCCTAAAGAATTCAGAGAAAAGCCAAGGTCCCATATTGTATAGTAGCGAAACCAGCGAGAGTCCTCCCCCGGATTAGCCCCGGCCAAAGAGACAACATGAAGTTTCAGCCAGAAAGGGAAAGGCAGGGCCTTGGGACTTCCAAATATTCAGCCTTAGTTAGGATGTACGGGTCTGACAATTGAGCCCTACGGCGGAGATATATATGACAGTGACCCCCTGCTGGGCATTCTGACTCCTGTCGTGCCGGTGTTCTGCTGCGCGTTGAACGTTCTCCTTCGGCCGTGGGTTGAGCCGTGGGATGTTGGGTGCATGTGTGGCTCCCACAAGTACATTGCCATGACCCGATGATGACAGAAACGCCATATATGTGCACACGAGCCCAACGGCCTGAAGTGGGTCCAATGCAACAACAATGCGTTATTCACTCGGTATAGGAGTTGAGATCGATTCAAACGTAATCAGATCAAGCAAGGCGACCCCGGAATCAATTAGTATTCGCGAAATTCATTAGCGCAGAATGCCGCCACAAGCGTCCGTCACGCTGTCCTTGGCGGGTCACTTCCACCACTATTATATGCACATATGAGTTCCCACTCGTCCCAATGTAATAATTGACATCGATGTTCTCAGCTGGAAGAGAAGAATCCCCACTACCCAGCCATGGACACGTTGTCATCAGTGAGGGTATTCGCAAAACCGCACCAACTCTAGGTCGAGGCCACTTCTCTTGGCAGTGCCAAAATACAGCCAAGATCTCAATCTCCCTTATCACTACATGCCATGCACCTGCTATTAGAATACCAACTTCGTTTACATCGGAATATTGTGTAGCGGGCACTTTTGTCCATCCAAACTCCTTTTCGAGGGACAGAGATGAAATGCAGGAAAACTCTCACTCAGCTATTGGGTGTGGATATTAGAATCCTAGCGTGAACACTCAGTTCCGTTGTACGTACTGGGGACAGGCTAGAAAAATTCTGCTTTATAAGTAATATAAGCGAGCACGCTAAACATTTAGCTTTGTAGTAGCAAGAATACCAAGAATAGAAACACAACACCGCAACCTCAATAACGTGAGTCTCCACAGCGTATGTCAAGCTCGGCAACATGTCAAACAGTGGAACCAGGGTCTCAAGCCAGTCACCCAGGCCGAGCCGCCAGGAAGTCGAGCCACAGACAACTGAAGAACCATAATATTGAGATGGCGCGGATGACGCGAAGTACTGCTAGTCTAGGAGTCACCGGCCTAGCTAAGCCAAACCAGTCGAAGCACGGTGCAAAACATGACACGGTAAAATATCTGCTCCGAGCAGAAAACCAACTCTAGAGTTCGCGGTCCTCAAGCTGGATGGCATGTGCCTGCCAACTCGTACAAGAAGACGGGCCCGGGCTGCGCAGGGTCAGAATAAACCTGCCTAGTATTCAGAATGAAGTCATGGGGACTATGAGACAGACCAGTAGCGGTCACCATACTACAGCATTGGTTTCACGCGGTCCCGAACTGCAAGATGTGGACTTGTCCGTGACTAGCAACGACAACCACCCGCCCAGTTCCATCATCCAAAGAAAAGTCCGTACAATCTCTGAAAGCGTCCGCTATATCTTTAGCTCCGATTCTCGATCCCCTTCGAGTAGACCCTGTATCATCAAATGGTCCAATATCACTTAATTTTCCTGACGGGTCATCTATAACACCGTCACCAGCATCAAAGAGGACGACTCGCCCGATCGATTGACTCCTCCATTCTAACCATAGCCCTCTTCCGCTTGTCGGAGAAGCCACAACATCGAGGAAATATGGATGCACACCGGTACGAATTTGAGCTACGTAGAGATTGGTTTCGGTGAAACTGCCAGCGCTCGGAAGGTTATTTGGGGAGCGAGTACGGAGAATAGACGATTTAGGGGAGTACCCTGGTGAGTCATAGACGAGGAAATGGTTCAGGGTGCCTACGGATTCCATTATTTCCCGTTCGTGGATAAGGATGGAGATAGGCTGAGAGGGAGGACTTGCACGTTGCGCTGGATAGGGAGCGCAGTAGGGAATGATGACGGCGGAGCTCCATGCACTACCTTCAGAACAGAGGGCGGTAGAAATATGTTGTGCTTGGAATACCCTTGCTTCCCCTGGTCGAGGTTCGGTATCCCGCGCGATTTCAGGCAACGCAAAGATGCTGATGCTCAGAGACTGAACTATTATAACGCAATTGCTAAGAACTTCCTTTGCCAAACATAGGCCGAACTATTAGATAGAACTATAGCGTGAGTTTCGTGTCGAGATGAGAAGTGATGACTGACAGGTTGAGCTGCTACACCTTGGAGTTCGATCGTCACTTGACTCTGATAATTGAACAGATACCCTCCGAGGCGAAACCTCCTATACATCCCGATAAGGTTCCCACGAAGAATCTCCAACCGATCAGGGAATTCACCCTCGAAGATCTGCTCGTAGGTGGCTGTTGGGTGTCCTCTCCCATCATCACAAAAGGTCAGGTTGTACAGGGTGATGTATCTACGTCTGGAATTCGTTTAACTCACGCTCAGAAGAAAAAAAAGTTGAAGAATGCGCACCGGTCTGAAGTGTGCGATAGAGCTATTGTTGCGCGAGCCCAGCCGTCACTGTTAGGAACCGCATTGCTAATTACTCCTTGAATATTCCAGTTAAGTATCTTCCAGGATCTTCTAAGATCCGGCTCTAGATACCATATCGACACCTCATCGCCACCACTGACAGTCAACAAATACTTTCCGCTGTGACCAGGGATGAAGAACGTGCTATTAACTCGCGATGGTCCTATGTAGAATTGTGTACGTGCGAAAACCCTGGGTGTTACAGATGTCCAGTTGTGTTCTAGACGCGCAGCATATATTGCTGCTCGTTTAAGATCGAGTGCGGATTGGTCAGATAGAGGGACATTAGACGGTAGCGAAACTGATTGGCCAGAGGGAATTATGCGCTTTTCTAAAACGTTCTTCCACACGGTGTGAAGCTGAGTGACTCCCCCGATACCCTTGCAAGTCTGTTTGCAAGTTCAACTGGAAGTGAGCAAGTAGACGGATCCTGAGTCACAGATCTGCAGCTCACGCATTGTAGGGAAAGGATATCGCGGACTTCGATATAGCTTAGGATTTCGATCAGCACGTCCAGAATGAGGGTTTGGAGGGACATGACTAGAACGAGGTCGTGTTCGCGTAAAAGACTCCTTCGGTACCGAGGCTCGCTTAAACTAGTCGAACTGCAGCCTTCGGATGTATGATGTCAGTGTAAGTTGTAAGAACTTCATTGCATTTGAGAATGAGTACAGTGGTAAAACAATGGGGTATTATAAAGTGAGAATAGCGATGAGTGTAGGAATGGCATCGCATTTCAGCTGAGAATGCATGGCTACTTCCAGCCAACAAAGCAGGTCGTTGACTGGACGCATTTACCTCTGGGAATTATTGATAAATAGATATCTTCTGAAGTGAGGCTTGGCTTCTAAGAGGCTGGGAACCTGCCTGAGTTTCCGTGAAAGGACCGTCAGTCGATTCAGTTCTGGAGGCTGGTTCGTAGGCAGGCGTGCATGATATATCTAGCTATGCTGGGAACCAGGTTGTGTGGATCGTGTAAGACACCCATGGAACCGATCGCTCGGAGTTAGAAACCCTGAAGACTATACTAGTTGGCGAGTCACTGGCATACAGTAACGCTATCGTCCAACCCACGATCCCCACAATCGCCAGTGAGGACTGCACTGCATGCTGCATTCGAAATTCCCTCTAAAGTGTCTCCTGTGACTCTCTAAGATCGGGTTTCAGATGCTCCACCGACATATATGTTACTACCGCAGCTGATGAACCCCAAATATTTTCTGCATAGGGGCCAATTCGGGTGTCACTCTCGCAGAAAGCTCGGCATGTGCAGTTCCACAGATGCCGAATTACTTTCGAGACAAGAAGGCATACAGCCCTGTTCATTTTAACTCCACACAGCTAGACACAGTACTTCTAGCAACATTTGTTACAGAATATGAAGCTTGACAACGTTTCGGATACCCCTGTGAGCCCGTTGTATCTTTTGGGCGAGTCGGAACTGAGTGCGAATGTAAATGTCAATCTTAGACACACACCCGCAGGGGAGGAATACCACGAATGACAGACATTCCGATCGGCACGGTGTCATTCTGGAGGGGCAAAGTTGAAATGCAGGCGGCCTGGGCCTGTTGAGCATAAATATTAAAATGATAACATAATACACTCTCAGTTCCGTTGTACGCGAGCTGAGGAAAGACAAAAAAAAAACCAGAAATTCTGCTTTATAATATAAGCGAGCGCGCTGAATAGAGCACAAATTACATAGTTTGGTAGCAAGAGTACCAGGAATAGAAACACGACACCGCAACCTCAACAACGTGAGTCGTCGCACTGTATGTCAAGCCCGGAAAGATGTCAAACAGTGGAGTCGCCGGAAGTCGAGCCACCGACAACTGAAGAACCATAATATACGGATGACGCGAAGTATGGCTAGTCTAGGAGTCACTGGCCTAGCTGAGCCAAACCAGTCGATGCACGATGCAAAACATGCCACTATAGAATATCTACTTCAGGCAGAAAACCAACGCTAAAGTTCGCGCCCCTCAGGCTGGATGGCATGTGCCTGCCAGCTTGTGCAAGAAGACGGGCTTGGGCTGCGCAGGGAGGAACGACTCAGAATAAACCTGCCTAGTATTCAGAATGAAGTCTTAGCCCTAATGGGGATTATGGGACGGACCAGTAGTTGTTACCGTACTACAGCATTGGTTTCACGCGATCCCGAACTGCAAGATGCGAACTTGTCCATGACTAGTAACAACAACCACCCGCCCAGTCCCATCATCCAAAGAAAAGTCTGCACAATCCCTGAAAGCGTCCACTATATCTTTAGCTCCGATTCTCGCTCCCCTTCGAGTAGACTCTTTATCATCAAATGGTCCAATATCACTTAATTTGAATGACGAATCATCTATAACGCCACCACTGGCATTAAAGAGGACGACTTGCTCGACCGACGATTGACTCCTCCATGCTAACCATAGCCCTCTTCCGCTTGTCGGAGAAGCCACAACATCGAGGAGAAAATATGGATACATACTGGTACGAATTTGAGCTACATAGAGAGTGGTTTCGGTGAAACTGCCAGTGCTCGGCAGGTTATTTGGGGAGCGAGTACGGAGAACAGATGATTTAGGGGAGTACCCCGGTGAGTCATAGACGAGGAAATGGTTCAGGGTGTCTACGGTTTCCGTTATTTCCTGTTCGTGAATGAGGATGGAGATAGGCTGGGAGGGAGGACTTTCACGTTGCGCTGGATAGGGAGCACAGTAGGGAATGATGACGGCGGAGCTCCATACTTTGTCTTCAGGACAGAGGGCAGCAGAAATATGTTGTGCTTGGAATACCCTTGCTTCCCCTGGTCGAGGTTCAGTGTCCCGCGCGATTTCAGGCAACGCAAAGATGTTGATGCTCAGAGGCTGAACCATTATGACGCAATTACTAAGGACTTCCATCGCCAAACATAGGCCATACTATTCGATGGAACTATTGCATGAGTTTCGTGGTCGAGATGAGAAGTAATGATGGACTTTAACTGACAGGTTGAGCTGCTGCACCTTGAAGTTCGATCGTCACTTGACTCTGATAATTGAACAGATACCCTCCGAGGCGAAACCTCCTATACATCCCGATAAGGTTTCCACGAAGATTCTCCAACCGACCAGGGAGTTTGCCCTCGAAGATCTGCTCGCAGGTGGCTGTTGGGCGTCCTCCCCCATCATCACAGAAGGCCAGATTGTACAGGGTGATGCATAAATGTCTGGAAGAAAAAGAAATTGACCGGTCTGAAGTGTGTGATAGAGCCATTGTTGCGCGAGCCCAGCCGTCACTGTTAGGAACCGCATCGATAACGGTCCCCTGAACATTCCAGTCAAGTATCTTCCAGGATCTTCCAAGATCTGGCTCTAGATACCATATCGACACCTCATCGCCACCACTGACAGTCAACAAATACTTTCCGCTGTGACCAGGGATGAAGAATGTACGATTAACTCGCGACGCTGTGCAGAATTGTGTACGTGTAAAAATCCTGGGTGTTACAGATGTCCAGTTGTGTTCTAGACGCGCAGCATATATTGCTGCTCGTTTAAGATCGAGTGCGGATTGGTCAGGTAGAGGGACATTAGACGGTAGCGAAATTGATTGGCCAGAGGGAATTATGTGCTTTTCTAAAACGTTCTTCCACACGGTGTGAAGCTGAGTGACTCTTCGGATACCTTTGCAAGTCTGTTTGCAAGTTCAGCTGGAAGTGAGCAAGTAGACGGAGCCTGAGTCGTGGATCTGCAGCTCACGCGTTGTAGGGAAAGAATATCGCGGACTCCGATATAGCTTAGGATTTCGATCAGCACGTCCAGAATGAGGGTTTGGAGGGACATGACTGGAACGAGGTCGTGTTCGCGTAAAAGAAGGGCCAAGGCCAGTGCTTCGGCACCGAAGCTGGCTACAACTGACCAAGTTGCGGAATTATGTAAGTAATGACTCACACGAACCTCAGTACTTGCACCAGTACCATTTCTCTTCCTGCGTCTCTTTGCTAAAGTTTTCTTCTTTATATGTAAGTTATGTAAGTGGAACTTTTTTGCATGCACTGCTTATGATGGAATCGCAAAGCACTATCTATGTACCAGTGGCACGATAACACTCTTTCCTTGAACCCACATAGCATGGATGCAGGACCACACGAACGCTTCTCTCCTTCAAGCGCCCGTGACAGGATGGGTCACGGACGGGCGAATCGGTTGAGATCGATCGATCGGCGGGACGGCCGCTACCGCTGCGTTTGAGGCCATGTCTCTACGGGTGCATGATTAATAATGCCTCAAGCCTCAGTTTCTGACCACACTGGTGCTGAACACTCCGGGAGGTCGGCACACTGTGTACATCTGGATGATAACCAGTTTACATCCGTTTGCTCATTGCCCCTGCTTCAATTCACACTGGTGATTTGACGGGGAAGGCACCTGGTAGGGTTTGCGGCGGTGTGGTTTTTTGAGTTGTGGTTTCAGACGCCGCTCAGCTGTGGGCATTAAACCTGGCGTGCTGGGAATCGACAACCTTGGCCGAGAGAAACACGAGTCAGGATGGGTGGCGTGGCGGGCGAGCTCATTTCACCGCGCTGAAGAGGTGCCGCACCGTCTGCTGAATCCCACTGCGCACCTCATCCCTTTCTCACTCTGAGCGGAGAAATAATCTGGTTTCCCGAAACTACCGACTAAAGGTGGGGAGGTCTTGAGGTGGTCTTGATCGCTGCTCCAGCATCCCTCGGACATGCTCGAGCTGCTGTATCTCGAGCATATATATGTCATGATGAACATTCACGGAGCCAGCCATTCGAAGTTCATTGGAACTCATCTAGCCGTTGGGCCACGCATATTTCCAATACATGAACAAAAAAGGATTTGGAATATTGTATCTTGATTATCTAAACTTGGACCGACTAGGATGAACGACGACTTCTTCGGGAAAATCAATTCCTGAGTAATGGAGTAATGAGTGCATGCTTGCCTATATATCTCGAAAAGGCGAGATTCGCCAAAGTCAATACTGTTGGCGGCGCAATGACATCATATATCATCTAGTCTCTCCGCGTGGTTCCCCTGGCTACTTATCGGGCCCACACTAGAGCTTGGTGTGTTGGACCTTCCATTATCGCAACATGGCCCCCGTTCAACTCGCCGCCCCTCTCGCTACTACCCTCAAAGATCATCAATCCCCCAACTTGAAAACTGCTCTCCGTCTCCTCGAAGCTTCGTACTTCATACTCGTATGAAACCTTGAAAGTCACTTTGGATGAGTGTGGCACGGATAATTTCACCTGGACTCCACTCCCGGATGAGTCTCTGAGCGCCCTGGGATGGAGCCAGTGTAACAAGTCCAAATTTATCGACACATTCCAGAATGTTATCTGGAAATGGACGAAAAATGCCGAGGTGACACAGCCTAACCAATCGTGTGCATGCTACTAAGCGCTCACTGATTTTTCATCTAGTATATTATCACAGAGGTGGTAGAAAACGAGAGTGATGTGATTCTCTATGTAAACTTAGGGGTATGTCTCCTACTATAGTTCTAGCTGCTTTTGCTAAGCCTCTTAAGAGACCATGCTAAAGCATTCTGATTGCAGCACCAGTCTGTCTCGCTCGCGGGCAAGTCGCTCGCTTCCTCGCATGTGTTCAGGCTCCGCTTCGACGCTGATGGGAAAATCGTGGAAGAAAAGGACTTCTTGGACAGCAACTATGTACATGAATTTTGGTTGTCGGGGCCCGGAGCCAAATCGGCCGGTCCTGCTGAAGGAAACCGTTAGTGAAGACTTTTTTGCAACTCCTGCTTTTTTTTTTTTTAGTTCCAACGTCATAACATTCAATGTAATGGTGTGATGATGTCTGGTCTGACTTATCCCAGGATTTGACTTGGTCGAGTCATTGCCAGTGTGAAAGTCAATCGACAATTTGCGCCTAAAATACAATCTAGCCCGGTCTAAGCTAGAGGATGCATCACTACGCGCCATGGATTGTAACGACTCTGGGTTGAGGTAATTCCCGCTAGTAGCCCTCATAGGCTTATTCACAAAACTCGGTTAAGCATCGGAGTTTCTGGACAGAAATAGATCGCTTCCGAGATTGCGGACGGGTAATGTCCACCTTGAAATTGAGGCTGTTACCCCTCTAAGTCCCCTCAGTCAAACTTTGCACGAATAGAATCGTAGTATTTTCAGGGACGTTCAGTCTAGAGACATGGGAAGGAGAGGCAAAAATACCAGCACTTGGGATGGCGCAGAGTTATCACAGGTTGAAACTTGGGGCGTCTTGCGCCCAGCACTAGGACACCCCCAAAGCCAGATTGAGTCAATCAAGGCGCTAATGAATTGTTCCGGAGTAAAGTTAATCATTAGGATACGCTCTCGAAGTTCCTTGATAGGCTCACGACGGGTCTGTGCCGGGGCCCCATGCAGATCCATGCAGATAAAGTGGTATGTATTTACCAAACCTGGCTAGGACGACGTCCAGAAATGAGATGGCCATTGTATGGCCAGACCCAGCAGGCCTGATATACTTATGCCTCAGAGGGGAAAGTGTACGCGCACAAAGAACACCTAGCTCCAGGCTGGGGGGCCAGAAGAGATGACACGAAACCGGCACCGGCTTCTGCCAGCCGTCATAAGACTAAGCCATTTCCAAATCGCATAATTTCTGGGCCACTGCCCCTTCTTCGGCTTGCGGCTTCCCTATCACGGCATGCCTCCCGTTAAAGAACTCGCTAGGAGATAAGGCACCCCATCGATGGCCATGAGTTCGTCAAGTTGGATCGTCACGGACGTAAGTGGGAAAATGAAAATAAAAGGTGATTTCTCTAACTATAAGAGGTGCAACCTTGATTTGCTTTTTGAAAGGTCCTGATCTTCTAGCCCCAGTCCCTCACATTGGTGGGGGGGGAGTCGCTTGCTTTCCGGACATGTGTTCGGGTTCCACTTTGCACTTTGACGCTAATGGGGGAAAGTCATGGAGGGAAAATACTTCCTGAACATCAAACTGATGGCCCATGATTTCACGTCGAAGCCCGCAATTGGGGCCAGGAAAATAAATGGACCACTATACGCACGGCCCACCGAGAGGTGTAAACGGCCCAACTGAGTCAATTGGAACCGTCATGGACTCGAGGGTTTTTTGACCGAATATCGAGACTTTGCTAGATGAGTAATGATAGGTCGTCGAGGGGCCTTTACCCTATGTGCCTTGGCACACTGTGGCCGGAATGAAATGATGAAGATCTAAGAGTGTTATATTCGAACCCTTTGGGAGCGTGGTGTCTCTTTGGGGGGGGGGAAGCACTTGTTTCTAATCCTGCATACCCGCTATGAGCGTGCGGATAAAGTTGGACTTTGTCTTTCTCTGAGTCCTCTGGGACGGTGCGGTAGGCGCGCAAGGCCCAGTTGTCAACTTGATCTCTTTCGTTCAAATATGTACTTGACTGAATTTGGCCCACACACAAAGTAGCGGCCAGAAAAGAAAAGTGGCGAGGTGAACTAAGCCGCAAGTGAACAAGACCACTTGCTTCAGTCTGTTGAAGGCCCGTAGGCTGGCAACTGTTGTTGCTTCAGCCTGAGAGTTGCAATAATGCATATATCGGACAATGCCATGGAGCTTGCCGTACTCCCCCTGTATTAGCACATAAATCTTTTGTCTGTTGTCATCACAGTATGATAGAGCTGTTGTATCTCAACGCTTCAAAAGGGGAAATTATACACACGGGAGAGTGCCCAAGGCAGCCACACCACAGGCAGCAAAGTAGAGTGAGATATAGAGAAAAAAAACGATGCATCGCATCACAATATCACACAACAAACAATGTGTTCCAAACGATGACCAGATCATCAAGATAAATGTGGTTTTCGTGACAAGCCGTTTCATCCATTCGTCATTCGCAAATGCAAGTGCTTAGATCCTATTGGCCTTAGGGGGGTCCTGGATAGGGATTTCGGTGGAGTCGGCGGAGCTTCGATTCGAACTCCTTGAACTATTTCTCGATGGTGCACCAGGCTTAGCCGCATATCGAGGCAATGTCTCAACGGGTTTCGAAATCAAGAAGCCTTTCAACCCGGCCTGTTTCTCCCCTTGTCTTCCGAATCCATAACCGGGATGTGAACCAGGCTCCTGATTTTTTTCGGAAGAACCCGTGACGTTTGCGAAGACGTTTTGAGCGGCACCAAAGACGCCTGAGCCTTTACCAGACATGGCTGACTTGAAGTCTGATGTGGAACGTGGAAGTTCGGGAACGCGATCGCGCCATGAGGTGAGTGAGCGTTTGGTTCTGATGGAGGCGCGGAAGGTGAGGCCGAGGAGGACGTTGAGGATTCCGATTGCGAAGAGGAAGAAGGCGGAGACAAGAGCAAAAGTGCCCACGTGGTGAGAGAGTACAGCAGCGCCGATGCTGATAATAATTATCAGTTTTTGGGATTGAAAAGACGAGTAGAGGTGACTTACAAGATTTGCATAAATCCTAGTATGCCGACACCATGTTGAGTGCCGAGGACAGGGACAAAATTGTCAAGAAAAGACATTGGCCAAGAGATCTCGGACATGAATAGCAGGATGATTTGGAAGATGATGAAAATGTGGTTGATAATAGCAAACATGGATCCACCAGGCTGCATTGGGACACTTGCGTTGAAACCCTAAATTAGCAACTCATCAGCCATAGATGATAAAACGAGTTGACATACGTGCTGTTCTCCCGATAATCGCAATCAAAAATGTAGTCGGTCCCATTGATGGAGATAGTGCTATTATGTTGTGATAGGTCTGCTGGACTCCGACGAATAGCCGCAATATCCCCGGCCATGGTGACAACTAGAATGGACGTCAGGATACGGCCGCGGTGGCGCGAAAGTGGGAGCACGTACTCGACGAGCTGAAGACGAGAATAAGCGTAAGAAGAGAAAGCGCACGGGCAGCGTTCAATGCAATGAACAGATAGGCTCGTGGAGGTAGCATTATGATCTTCCGGTTGATCGTTCACGGAAAATTCAAGAGATGTTCTAGTAGAAGTGTATGCACGGTCAAGTGCTTTCGAATTATAATGAGAGTCTAGCTGGCACCAGGTCAGACTTGTAAAGAAGTTGAGCAAGCGAAAGGCAGTAGAGGTCGTGTCAACGACGTTAACGAAGGCAAGCGGGGAAAGAGGGGAGTGATGAATCAACTTGGGAGCGAACCAGACTTTTAAAGGGACACAAGACAAAAGACCAAGTGGCAGACTAAGGGTTCTCATGTGTATCCATGGAAGTAGCCTATTGTCCAACGCATGGCCTCGCACCAATTTTCTTATTGTTCCAAATTACAAAACCCCAACGCGAATCGTACCACACCCAAAGCATATCCATCTTTACGACGCGCAAGCACAGGTTTGGAACGAGCAAGCAGGATGTCTGCAGCGTTCCAGAGAAATACGCAAAGAAAGGCATCTGAGCAGGAGAACGTTACCACGTGGGCGTGAGAAATTATGGAAAAAAATATTTTCGAAGCCGCCTTTGTCCTGTGTTCGCTTTGTTCGCTCTCACACGAGCCCGAACGATCAGGATTACTTGAGAGATTACGCGAGCCACATGCTCTGGCGGACTTTCGTTACGTGGTCTATCTACTCGGCAGCTTTCTGCCGTGCGAGGGAAACCCTTGAGGATGCAGGTGATATGCTTCTACTTTTCTCTTCGTACTCCGTCGCACGGCAACTGGCTGTCACTAACGAGCGTGCTAAATGGTTAGCACGTAATGCTCGACTACTGGTCGGGTCTCAATCTCTCGGGACACTCGCCACTATAAGGCCGTCAAATGCTACTGAAGTGCCCGGTGCACCATTCGCACTTATGGAGTATTACGCTCCATGTTATCCGAATGGCTCACTAGCTCTCATCCTCGTTAATATCTCACAGAGTGCCACCAATATATGGGCCTCACCGACACACGTCGCTACATTCACAATCCAGGCACCCTTGTCACTGTCACCAGTATCAAAGCCCCGTGTAGCACTCATCGGTTCAGTCAGTGCTGTGGGACCAGACAACGATCTCGACAGCCTGGAAGAATGCTATATTGACAGACACCCAGATGCCACCTCATGGATACCAGGGAAGTCACCATTTCAAGTAAGCCCACGTCCAATCGGCTTTGTGTCGCCTCATATCGTTCCATTGATCAGGATGTCCAATGGGCTCGATTTGATCCTTCCGTCATATATTATGTTGGCGGGTTCGGAGGGTGAGTTATCTCCTTAACAATGACCCCGAGTGCCTTTGTGTGACCGAATCAACACTTTCAGCGTTCACTATATTGGTTGGATTCCGTTAGATCTATACCAACGGTCAGGAAACGAAGCTTTTACGCCGCAGAGGGAGAATGGGGATTCCTATCCATACCTTCCATTGGAGCAACGATAGCTCGAGCCCGAGAATGCAATGGCACGACTGGCATGAGCCAAGTGGTTCTCGTCTCCACAGCCACAAATCAATGACCCGAACCCGCAGCTCAAGATTTTGAAGTTTCCCACACGTACAAACACTACTGTGAAATTGGATGTCATGTCACTCGATCTCAAACGAGCAGAATTAACCGCCTCGAAGCAATGAACGAGGCGATTATAGTTTTTTGTCTTAATGTCCACACTGCCTGGAATTGATTTTACCAAGAGGCTTGGGTCATATGCCCCGAGGGTCGTGTTAGTTTTCCCTAGTCGTCCCCCAAGGAACTCTTAGCTGCGGGTGAGATGGCCGAGTTGGTCCAAGGCGCCAGATTAAGGATCCCTATATTTCTGGTCCGTTCGCGGGCGTGGGTTCGAATCCCACTCTCATCACGCGGGATCTTTTTGTTGGCACCAATCAACTAGTCTAGGGCCCACTGTTTTTCTACCTTCGACCTTCGACACTCATTCCTTTGGTTTTTAACATCACAATGGAGGTATTTTGGTTGCACCGTTGCTCTAAATGCTTGGCTTGGCTTGCTTTGGCGCTGTGCAGCGCTATTTATGAAGTAGGATTGACAACTGATATGTGGCACACAGCTGGATAGAGGTCGTTTTCTGGAAACAGTAGAGTTTGTCACATCGAAAAATTTCTCCTGAAAGGCGATTTTCTGACGGGTTACCTGTACAGCAGAGTCACTCTCACCTCCCGAAATTACGTAAAAGTTGTCACTTTTGCTGACGAAATGTTTTTTCCTTATTTGACTAAGGACCATGTGACTGAAAAGCGAGCTTTCTCCCCTTCTGGAATTCATTAACTGACCTATTTCTTTCATCCTCATAGCACAGGCGACTCAGATGCTATCGTGTCAATATTACTGTAGTTGCTCCTCCAATGTACGGACTGCCTAATTATGTATTCATTATTGTTCCTATAAGATGCTACATTATCTTTGTGTTAATTCTTGAGTCTCTTGATGAGCTGGGGAACAGCCTCGGCAACAAGACCAACATCAGCCACTTGGAATATTCCTCTGACTCATCAAGCTTGGGTGAATGCCCATAACTTCTTCGAAACCTTCACAAGCAGTCTGTCTTCCA